GGATCACCTCAAGCATACAGTTGACACACTGGACACTCATGTCGGTGCTACCAGTCCTCTCACTCACACCAGACCTTTGGTGTCGAGCAATACATTCAAGCTATTGATCATGCTGAGCTACCTCTGGACAGGGTGTCCACAGCAGTTAGTTGAAACCTGCAATAGCAAACCCATTACTGCATCTTTGAGTGAGAAAAGTGATAGTGACATCTCTACTACATATCTCACCAAGAATTGCAATACCACAAGTGCTGTCACATATCTCAACAGAATTTGTAATAGATGCGGTTCTATTACAGATATCAGGTCTTGGGTGCGCAACCACTGACAATCTGGTGTGAGTGATGTTGTTAGTGTCAACATGAGTGTCCAGTGTGTCAACTGAGTGCTTGAGGTGATCCCCGGACCGCAGTGGATGACTGCCTTTGGTTCTAATGATCGAGAGAGCCAGACTGCAGTATGAACTGCCTTTGGTGTCAATCAATATCCAGACTGCAGAATGAACTGCCTTCAGATGATGTTGATGAGCTGTGATACAACACATGCACTACAATAGAAGCAAATGCAGAGCATTTGCTATGGTCAACTGAATACTAATGTATACTTCTGTGAAAGCTATAACTAGTAATATATGGTGTAGAGCGGATGGCCCTCCACTCACTTGCTATGACGAGGAGCATGGTTATATACCATCCTCGCAGCATCGCCTGCAACACTGCTCCTGTTCTGTGAGGCCTCCTCAACCCTATGTCTCCTCCTTGTCCTTCCTACTGTTTTCCATGTCCTTCCTACCATTTTCCATCCATGTTGGGCTGCTGCTCATTGGCACTGCTTTCCTCTCTTCCTGTGGATGGATGGCCCTTGTGCTGCTTCATCATTGTCAGAGGCCATTCTCACTTCATCTGAGTGGTGACCTGCATCCTTTCATCTCCCTCCTGTCACCAGCACCCATCTGCCTGCACCAACTTCATCATTGTGCAAGGTCCCTGTTTCATATGGTGGTGACTCCTCCCTTGTTCTCTGTCATCCCCTTGCCATATTGGCAATAGAGGTTTCTCTCTAACCAATTCCTGTGAGGCCTGTTGTAGTGGGCATGATCCTGCTGATTCTACTGACTCCTGTAATAGGACCCATGTTCCTACTGATCACAATGAGTTATGTCATAGAGTTGTTGATCCTACTGATCTCACTGATCCCCATTGGAACTCTACTTTCCTGCTGATTCTACTCCTGTAACAAAACCCATGCTCCTACCAATCACGATGAGTTATGTCATAGAGCTGTTGTTCCTGCCAATCTCACTGAACTCTGTCAGAACTCTACTTTTGCTTGATCCATGATGGTTGCACCAGATCTCTTCATATGAGTTCCGTTCTTCCTGCGCATCCATCCAGTCCCATGACAGAAGGCTTCTATGGCAGATTCCAGCAAGAACAACAATAGAAGGCTTTTACAACAGATCTCGCCGAGATTAGTAGTAGTTGCCTTTTACTACAGATTTCGGGTTTCAGGCACACGACCTCTGACATGTTGTCATAGGGCCTGCGCAGAAGATTGGGTCTGCGCAAGAAGATCCGAGATGAGATGAATTGCGCCTAAAAACGCACAGAATGTAAAATCAACTGTAACATGGGTTTCCGGTTGATTTCAGGGAGATTGTCATAGGACCGGATGCGCAGGAGGATCTGGAAGCATATGAGGAGTGGTGCAGGAATTGCCAGATCAGGCCAAACAAGGGTTCTAAAGCCGAATCCATCGAGATCAGTAGTAGAGATGCTCTACAACAGATCTTGCTCAAATTGGTACAAGTGGGAGCTTACAGCAAAGCCCACTGAAATCAGTAGTATTGTGATCATATGACAGATCTTGTGGAAACTGGCAAGAGGATGTCGATATCATGGATGGGTGGCAAGTGTCACAGGACCTGCGCAGGAGATCAGGTTGGTGCAGGTAGATCCAAGATGAAGATGAAGATGTGGTGCACCCAGAAAAAGGCACACTAAATGTGACATCAACTGTAAGATGGGTTTCTGGTTGATTTCCCTGAAATCAACCATGATGGGGGTTTCTGATCAGTTTTGCTGAAATCAAATGGAACATGCTCATCAGGTTGGTTTCACCAAAACATGTTGCACAAAGCCCCAGGTATGGAATGGACCAACAGGACACAAGAAGGCAATGGGAGACTTGGTAGGGAAGGCCTCTGTTGTCAAAGGTAGGATAAGGCACAAGGAAGGGTCTCACATGCTACAGGGGGGTCCAAGTTTAGCCAAGAAGAGGACCAAGCTCAGGAGCAAGCAGCAGGTTACCACACAGGGGGGATGTGCTCTAGATCACATAAGGGTTGGTCACAAGGTAGACTGCATGGATGAGAATGAGACAATAGGATGGTCACATGGTCAGAGAGGGCCATCAGATAGGGGCCAAGGAATGACCATGGAATGAGGGGAGAGGGAGTTGGACCAAGGGGGCCAACATTGGTACCATGAGGAGGATGGGCAGTGTCAAGAAGAGTCAATACACAGCCCAAGGAAAGGAGGAGTATGAGGAGGATGGAGACACTCCTCCAGAGGAGTAGGAGTGGTGCCACAGGTGGCACCTCTCAAAACACATAAATACTACTACTACTTCACCATAGCAAATGAGTGGATCCTCATCCACTCTACTCTTTACTTTACTTACTCTTACTTAGTTATGTACCATTGCAATAGCAAGAAGCCTTTGCAACAACATCTCAAACATGTGTGTTGTATCACCATCAGATGTCAGAACTGTAGGTGGTGTTCCTCTCAAACACCTGCAGTCCAGTTACATCACTGTAGGTGGTGTTGCTCAACACCTGCAGTCCAGTCAGTTATTGTAGGTGGTGTCTATCACCTGCAGTCCAGTAACTCCTGTCATCTATAGGTGATAGGCATATCACAGTCCAGGTGATGTCAAAGAGCATTAAGCAACATAACTATGAACACTTATGCTGTTTAGGAGAGTGTAACACTCTCACCCCAGGTAGTAACAGATGTGCTGTGCAACCTCTGAACAGAGTGTTCAAGGTGGTCAGCTGAAACCTACCAGAATGAAGCTGTCTTATTACTTTCAGTCAAAACATACCAAGTAGACCTTACTCAATTGATTTCACCAAAACCAATTGGAAACGCCCAATCTGGTTTCAGGCGTGCGACCGCTTACAGCAAGCACATCTGGGTCCGCCACCCCAATGAAGCAGGGGACCTGCTTGGTAATGAACCCAGGGCTGATAGATGGGAGAGATGAAAGGGGGTGTGAACTGTCGCTCAGATGAGGTGGGAATGACCCCTGTCGATGATGAAACAATGTGAGGACTGTCCATCTGCAGGACATGAGAGACACAGTGCCAACAAGCTGCATTGCAGGATGGATAGAAAGGATAGGAAGGACAAGGAGAAGGAGCAGTGTCAGAGGAGTCCTTCTAGAGCAGAAGCAGTGTTGCAGGCGACATTGTGGGAATCACTATATAACCATGCTTCTTGTCATAGCAGTTGAGTGGATCCCCATCCACTCTACACCTTACATTACTAGTTATAACTTCATCATAAGTATACTTAGTAGTTTCTGTCAACAGTTGCAATTGCAAAGCATTGCATCTATCATAGTGCATGTGTTGTATCACCACTCACTGACATCATCCAAAGGTGGTTCATTCTGTGGTCCAGATATCAACTGACACTGAAGGCAGTTCATACTGCAGTCTGGCTCTCTCAATCATTAGAACCAAAGGCAGTCATCCACTTTGGTCTGGGGATCATTCAGTCACTCAGTCAGCACACTGAACACTCATGTCAGCACCAGCATATTCACACCAGACCTTGGTGTCACCTCAAAGTATCTATCAACTAGCAAACATGCCAAGCTACCTCTGAGCAGAGTGTCCCCAGTGGTCAGTTGAAATCTGCAATAGATATCAGTTATGACATATTTGAGTGAGAAAAGTCATAGAACACTTCTATGACAGATTTCAGCAAGAATAATAATAAAGGCCTTTTACCACAGATCTTGATAGGATCAGTAGTAGTTTTCTTTTTACTACAGATTTCGGGTTTCAGGCATGCGACCGCTGACAAGCAGCACCATGAACACCTGTGCTGTATTAGGGAGTTGTATCTTATACCATTCTCAAACCAATGTGTTACAGACATGCCAGATGGCCTCTGAATGGTGTGTTCAAGGCAGTCAGCCAAAACCTACCAGAACTCAACCATCTGGTTACTTCCAATCAAAACATACTGAATAGAGCTTACTCAGTTGATTTCACTGAAATCAACCAGAAACACCCAATCCAGTTTCAGGCGCAAGACCGCTTACATGTGCCTGTGTGTGTGTGTGTGTGTGTGTGTGTTGTTGAAAGTAAACAATCCAACATGGTGATGTAAGCAGACATAAGGCAATATGAGAGAGATTGGGTGAAGCAGATCTGATCAGAGATTAGACAGAGATGATCACACCAGGGATCAAATGCAACCTGGTCCCACTCATTGTCAGGCATCATCATTAAGTAGATAGCACCCACACTCAGTATCAGCCTCAGAGATGTATATATATTTAGCTGAGAACTCTAGGTTCTCACCATGTTTGCTTCTGTCAATTGAGTATACATGTTTCTATCTTTTAGCAGCAATGACATCGTACTTAGACTCTCCCCAATCGCCAGTATCGGGACCCAAACGTCTTTTCAACATGTGTGTGTGTGTGTGTGTGTGTGTGTCTTTTTGTGTTCTTCTCTCGCTTGCTCGAAAGTGTGACTTGAGTGAGTTGTCGGCATCCGTGCGCGTACCGCACCGCAGAACACACTCCTTCCACGCAAGCACTCCGCTCGTCTTCATCTTCTCAATCCTCACCTCCTTCCCAAATCTCTTTTACCTTCCACCAATCATCCATATCACTGTCGTCGCCATTTGAGTGATCAGATCTTTCCTCCAAGCTACTCCACTCTCTCCGGTCGCTTTCCATCGTCAAGGTTCGTAGCAATGGCTGACACCGCCGCCGCCCCTGCCGCCGCCTCTGCCACCAACGGCAACGGCAACACCAACGGCACTACCGAAAAGAATCTCCATCGTCCAGCAGGCAGCCCTGACGCCGTGGAAATTGCCAAGCTCGCCGGCGGCAAGCCCGATCCCAACGCCAACCAAGCTGAACTCGACAAGCTCGCCAAGCAGATTGACGCTACCCAGAAGGAACTCAACCAGGTTCGATCCCTTCTCTCGGGCGCTGGCCCCTCGAAGGACTCCCCCGCTGGTATCCGTCGCACTCAGCTCCGCTCCGAACTCGATCAGCTTCGCAACCAGCAGGCCGGATCCAAGGGTGCTCGCGGTAAGACCCTCGAAGACCTTCGCACCCTCCAAGAATCCATCTCAAAGAAGGTCAAGGACCTCCAACACGCCAAGTCTAAGACTCCTTACAAGTCCACCGCCGATGTCGATTCTCGCATCAAGCGTCTCGAGGAGCTCGTCGAGTCAGGGTCCATGAAGCTCGTCGAAGAGAAGAAGGCTCTTAGCGAAATCTCTCAGCTCAAGAAGAACCGTAAAACCGTCGAGAACTTTGACACTCTTCAGTCCCAGATCGACTCTGACCGTGCTCAGGTTGATGCACTCAAAGCCACCCTCGACAGTCCTGAGGCCAAAGCTCTGAACAAGCGCTACGATGAGATCAAGGCTGAGTTGGACGCCATTCAGGCTGAGCAGGACAAGCAGGCTGGTAGCCGAGGAAAGCTTTTGGATCAGCGAACGCAGTTGTCCGCTAAGCTCGACGCACTTTACCAAGCAAGAAGGGATCGTCAGGCAGCCTTCCGTGTCGCCAACGACACCTTCTACGCCAAATTGAACCAGGAACGCGAGAAGAGACTCCAAAAGCAACGCGAAGAACGTCAAGCCCAAGAAGCAGAGAAGCGCAGGGAACACGAACAGCAACTTCGTGAAGAAGCTTCCCTCCCCGCTTTCGCCAAGGAGATCGAAGACTGCGATGTGCTCATCAACTACTTCTCCAAGGGCAGCGCTTCCTCCAACGAGAACGAGAAGAAAGACAAGCAGAAGTCCGTTGGCGGCAAGGCTCTCAACCTTCGGCAGGTGAACAGCGACGCTATGGTTCCCAAAGGTGCAGTTCTGCACCAGAAGAAGGAAGAGGAAGAGACCTACTTTGCTGGAAACTCCAAACAGCGCAAGCCTAAGGGTAAGGGTCGTCGTGGTACTCCTCTCGATCTCAATGCTGCTGAGGGGGCGGATGAGAACGCTGCGGCTGCGGGTGGTGCGGGTGAGAAGTTGAACGTTCCCCTCGGAACCCTTTCGGCTTTGTTGGCTCTCAGCATTCCCCCTCCTGCAAATGCAGCTGATGTGGGTAGGGTGGTGGAGAACTTGAAGTTGAAGAAACAGTACTTTGTCAGCAACCAGGCTCGCGTTACAAGGGAGAACATCGAGAGGGTGGAAAAGATGCTTGCTAAGTCCAGCTTGAGTGAGAAGGAGGGCGAGGAGAAGAGCGAGGAGGTGAAGGCTTAAGCTCAGCTAGGCTATCTCGTAGACGGGATACAGCCCCAATACACAAGGTGATCTGACAAGAAGGTCTCTGAAAAATGCGATTGTACTTACATATACTGTCCCTGCCCGAAGTTTGGGGACAGGGTCCAATAGACAATAAATCAACTGTCCGATAGCATACCTTCCATCTGCTTGGAGGACTGATCTCTCATAAGTGTCAGACTGAGCAAAACACACAGTGAGCAAGTCCAAAAGAAGAGCTTTCGATTGCAGTGAGTCTCAGAGCTGACTAATACTTGAGCAGGCCTCCATGCTTAGTAAGCACTTGCTCCACGCAATGCTCCATCAACTCGATCACAGGATTGATATGTTTGAGCATGATCTGGGTGTTCCACACTTCCCACACTTCTGTCATGGGGCCGGATGCGCAGGAAGCAGGAAGAACGGAAGTCATATGAGGAGAAGTGCAGGAATTGCAGGATTGGGCAAAAACAAGGTTTTACAACAGAGTTCATCGAGATCTATAGTAAAGAGGCTTTACAACAGATCTTGTCCAAATCAGCATGAGCAGGATCTTACAACAAAAACTGCTGGAATCTGTGGTAGCATGATTGTATGACAGATCTTGTGGAAACCAGTGAGAGAATGCCAATTCCACAGATCTCACAGCAAGACAGAAGTGGAGGACATTGGGTTTGCCACCCTGATGAGGTGGGGGGCCAACTTGACAATGAACTTGGAGCAGGAGGGTGGGCAAGATAAGAAAGGGTGCAAGCTGCTGCCCAGATGAAGTGGGAATGGTTCCTATCAATGATGAAGCAGCACAAGGACTGTCCATCCACACAGAGCAAGGGAAGCAGTGCTAACAAGTAGCATTGTAAGGAAGACAGGACTGATAGGATGGATGAGGGGAGAAGGAGCAGTGTCAGAGGAGTCCTTCTAGAGCAGAAGCAGTGTTGCAGGCAATATTGTGGGAATCACTATATAACCATGCTTCTTGTCATAGCAGTTGAGTGGATCTCCATCCACTCTACACCTTACATTACTAGTTATAACTTCGTCATAAGTATACTTAGTAGTTTCTGTCAACAGTTGCAATTGCAGAGCATTGCATCTATCATAGTGCATGTGTTGTATCACCGCTTCTTGATGTCACAGGGCCAGCGGGCCAGCATATGAAGGGTGTGCCAAATTGACCAACAGCATTCATGGTAATGTCACAGGGTCAGCAGATCAACATATGAAGGGTGCACCAAATTGATTGGCACCAAATCATCAGGAATTGACAAAGCTGATCAGGCTGGTAGCAGATATGATTTATGAGATCAACTGAACTCTGGGTTCCAGGTTAATCTCACAAGGATCAATCAGGATCAGCTGGATCAGCATGCCTCAGCAAGTCAGCTGACACAAGCAAGTGTCAGAAGATTCAGGAAGGAAGATACTGGCATTAGAAGGAGAAGCATACAGAGATAACCACATGTAGGAGTGGGGGACTGAGCTCAGCATCATGCAGACAGTTACCGCTCAAGGGGTATGTGCATATAGCCACACAGGACTGTAAGTGGTTGCGCGCCAGAGACTTAGTTTTGGGGTGCTATTGAGTTTGATTGAGTAAGGTCTACTCAGTATGTTTCACCTAAATGTAACCAAATGTCGCTGCCTGGTAAGTCTCAACTGACCACCTTGAACACTCTGTTCAGAGGTTGCATGGCACAGACACTGGTCATTGGTGAGTGAGTGAAACACTCTCTCCTACAGTATGAGTGTTCATAGTACTGTTGATAATGCTCTTGGACATCATCTGGACTGTGATATGCTAATCGCCTACAGAGGACAGGAGTTACTGGACCACAGGTGTGAGTCACCGCCTACAATAACTGACTGGACCGCAGGTGTCGAGTGTCATGGGCCTGAATGCTCAAGAAGCAGGAGGGTCATTGGTTCATATGGAAGGAGCACAAGTATCGAAGATCTAGTTGATACCATTAGAGAGCATGGTCGTAGTGCAGTATCCATGGAGACCATGGACTACTACGGACTCACATGCAAAGGAGGGCCAGGCACAGCCACGAGGAGGACCAAGCTCAAGGAGCAGGCACAGCCATGAAGAGGACCAAGCTCAAGGAGCATGCAGATGGTTACCACTCAGGGGCTCGAGAGACAAGAGTCAAAGGAACCGACACCAGGTCCTGAGGAGGAGGAGCAGTGTCGAAGGAGTCGACACCACTCAGGAGGCACAAGGGTGCCAAACAAGCAGGATAGCAAGGAGGAGGAGCAGTGTCGAAGGAGTCGACACAGCTCAAGAGGCACAGGGGTGCCAAGCAAGCAGGAGAGGCCCCCTGAACAGTACTCGATGAAGAAGGTACTCTCTGGAGAGAAAGCAGGAGCAGCATCACTGGTGATGCTGTGAAGAGGTATATAACCATGCTTTCTCATCATCAAAGGTCGAGTGGAGCCTCATCCACTCTACACAAAGCATCATAACTAGTTATCACTTCAGCATAAGTATATATTAGTTTCAGTCAGCATAGCAGCAATCTATCAAGGTTGCTCCTCATCATAGTGTGTGTGTTGTATCACCACTACCTGATGTCCGAAGGCGCCCCATAGCAGGTTAGCAGTCTGGATCAAGATAGAACCGAAGGCAGTAGTCCACTGCAGTCTGGGGATCACTTCAAGCATCAAGTCAACACACTGGACACTCATGTTGATGCCACCAACCTTATCACCAACACCATCAACCTCATCATCAGCAACACTCACACCAGACCTTGGTGTCATCATAACCTATGCATAGATATTGATCATGCCAAGCTACCCCTGAATGGAGTGTCCACAGAGGTCAGCCAAAACCTATGATAGTATATACAATGAATGCCCCCCACTGTCATCATGCAACTTGATAGTCACTGAACAACTAGCTCATTGAGACTGATACCGAGACAATAGCTGTTGCACAGTTTGATAGTCACTGAGTATCTCGACAGACTGACCCAGGTTTCAGGTGTGAGACCCCTGACATTAGAGTGGATCGTTCAAGCAGCTCCTCACAATCACCATGATGGACCCAGACCTCAACAATAAGCTCGATAGACTACTCACTCTATTGGAAGCACAGCTAGAGCTTACCAGGCAGGGACAATGAGAGGAACGATTACAACAAGCTCATCTGAGCAGAGAGGAGACAATTGACCTCTCTCACTCAGAAGACCAAGCAGGAGGAGGAGATGAGTCTATGATAGGAGACCCACATACTCCTACCCCAGCTCCATGACCAAGATGATCAGTCTCATTCATCAACCTGGATGAGCAGGATGACATCAACTATGAGAAGTATGCTTCACCTACCAGACCAAGATATGTCAAGACTAAGGTGGACCCCTACAGTAGGACCAGGATGGACCCTTACCCCCTGGACCAAGAGGAGGACACCAGCATCATGATGGAGAGGTTGAAGCCCATCGCCACCCCATTTCCAAAGTTCAATCCCTGAGACATGGAGATCTTAAATCTAGAAGCCAAAGCATGGTTTAAGTTCAACCAGGTGTTTGAGCAGTCTAGGATGATCAACCACATGGGTGCTCAACTGGAAGGGACTGCACGAGAGTGGTGGACCTCAAAGCTCCATATTGATAGAGCTAGAGAAGGAAGGTTGTTCAATGATTGGCACTACTTCACAGAGCGACTGTCAGAGCAGTTCAACCCATGCAATGCTAGGATGGAGGCATACAACAAGCTGTTAGCTCTCAGGCTCACAAGTGATGCTCCTGGTGCTGCCACACATCATGTAGAGCAGTTCAGAGACTTGGAGGGACAGGTCAACCTAGATGACAATGAGCTAGTGATTGATCTCTTCAGAGGTAGTCTCACTCACAGCATACAGGAGAAGTTTGAGAGGAACCCACCTGGGAAGAGATGGGAGTGGTATCGAGAGGTTGAGGAGATCAATCAACAGAGGATGCTACTACAGCAGTCCTCAGCTAGACACTCACTCCCAAATGCCATGTCACCTCCACTAAGAACTGGGTCTCAGCCAAATCAAAGTTCAATCCCCATACATCAACCCACTCAACCTTATCCAGCTTGATCACCAGCACAATCAACTACACAAAACCTAAACTGACCAACTAACCGACCCCTTCCTCATCAACCCACCCAAACCTCAAAACAAGGAAGCCCTGCTCTATCAGGTAACAACACCTGTCATGTATGCAAGGGTATCGGCCATTGGGCCAGAGACTGTCCCAGCAGGAGGGTAGATCCTCTTAGCTCTTGACCCATGGGTCCAAAGGTCATGGTCACCACAGCAGACCCCTTCAAGGAGGCCACCGACTCAGGAGATGGCCACACAAGCAGCACGGAGATGGGTGACCCCAAGGCCATGGACCTCAGCTCATACCAGCAATCCATGGACCCCAATCATGAGGAGGAGGAGCACAATGATGATGATGACAAGGGAAACATCAGTGGGGTGATGCACTGATGGCATGCATTGCTCTACAAACCTCCTCGCCATCACTCTGTATATATCAAGATTGTCAAGTATGTTTCTCTACCAGTGGAGGCAAAGCAGTACTGGAGCTCTTTGGAATAGTTCAAGACCATCCTGCTCAGATACTGGCTGATACCAGTGCTGGTTTGTCCATAGTCTCAGATTCTTTCATTAGTAAGTACCAAATACCCACAAAACCCATAAAAACAAGATCGATCCATGGTGTCACCAGACACCAACTCTCCATCAATAGTTCTGCGAGCATGCAGGTATCTATTGGTACACACAATCTGGGTGTGGTCAAAGCTTCAGTGGCTGACACTGCTGACTATGACCTCATCCTGGGGTTCACTGAGCTACAGAGGCTCAAACCCACCATACAATGGGATATGGGCCAGCTGGAGTTCAAGACTCAGGAACAGGACCAACCCCCAAGGAGACCCCCTGAAGCAGCAAGAGCAGGGGACCTAACCATGAGGAGACCAACCCTTCATGGAAACAAGTTTGTCTCCACAGAGCGCATACTACAAGCAGCTCTGGAAGATGGACCCATAGGGTTCATGCTGTTGGAGGAGCCACCATCATCACTCCTGGCCTTTGGTTTTGTACCTACAGGTGCAGACAAAGGAGTAGAGATGGAGGTAGAGGTGGACAAGGTGGTGATGGCTGCAGACATACCAAAGCCATACCAACACCTGCGAGATGTGTTCGATGAAGTGGAAGCAGACAAGCTACCCCATCATACTGAGCATGATCTCCACCTCAAGTTGATAGAAGGAGGTAAGTGTCATGGGCCTGGATGCTCAAGAAGCAGGGGGGTCACAGGTTCATATGGAAGGAGCACAGGTATCGAAGATCTAGTCGAGATCAGTAGAGAGCATGGTCGTAGTGCAGTCTCCATGGAGACCATGGACTCCTACGGACTCACATGCAAAGGAGGGCCAAGCACAGCCACGAGGAGGACCAAGCTCAAGGAGCAGGCACAGCCACGAAGAGGACCAAGCTCAAGGAGCATGCAGATGGTTACCACTCAGGGGCTCGAGAGACAAGAGCCAAAGGAACTGTCACTGATCAAAGGAGAAGGAGCAGTGTCAAAGGAGTCGACACGAGGTCATGAGGAGGAGGAGCAGTGTCGAAGGAGTTGACATCAGGTCATGAGGAGGAGGAGCAGTGTCGAAGGAGTCGACACAGCTCAAGAGGCACAGGGGTGCCAAGCAGGAGAGGCCCCTGAGCAGTACTCGATGAAGAAGGTACTCTCTGGAGAGAGAGCAGGAGCAGCATTGCTGGCGATGCTGAGTAGAGGTATATAACCATGCTTTCTCATCATCATAGGTCGAGTGGATCCTCATCCACTCTACTCACCATAACTAGTTATCACTTCAGCATAAGTATATATTAGTTTCAGTCAGCATAGCAGCAATCCATCAAAGGTTGCTCCTCATCGTAGTGTGTGTGTTGTATCACCACTACCTGATGTCCGAAGGCACCCATAGCAGGTTAGCAGTCCAGATCAAGATAGAACCGAAGGCAGTAGTCCACTGCGGTCCGGGGGTCACTTCAAGCATCAAGTCAACACACTGGACACTCGTGTTGACGCCACCAACCTTATCACCAACACCATCAACCTCCTTATCATCAACACTCACCAACCTTATCACCAACGACATCAACCTCATCATCATCAACACTCACACCAGACCTTGGTGTCATCATAACCGAAGCATTGATATTGATCATGCCGAGCTACCCCTGAACGGAGTGTCCACAGAGGTCAGCCGAAACCTACGATAGTATATACAATGAATGCCACCTGCTGTCACTGCACAACTTGATAGTCACTGATACCGAGACAATAGCTGTTGCACAGTTTGATAGTCACCGAGTATCTCAACAGACCGACCTGGGTTTCAGGCACGAGACCCCTGACATTAGAGTGGATTGTTCAAGCAGCTCCTCACGATCACCATGATGGACCCAGACCTCAACAATAAGCTCGATAGACTACTCACTCTATTGGAAGCACAGCTAGAGCTTACCAGACAGGGTCATCAAGAGGAACAATTACAACGAGCTCAACTGAGCAGGGAGGAGACAATGGACCTCTCTCACTCAGAAGACCAAGCAGGAGGAGGAGATGAGTCTATGATAGGAGACCCACATACTCCTACTCCAGCTCCATGACCAAGACGATCAGTCTCATTCAACCTGGATGAGCAGGAGGACATCAACTACGAGAAGTATGCTTCACCTACTGGGCCAAGATATGTCAAGACTAAGCTGGACCCCTACAGCAGGACCAGGACGGACCTGTCATGGGCCTGGATGCTCAAGAAGCAGGAGAGTCACGGGTTCATATGGAAGGAACACAGGTATCGAAGATCTAGTCGAGATCAGTAGAGAGCATGGTCGTAGTGCAGTCTCCATGGAGACCATGGACTCCTATGGACTCACATGCAAAGGAGGGCCAAGCACAGCCACGAGGAGGACCAAGCTCAAGGAGCAGGCACAGCCACGAAGAGGACCAAGCTCAAGGATCATGCAGATGGTTACCACTCAGGGGCTCGAGAGACAAGAGCCAAAGGAACTGTCACTGATCAAAGGAGGAGGAGCAGTGCCGAAGGAGTCGACACCAGGTCATGAGGAGGAGGAGCAGTGTCGAAGGAGTCGACACCAGGTCATGAGGAGGAGCAGTGTCGAAGGAGTTGACATCAGGTCATGAGGAGGAGGAGCAGTGTCGAAGGAGTCGACACAGCTCAAGAGGCACAGGGGTGCCAAGCAGGAGAGGCCCCTGAGCAGTACTCGATGAAGAAGGTACTCTCTGGAGAGAGAGCAGGAGCAGCATCGCTGGCGATGCTGAGAAGAGGTATATAACCATGCTTTCTCATCATCATAGGTCGAGTGGATCCTCATCCACTCTACTCACCATATAACTAGTTATCACTTCAGCATAAGTATACATTAGTTTCAGTCAGCATAGCAGCAATCTATCAAGGTTGCTCCTCATCGTAGTGTGTGTGTTGTATCACCACTACCTGACGTCCGAAGGCGCCCATAGCAGGTTAGTGGTCCGGATCAAGATAGAACCAAAGGCAGTAGTCCACTGCGGTCCGGGGATCACTTCAAGCATCAAGTCAACACACTGGACACTCGTGTTGACGCCACCAACCTTATCACCAACACCATCAACCTCATTATCATCGACATCACCAATCTCATCACCAACACCATCAACCTCATCACCATCAACACTCACACCAGACCTTGGTGTCATCATAACATTGATATTGATCGTGCCGAGCTACCCCTGAACGGAGTGTCCACAGAGGTCAGCCGAAACCTACGATAGTATATACAATGAATGCCACCTGCTGTCACTGCACAACTTGATAGTCACTGATACCGAGACAATAGCTGTTGCACAGTTTGATAGTCACCGAGTATCTCAACAGACCGACCTGGGTTTCAGGCACAAGACCCCTGACATTAGAGTGGATTGTTCAAGCAGCTCCTCACGATCACCATGATGGACCCAGACCTCAACAATAAGCTCGATAGACTACTCACTCTATTGGAAGCACAGCTAGAGCTTACCAGACAGGGTCATCGAGAGGAACGATTACAACGAGCTCAACTGAGCAGGGAGGAGACAATGGACCTCTCTCACTCAGAAGACCAAGCAGGAGGAGGAGATGAGTCTATGATAGGAGACCCACATACTCCTACTCCGGCTCCACGACCAAGACGATCAGTCTCATTCAACCTGGATGAGCAGGAGGACATCAACTACGAGAAGTATGCTTCACCTACTGGGCCAAGATATGTCAAGACTAAGCTGGACCCCTACAGCAGGACTAGGACGGACCCTTACCCTCTGGACCATGAGGAGGATACCAGCATCATGGCAGAGCTTAACTGGTCAAAGCCCATCGCCACCCCCTTTCCAAAGTTCAATCCCCGAGACATGGAGATCTTCATTCTAGAAGCCGAAGCATGGTTTAAGTTCAACCAGGTGTATGAGCAGTCTAGGATGATCAATCACATGGGTGCTCAACTGGAAGGGACAGCAAGAGAGTGGTGGACCTCCAAGCTCTGTATTGATAGAGCTAGAGAAGGAAGGTTGTTCAATGATTGGCACTACTTCACAGAGCGACTGTCAGAGCAGTTCAACCCACGCAATGCTAGGATGGAGGCATACAACAAGCTGTTGGCTCTCAGACTCACAAGTGATGCTCCTGGTGCCACCACACGTCATGTAGAGCGGTTCAGAGACTTGGAGGGACAGGTCAACCTAGATGACAACGAGCTAGTGATTGATCTCTTCAGAGGTAGCCTCACTCGTAGCATACAGGAGAAGTTCGAGAGGAATCCACCTGGGAAGAGATGGGAGTGGTATCGAGAGGTTGAGGAGATCGATCGACAGAGGATGCTACTACAGCAGTCCTCGGCTAGACACTCACTCCCAAATGCCACGTCACCTCCACTAAGAACTGGGTCTCGGCCAAATCAAAGTTCGATCCCCATCCGACAACCCACTCAACCTTATCCAGCTCGATCACCATCACAAGCAACTACACAAGCAACTATACAAAACCTAAACTGACCCCTTCCTCATCATCCCACCCAACCCTCGAAGCAAGGAAGCCCTGCTCCATCAGGTATCAACACCTGTCATGTATGCAAGGGTATCGGCCATTGGGCCAGAGACTGTCCCAGCAGGAGGGTAGACCCTCTTAGCTCTCGACCCATGGGACCAAAGGTTATGGTCACCACAGCAGACCCCTTCGAGGAGGCCACCGACTCAGGAGATGGCCACACAGGCAGCACTGAGATGGGTGACCCCGAGGCCATGGACCTCAGCTCATACCAGCAACCCATGGACCTCGACCATGAGGAGGAGGAGCATGATGATGATGACGATGAGGGAAATGTCAGTGGGGTGATGCACTGATGGCATGCATTGCTCTACAAACCTCCTTGCCATCACTCTGTATATATCAAGATTGTCAAGTATGTTTCTCTACCAGTGGAGGCAAAGCAGTACTGGAGCTCTCTGGAATGGTTCAAGACCATCCTGCTCGGATACTAGCTGATACTGGTGCTGGTTTGTCCATAGTCTCAGATTCTTTCATTAGTAAGTACCAAATACCCACAAAACCCATAAAAACAAGATCGATCCATGGTGTCACCAGGCACCAACTCTCCATCAATAGTTCTGCGAGCATGCAGGTATCTATTGGTACACACAATCTGGGTGTGGTCGAAGCTTCAGTGGCCGACACTGTGGACTATGACCTCATCCTGGGGTTCACTGAGCTACGGAGGCTCAAACCCACCATACAATGGGATACGGGCCAGCTGGAGTTCAAGACTCAGGAGCAGGACTGACCCCCAAGGAGACCCCCTGAGGCAGCAAGAGCAGGGGACCTAACCATGAGGAGACCAACCCTTCATGGTAACGAGTTTGTCTCAGCAGAGCACATACTACGAGCAGCTCTGGAAGATGGACCCATAGGGTTCATGCTGTTGGAGGAGCCACCATCATCACTCCTGGCCTTTGGTTTTGTACCTACAGGCACAGACAAAGGAGTCGAGATGGAGGTGGAGGTAGACAAGGTGGTGACGGCTGCAGACATACCAAAGCCATACCAACACCTGCGAGATGTGTTTGATGAGGTGGAAGCAGACAAGCTACCCCATCATACCGAGCATGATCTCCACCTCGAGTTGATAGAAGGAGGTAAGCCACCTCAAGGGCCCCTATACCTTAAGGGACCCAAGGAGATGTCCGAGTTGAGGAGGTACTTGGATGAGAACCTCGAGAAGGGGTTCATAAGACCATTGAAGAGCCCAGCACGATCACCAGTGCTCTTTGTACCAAAGAAGGATGGAGGTCTCAGACTCTGTGTGGACTACAGAGGTCTCAACAAGATCACTGTCAAGAACAGGGCACCATTGCCCCTCATCGAGGAGCAGCTGTTCTTACTCAGGAAGGCAAGGATCTATACCAAGCTAGACCTTAGAGCAGCATACAACCTCATCCGGATTGCTAAAGGAGATGAATGGAAGACAGCTTTTGGCACTCAGTTGGGACTCTATGAGTACCTAGTGATGCCCTTTGGCCTAGCCAATGCTCCAGCTCACTTCCAGTCATTCATCAATGACATCTTCCGAGACATCCTTGGGATATATGTGGTAGTATACCTAGATGACTTCCTGATCTTCAGTGACACTGAAGAAGCACATGTGAAGCATGTCACTGAGGTCCTCACTTGCTTAAGGAGCAACAGGCTCTTTGCTAAGCTGTCAAAGTGTGAGTTCCACACCAAGACAGTCGAGTTCCTGGGGTACATCATCAAGCCAACAGGCATAGAGATGGACCCAGAAAAGGTGCGCACTGTCAAGGAGTGGCCAATGCCGGAGTCAATCCATGACATCCAGAGGTTCCTGGGTTTTGCCAACTTCTATTGAAGGTTCATAGCCCACTTTGCTCACATAGCCAAGCCCTTGACAGCACTGGTAAAGCCTATAGAACGGTTCAAGAAGTTCGAGCTACCAGAGGAGGCCCAACAGGCCTTCCACAAGCTCATCCAGGCCTTCACATCAGCAGGAGTGCTTCAGCACTTCGACTACCACCTTCCAACAAGGTTGGAGACTGATGCAAGTGACTTTGCTATAGCAGGAGTACTCAAGCAGGAGCATGAAGGATGATGGCATCCAGTGGCTTTCTACTCTAGGAAGATGTCTTCTGCCGAGAAGAACTATGAGATCCATGACAAGGAGCTCCTAGCTGTGGTTGCCTGCCTCACTCAGTGGCGACACATGCTAGCTGGACTACCGAGCCAACTGGTCATCCTCACTGACCATGAAGCCCTCAAGTACTTCAAGTCACAGAGACACATCACAGGTTGACAGGCTCGATGGGCCATACTACTAGCAGACTTCGACTTCATATTGCAGTATCGACCAGGAGACAAAGGTGGTGAACCCGATGCTCTCACCAGAAGGACAGACATGCAACCAGCTGGTGAAGAGCAGGATCACAATGTGAGGCAACTACTGCCTCCTCGAGTGTTCAAGGAGACAGCAGACCATGACTCGATCCTAGTGGCCCCCATGATCTCGATGGAGTCCATAGCATCAAAAGGTCTCAGAGACCTGGTCAAGATCTTCCAGCCCTTAGACCAAGAGCTACAGGAGATACATAGGAAGAAGCCCTTCAAGGTCAGGGATGACCTATGGTACAGTGGAGGAAGGTTGGTTATCCCCAAAGTGATCATGCCAGGGAGGATCAACAACTGACACTCAAGGAGTGCCAAAGAGGTAGATGGACAGTCTCTCTCTGTAGAGCACCTGCATTTCATGGTGATGACTCAATGCCATGATGGCATCACTGCTGGACATGTGGGAAGAGATGCTACCATCAAGGCGGCCCAACAACATTACTGGTGGCCAAACATGACAGCTTGGATTGCAGATTATGTAGCAAGTTGTCCTGTATGTGCCAGGTACAAAGCTCCTCGTCACTGTCCATATGGGTTGCTACAGCCACTAGCAATGCCAGACAGGCCCTGGGGCTCCATATCCCTCGACTTCATCGAAGGATTACCACCATCAAGGAACTATGACTCCATCCTCGTCATTGTTGACAGGCTGACCAAGTTTGCCATACTAGCTCCAACCCATAAGACAGTCATGGCCAAACAGACTGCAGTGTTGCTATACAGACACATGGTTAGACTTTTCAGATACCCAGACCACATGGTCTCGGACCGAGGCAGGCAGTTCATATCAGGAGCATGGAAGGCATTCACAGAACAAATGGGTGTGAAGCACTCACTTAGCACAGCTTACCATCCTCAAACTGATGGTCAGACAGAGAGGGTCAATCAGGTCATAGAGCAGTACCTAAGGATGTACTGCAACTATGAGCAGAATGACTGGGCTGACCTGCTGGACACTGCAGCCTTTGTATACAACAACACAGTCCACAACAGCATTGGTGTCTCACCATTCTTTGCATGCTATGGATGGAACCCTAAGGCTCATCCTGATATCCCTCAATGACTAGGAGTCAATGATCCAGGTCGCTTCGAGTACCTCATGGATGGAAAGGAGCATTGCAAGTACCTCCAGGAGCAGATCAGAGAGGCACAATGTAGATCAGTAGACCAGTATAACAGGAAGCACAAGGACATTGAGTTCAAGGTGGGTGATATGGTCTATATCAACTGTTGAAACTGGAAGACAAGGAGACCCACACCCAAGTTAGATACTCGGTTTGCAGGACCCTACCCAGTTCAGGAACGAGTAACCTACCTCCCACTCTGGAGGATAGTCCCCAGTAGCGATTTTTACCACCAGCCTAGACACCACCAATCCTTCAGACCAACCAGCTATCTCACCATTGGTAGGTACATGACAATCAAGGGTAGGAGGGGCTGGAGTACAGGCCAAGTCTAATTCCACAGCATCATGATGGTCAGAGGAAGAAGTCATGGGGCATTCCAGGTCAAGGAACAAAGGATCAGGTCTGTACACGTGCCCAAGGGAGGAGCAGAGGGAAAGCAAGGAAGCAGTTGGGCTCAGGAAGGCTGAGTCATCAGGAAGGGAAGATGTAGGCAACAGGGGAGTCTGGATAGAAGAAGTCAGACTCTGAGGGGCAGGGTCATCATTAGAAACCTCGACCATTGTAGTAGGAGGTGAAGGGGAAGTCCTCGAAGGATGAGAATGATGAAGATGGGGCATACCGAGTAAAGGGATATTGGTTGCATGATATGGTAAGAGGAGAAGAAAGAGGGGATGAAAAGAAAGATGAAGGAGGGCTTATATAACCTCGACGGAGCTCAGCTCTGGAAGGGGGGGTAATGTCACAGGGATGGCTGGCCTGCACAAGAGAGTGTGCCAAATGATCAGTGGCAGTTATGGTAATGTTGTGTAATGGAGCAGTATATGAAGGGTGTGCAGAAGATCAACATATGAAGGGTGTGCCAGATTGATCAGAGCCAAAAACCATCAGGGATCAACAAGATTAATCGGGTTGGCAGTGCACATGAATTACAAGATCGATCGAACCCCGGGAATCCAGATCAATCTCATGGGTTTGGTCGGAGTCAGCTGGATCAGCATGCTTCAACTAGTCAGCCAATCCAAACAAGTACTCAGAGCTGTGCTGATGTTGGAGTCAGTCGGATCAGCATGCCTCAACTAATCAGCCGATCTGAACAGGTATTCAGAGCTGTGCCAATGTCGGAGTCAGTCAGATCAGCATGCTTCAACTAGTTGGCCAATCCAAACAAGTATTTGGAGCTGTGCTGACGTCAGAGTCAGTCAGATCAGCACGCTTCAACTAGTCGGCCAATCTGAACAAGTCAAGACGGAACTGTGCTGATGTGACCACATGACCAGGGGGTATGGTCATGAGGTTCAAAAGGGAATTCACAAGATCAAGTCGAAAGGGGGCTGTGCCAAAAGGGGGCATCACACATCAGACAGAAGGAGAGCATGTAGGCGAGAGGGCAGTGTTGCATAACCCTTACACTGAGCAAATGGTAGGAGCACAGTATTGAAGGGGTTGATGCCAGCAGGGCAAGGCAGTGCCTAACAGGGGACAAAGGCCCCTCAAGAGGAGCAGGATAGGTGTCAAGGGAAAACACTGACTGGACATATAAATACTCTCATTCTACCATAGCATACAAGTGGATGGGCATCCACTCTGAACTCAACTTACTTACTCTATACTTACTCAGTTACATATCATTGCAATAGCAGTGCTCTTGCAACGACTCTCAACATGTGTGTTGTATCACCGTTAGTTGACAACTGTAGGTGGTGTTCTTCACACTAGCAGTCCAGTTCATTACTGTAGGCAGTGTTCTTCAACACCTGCAGTCCAGTTCCTTGCTGTAGGTGGTGTTGCTCAACACCAGCGGTCCAGTCGGTTATTGTAGGTGGTGATTCACACCAGCAGTCCAGTAACTCCTGTCCTCTGTAGGCGATTAGCAAATCACAGTCCAGTCAACGTCCAAGAGCATTATCAACAGTACTATGAACACTCGTACTGTAGGGGAGGGTGTATCACCCACTCACCAACAAACAACATTCATGCCACGCAACCTCTGAACAGAGTGTTCAAGGTGGTCAGTTGAGACTTACTAGGTGTTGATGCTTGGTTATGTTTAGGCGAATCATATCGAGTAGTCCTTACTCAATCAACCTCAGTTAGTCTCTGGCGCGCGATCGCTTACAGAGGAGCAGTGTCGAAGGAGTCGACACAGCTCAAGAGGCACAGGGGTGCCAAGCAAGCAGGATAGCTCAAGGAGGACAGGAGTGGTGCTAGAGGGGCCCCCTGTACAGTACTCGATGAAGAAGGTACTCTCTGGAGAGAGAGCAGGAGCAGCATCACTGGCGATGCTGTGAAGAGGTATATAACCATGCTTTCTCATCATCAAAGGTCAAGTGGATCCTCATCCACTCTACACAAAGCATCATAACTAGTTATCACTTCAGCATAAGTATATATTAGTTCCAGTCAGCATAGTAGCAATCTATCAAGGTTGCTCCTCATTGTAGTGCATGTGTTGTATCACCACTACCTGACATCTGAAGGCAGCCCATAGCAGGTCAGCAGTCTGGATATAGATAGAACCAAAGGCAGTAGTCCACTGCAGTCTGGGGATCACTTCAAGCATTAGTCAGCACACTGGACACTCATGTTGATGCCACCAAATTACCACCAATGCCACCAACCTTATCACCAACACCATCAACCTCATCATCATCAACACTCACACCAGACCTTGGTGTCAACAAAACCTTCGTATTGATATTGATCATGCCAAGCTACCCCTGAATGGAGTGTCCACAGAGGTCAGCCAAAACCTACGATAGTATATACAATGAATGCCACCTGCTGTCTTCATGCAACTTGATAGTCGCCAAGCAATGTAGCTCATTGAGACTGATACCAAGACAATAGCTGTCACACAGTTTGATAGTTGCTGAGTATCTCGACAGACCGACCTGGGTTTCAGGCGCGAGACCCCTGACAGTTTTGCTGCTCACTATGTTTCGGTTTGGTTACCCGATTCCCGGTCCCTGACAACAACCAACAGGGTTTTAAGGTTGTATGCAATGCCAGCCCATACCCGGTTGCTGAAACGGCTGGAACGGAATGTCAGAACCATGTTGTTGATGTCTTCTTAAGTGTTTTTCCAGCAACTAACCCATGTGTGTCTGGGCCAGTAGCCAACCTTGACAGCTGCCTCATCTGTGAACAGCACACCCCTCCAATCAGTGGAGCTGTTAGCCTTGGCCCATTCTAGACATTTATGCTGGTTTTTGGATGTCAGAAATGGCTTTCAAAGCACAATACAGCAGTTAATACCAGCCTGGTATGCTGCTTTCTGGAGCTGCATTGTTGGAATGCTGCCAAGTGATGCTGACAGCTGTCACCATGATAGAAACAGGTTTTTGAGTACCTCACACTGAAGGTAGTGGTCCAAGGTAGCTGTCCAGGAGCACAAATGGCTGGATTGTGCTTTTGTTTCAAAGGAACCATGCTCCTTAAAGTTATGGATGGTCTTGTGAACTGCTGTCTTGGAAACACTGCTTAGCTCTGTGATTTGTCAAATTGGCAGCCCAGTATCATGCATTGCAACAATTGAAGCACACTGCATTGGAGCAAGCTCATTGCCATGGACCATGTTGGTGTTTGAAGTGTTATTACTTAGTATGATGGTAGTGCTATTGCTCAATGATGACGATGACCCAAATGTGGGGTAACTGACTAAATCAGGAAATTACCCGATTTTCCTCAAACTTCTGCACAGGGACTGTACATATACTCGTTCGATACACACATGATTCAAACTAATGCTCGTTCATCAAATCATCTCAATGCATTGTGACACTCGCTGAAAGGCGAAAGCTGTGTGAGATGTACAGTGTACATTGCAACAATGTGAATTCAGATCGCGTCCAAGATGGCCTTGATCTTCTCAGGAGGAATCTTGAACCTCCTGTCCTTGGTCAAAAGCCCATTCACCTCCTGTTCAACATCTGTAAACTGAGTCCAACAAAACCCTTGCACTACCCTCCCATTCCCCTCTTCCTCTCTTGCCTTCGTTAACGCTTTCACCAGCGCTTCAAACTGTTCCAAAAAGTCCTCCTGGGAAGTCGCATTAGCGTAACCCCAATTGACCCCACCAGCTGTGTCGAGAACGCTATCTACTTTGAGTGCTAATCCGCCGAACTCAGTGCATAGGATTGGAAGCTTGTGTCTGCGTTCCGAGGTGGAGAGTGGTGGTAGAAGGATAGGGTATCCAGTAACTCTTTCTTGCGTTGCCGCTGTGCGGGTGCGGAAACCAGCTTCTAGTTCAGAGGCTGAGCGGTAATCGTGGATGGTGATGAGGTCCGATTCGACGTGTTGCCATCCATCATTGTCCACCACGGGTCTCGTTGGGTCGAGGGCTTTGGTCAGATGGTATAGCGATAAAAGATGCGACCTTTGTTGCGCAGACTTATTCAGCGCCGGTACACCCCACGACTCGTTGAGGGGCACCCACGCCACTATACATGGATGAGAGAGATTCCGTTTCACCACATCAATCCACTCCTTTGTAAACCGCTCGACGTAGGTTGTGCTGAATTCATACGCATTCGCCATCTCACCCCAGACCAGCAGACCCAGACGATCCGCCTCGCATAGAAACTGCTTGTTCTCAACCTTCTGATGCATGCGTACTCCGTTGAAACCGAGTTGTTTGATCTTTTTAATGTCTTCCGTGTACGAATTGTATTTCGGCGCACTGAGGCCACTTTCGGGCCAATACCCTTGGTTAAGAATGAGCTTTTGAAAGTAAATTCGATTGTTGAGACAAAGCCGACCGTGGGAATCGATGGAGACTTTACGCATACCAAAGTAGCTTTTGACCAGATCAAGCTCGTCTGCGTCAATAGGAGAGCTGAGCAGACGGATTTCGATATCGTACAAGCTGGGACTATCTGGAGACCAAAGTGCGAGACCGTTGTCCCATCGATCGCGGTTTACTTCTGGCGGCAGGACTCCTGGAGTGGTAAGTCGCGTTCGTAGTGGTCCTTCTGGTTGAACTCCGGATTGTCGAACGTTGATGACGGTTGAACAACTATTCGTTTGTGGACTAACCAACGTCTTGCAAGTCGAGATGATTTTACCGTTGAATTTGACCGTAAATGAAACCCAATACTCTGACTCTTTCTTCAATCTCACCAAGCTTCCTGGATCCATCAGATCCACTTCAACATCCGCCCTCACCGTTCCTGCATCGATATCACTAACAAACTGAACACTCTTGAGGTGATTGATGGGCCGAGCTTCGATCCAGACATCTTGCCAGATCCCCGTCGTAGGAGTATAAAAAATACTCTCCGGTTTCGAATTCCCATTCCTATCCTGCTTCCAATACTGTTTACCACGAGGCTGCGTCATGTCCTGCGCCCAATCTCTCGCTCTTACCACCACGACTAACTTCTTGGTGTTATCCTCACTCCTCTCCAGAGCTCTCACATGATCGGTAATCTCTAAGCTGAACGGTGTCTGGCCACCAATATGACTTCCGACCATACAGCCTTGAACCCAAACCGTAGCCTCGTAATCTACGGCTTCGAAGTGGATAAAATACCGCTTTTGCTCAGCATCTGCTCCTTTTACCTCCAGCGACACCGACTCCCAATTGATTTCGCGTTGATACCATACGATGTTATGTTGGCGCGGATCGGAGATGTCAGACATGGGAGTTTCCGGGGCGAACGGTACGATGATTGGCGAACGACAGTATTGGAGTTTGGCTGGGTCGAACCAACTTTCGTCCGTTCCCAGGTCGTCATCGTCTGGGAGGTAGTTCCAGTAACTGTTAAGTTCGAGTTTGGGTATGCCTCGGGAAAAGGCGGGGGTAACGATTTTGTTCATCTTCAAAAGCCTGACTGCCTAGCCTTTGCGGCTGGAGCGAAGGCGGAGTCAGCTTTGTGAATGGTATGCTGCGGTGAGGGAAGACGGTTGTTCACATCTGTCAGTCAGCTAACTCGAGCCTGTTGTGGGGTTACAAAGTCGTGTGGGGTCGATGACTCTAGATCGCGGCGAATTATGAGCTTTTTTTTGAATCGGGAGATTCCCCGATCCGCTTTCTTTACCTGGCTTCACCGCCCTCGACACCTCGCACCAGAAGCGCGGAACCACCCGAAAAAGAAGAAGCCGGCTCATTCCGTGGCTATAGCCACTATACTCGGAGCTGAGGGCCGTCCAGGTCCGAAGGTCCGGAGAGAAAGTTTGATGCCACGTGTTGGTCAAAAAGGAGACCATTGCTTCGGGGTTTGAAAAGCTAGCAGCAGTGTTGACATTGGGTCACACAGCGGAGGACTCAGATCCGAGGCAAGGAAACAGCGATGCACGTCTACCCCGTAGTCTCGCTAGTTGCTTGCTTGCATTCGCTCGAGTCGTTGATTGCGACACCTCCGCCCGTTCCACAAGGTCTTCAATATCCGAAGGCAAGTAAAGACCACCGACATGCTTGACTAACAGCTGTGAGGTGTCAGTAGCGTGTCGTAGATAGATGGCAGCGGAAAGTACGTCCGGGAACGTTTTGCATGCGTGCTCGCGCGGAGAGTTTGCCTCGGTACGATCCTCTTCGGAGTCTGGAACCATTCACTTGTCTTGAAAGCGTGCACGCTCTGCAGTACACGGATGGTGGCGAATGCCTAGTCTCGAAATTTTAGACCCAGAAAAAAGAAAATGAGCGGATTTTAGTTGCCGTTGTTGTTGTTGCTTGTAGAGCAGTGTGAGTCTAAATTGATCGACGGGCGCGGGACAGTGACGACAACGCGTATTTTTTACCTCGGTGACTTTTTCCTCCAAAATTGCCCGATGCAGTGGTACCAGCCTGGATGACTGAGGCTGCTCACCGCGCCACATCCACCACCAAGATCGATCAAGTTTCGATGATATCAACCCGCTACTATGACTGTTGCGGCTTGGCAGAGACCTTGGAATCATTGTCAATCGTAGAGACCGAGCGTACAAGGACGCAGTCAAAAGATGTGTCGTCACGCATCGGAGTTCATAGATGACAGATGGTATTCTCTTTGTCGGTAGCTTTCGCACTTTGCACCACAGCACTTTCGTACCTTCATGTCTCGGTGTCTAAAATGCACCAACTCAAGTTCGCAACTGCACCAGTTCAATCTCGTCATTGTGCCATTTCATTTTGCATTTCTTCCAATCGAAACAAAATTCAAGCCAGCGCCTGCAGGCTGGCAAGGTGGAGCTGCATTGAGAGGTCTTTGTCACCTTCACTCATGTTGTAGTGCTGCTCTTGGCCTAGCGCTTCACCCTTGATGGCCCTAAGCAGGTTCCTGTTGACTTCTCTTATCCAGCCTCTGGCCATTTCTGGGGTTACAGTAGTCTCCAGAGAGAGCGTCTTGGACTTGGCATGAGGCATGATGATGGTGGTCACAAAGCACAGGCAAAAGATTGACTCAGCACTGCAAAATGAACTGGTACAATGACGAAATTGGTCTGGTGCAGTTGCGAACTTGAGTTGATGCCTTTAGACACTGAGACATGAAGGTACGAAAGTGCTGTGGTGCAAAGTGCGAAAGCTACCGACAAAGAGAGTACAAAAGCGATCGAGATGAAGTCAATGTTGTTGCAAATGGAATGCAGAACAGCAACGGGGATAGGCGGAAAGGAGCAAGGACAAACACGGTCTCTGTCATGGAGCGGAAGCGCGAGACAAGGTCCCTGTCACAGAAAGTAGGTAGGACACGGGAGCCGGTTGTGATACGGAAGCTGGACACGAGGCCCCATTACGGAGCGGAAGATCGAAACCAGGCTCCATCATCGTGGGAGACAGGTGATCCAACCATGGCTTCGAAATGCGGGGAAGAGGTCAAACGCCTCTCCAGCAGCACCGGCTTAGTCGATGTGAGTGTGCTTCCAGCTGATGTTCCATCGCGTGACGTCAATCTTGGTTGTCAACATGGGAGGGACTTCCAGGGTCCAGACATTGGCAGTGCTCGAAGTGAGCGGATGGGCCAGCCGACTCGACCGAAGGATCCGCCGGTTGATCTTCTGGAACGGGAACGGCAGGCAACAGCTAAGTGAGTCTCAGTCGCGCACATCGCCAGTGACCCATTTCGAGGGCCGCGGAGTTTGGCATAACTGAACCAGATATCGTGGGACGGTACAGGAGCAGTGAAGGGGAAGGCTCAAGCATCAACGGCCCATCTGACGAGCCCGAGCATGCTCGGTCGCTGACTGTTTGGGTGGCAGGACAGGCACTTTTACAGACAACCTCACTCTTCGACTGGGTTCGGGAAGATGGTGACGCAAAAGGTCGTCTGAGAAAGTAGTATCCCACACCGCCATTTTCTACTTATGGCAGATGAATAGCACCATGTGATGTCAGGCATGGCTCAAAATAAGCCATCACAAGGTCGTGGACGCCTGATAGAAGAGCGACAACCAAAACGTCACAAGGCGGAGTGACAAAGAGAGTTGAGTGCCAGGGTGATGTCACAGCAAGGGTCTGGACAGTTTTCCGAGAAGATCGGGAGGACCCTAGGCGTTTTGCGTTGTTGATGTTGGAACTCGTGCGTCTTTGACTCGGCGCGTCGTACCGCCTCAGACGTGTCTTGGCGAGAAAAGTAGTTCTAGACGTTTCCAATTTTTATTCTCCACAAGGATCAGAGGACAAGTGGTTACAGAGAACTCGGAAATCACCTTTTGCGCAAGCTCCATCCTTGAAAGCTTAAGTACAGCTGTTGTGCCCCGTCGGCCGAAGATCAACACAGCCTATTGCTGTTGTTTGGGGTTGGTACAGCTGAAGCTGGAGCGCCGGTCAAGGTTGACAAGGAAACTGCCTGTCAAGTTGAGCAGGTTGGACGGACGGCACGGCACGGCACGGCACAAAAGGAAGAAGAAAGCGGTGTCTATCAACAGAATTCTGGATATCTGCGGTGACTTTTGAGAGAGGACCGCGAATGTGCACTTTCAACCTTTTTTTTTTTTTTTTTTTTTTTTTTTTTCCCCCTTGCCACAACTGTGCCTGTGCGACCAAAGGGAAATTAATTCCAAACCAAAAAAAAAAAATCTATCTTTGTATTCCTTCTAGAACTACAATCTGGATGCAATGCGTCAAGTGGCTCGCAACCTTTTTGTTGTTCTGCTGACCGTTGTTCCCCCGCGTCTCTTTTGGCCCCCACACTCGCCTCGGTCTTTCAAGTTGCAGTGTGTGCGCGCTGTTCCGGCCTGCATTGACCATCCCATTCGCTGACTGTGACTAGATAGCCAGCAGCGCCACACCACGCTCTCGCACTTGCACTCGCTCTCTCGAAGCCGAACCCAACTTTCCTTCTTGCGCTCTTGTCCACAGTCCAACACCGCCGCCCGACTTGCCGTTCGTCTCCTTTTGACTCTTCTCTCCCCTGTCTCCGCTCAGACTCTTGGTTTTTCAGTCTCGCCCCCGCCTTGGCAAGTCGTTGACTCACTGACACAGCGTCGCGGTTTCGACGTGGCGCGTCCACAGAATCCTCATAAGGGAACCTCTCATCTCCTCGTCCGCTCCGCCTCCCCTTTCCCCTCCCATCCATCTTGTCTCTTGTCCGTCGTTGCTTTCTTCTCTTCTCTACATACATACCCAGCGGACATCGCATCCATCCCCTTTCTTCGTCTCTTTAATCTTCTCCTTTAGTCATTATGGCCACCTTCAACACTGCTCTGCGCTCCGGCGCTATCCGCAGCCTTTCGGCTCGCGTCGTTCAGCGTAAGTTTCTACCCTCAATTCTGCTTCCTGACCGTCCAAAGCTGCACATACATCCTTGCAGCTATTTGGCGCACACGGTTGGTAGTTTGCTTTCCTCGCCATCGTCGATTTTGCGATTTCAGTGCAAGAAACGCAGTTCTGCCAGCTGTCCGACTACAAGTTGCAATTTCGTTCTGCACGGGCAATAAGCTGGTCAGACATTGTCTGCTTTCCCTTCCAGAATGCTTTCTGGACGGTTTGGCGCAGTTTCTTGCGAACAAAAGCTGTTCTTCATTCCCTCGCCAAGCATATGCTGACAATCCCGCTCTTATCTTCCGTTTCTCACTGCTTTTGCTCTCTACAGCCTCGATGATCTCGCGCGCTGCTCGTGTTCCCGCTCCTTCGGCTGCCAAGAACTTCTCCGTGTGGTCTCCCACCCGCATGATCCCTACCAGCGCCAACGCTGAGCAGGCCAACCCTGGTCCTCCTCCCCCCGTCGAGAACATTGGTGTTGACGCTGTTCTCCGCCAGAACCCCAACTCGCCCGACAACCACACTACCACCATCTTCCAGGAGTTCTCGCTCGAGGGCAAGACCGCCGTCATCACCGGTGGAAACGGTGGTCTTGGTCTCGAGATGGCTCTTGCCTACGTCGAGGCCGGTGCTCACGTTTACGCTATCGACTTGCCCAAGGAGCCTTCTGAGGAGTTCAAAATCGTGGCCGACCACTGCCGTATCATGGGCAAGCACCTCAAGTACGTTTCCGCTACCGTCACTGACGTTGAGGACATCAACGCCTGCATGGACTTCGTTATGAAGGACTCGGGCACCGACTCGCTCGACGTTTGCGTTGCCGCTGCCGGTATCCTCCAGACCTACGACGCTCTCTCCTACCCCGCAGACGAGTTCCGCAAGGTCTTCGAGGTCAACACCACCGGTGTCTTCCTCACTGCCCAGGCTGCCGCCCGCAAGATGCATGAGCAGAAGCACGTTTCTGGCTCCATCATCCTTATCGCTTCCATGTCCGGTTCCATTGTCAACCGTGATCACCACTGGGTCGCTTACAACGCCTCCAAGTCGGCTGTTCTCCAGATGGGCCGTAACCTTGCCGCTGAGTGGGGTCCTAAGGATATACGTGTCAACTGCATCTCGCCCGGTCACATCCGAACGCGTATGACTGCTGCTTACCTTGACAGCAACCCCCACTTGCTCGCCAAGTGGTCGAACTCCAACCCTCTTGGCCGTCTCGGTCGCGCTCACGAGATTCGTGGTGTTGCTGTCTGGCTCGCTTCGAGCGCTTCCTCGTTCTGCAACGGTTCCGACATCATTGTTTCGGGTGGTCACAACATCTGGTAATCTGCTTTTCTCATTAACGAAAGGACAATCTTATCAGAACATTGACCTCCCGTAGCATAAATCATCACCAAAGAATTCCTCCCCATCAAATACCTGCTTGGTTTCTCCCTCATCAGCGTCTCTGTTTCTTGTACATACTAAGGGCATAGTAAAGCATAGATTCTTGCATCTTGATCGTGTCACAGCCCTTTCTCGAGGCGAGCGTCTAGGACACCATAGCCTATGTGAACTATGAATGAGAGAGAAAAGAGCTTATCAGCAACACAGCAAAATGCACGGCCCAACCGCCTTTAGACGCCGAGCGGCCCTTCCAGTCTTCTTCTCGTCCGACTTTATCCGAAGGAGACCATGTTTGATCTTCAGAGTTGACAAAAAAAAAAATGCTGTTCTGATCCCGAATCCCGAGTTTGGGCCGATGACAGAATTCGACGCTGAGCCAATCGCGCTGAAGGCCATTTGTACTCCACTGCAGTCTTCCAATCCTCATCTTCGATATCAACCCCTGCCATCGTTCGAAACGGAGGATCAGTCAAGATGGTCACTCCATCAGCAACACGCACCGCTCTATCGGCTGCGACTCATGTTCTCCGCCGACAAACGCTCACCACCGCACCCAAGGTCCTCACTCCACGCACAATCCCCATCGCCTCTTCATCCCGCCTCTTCACTACCACCCCTATTCGCCCCCACGGCGGAATCACAAGACCAGCTCCTGGTACAGGCGTCAAAATCCACTTCGTCGATCCAAAAGGCGAGCCACTCAAATCTGTCGAAGCCAACGAAGGCGATGACTTGCTAAGCGTTGCTCACGAATACGATATTGACCTGGAAGGAGCTTGCGAAGGATCAATAGCTTGTTCCACTTGCCATGTGATTTTGGAACCGGACGTGTACGATAGCCTGGAGGAACCATGCGATGATGAGAATGATATGTTGGACTTAGCGTTTGGGTTGACAGATACAAGTAGGTTGGGTTGTCAGGTGAAAGTAACGAAGGAACAAGATGGGATGAAAGTGCAGCTTCCGGCGGCTACTAGGAATATGTACGTTGATGGTAAGTAGCGAATGATACAGCTGTATTCAGATCAAACCTCGCTTCGAGGACGAGGGACTCACATTTTCATTCGACAAAACCCAACAACAGGTCATAAAGCAGGTCATCACTAAAAACATCAGCTCACCACCTCTCCTAATTCCATGCCAACAAGCACGACCGGCATCGGAAGCATCGATCACGGAAATGCTGTACTTTAGCCACATGCTCAATTATGCTTGCAGCGGATTTGTCATGAAGGCTGGAAAGCACATCACTTTGCTTGCAGATCGACTCAATGCACTTCCAGCATCGCTTCAGACTCAGCTGCAATCGACTTTTTCAGCTCCATTTTCTGCATCGGTGACTCGTCAAGGCTCACCACAGCAACCAGACTCGCACAACAAATGAGCTCACATCAGTCAATCAGCATGAAGTTTCGTTGCGATAACACTACGTTGGTGACCGAAAATCTTTCTGCATCTCTTCGCCATCTCTGGGCTAAGTAATGATGCGATTAGTAACTGCGACCGAACATAGTCCACCTCTTCGCCTCAGTACCGCACTGAGGACATTTCTTACCCTTAACATCGCCGAACTGAGCCTGATCGAAGGGAATGCAAAGCGATTTGGCACCCATGCTTGGAGCCTTTTCATCCTCCGCCTCGCCCGATGTAGCTTGTCTGGCACTACGCTTCTTGATTTCGTCCTCGCATGCTTCGATTTCGCACCAAGGGATGACGACGTGGCATTTATCGTTAAGGATGCGGGTAAAATCGTCCCACTGTTCGCAAACTTTTCTTCGCGAACGGTACTCTGCGTCGGCTTTGGCGAACATGTCATCGTGAATCGTGTCCAAGAGCTTAGCGATAGACTCGGACAACCCATCGACGGAGAGAGGAGCTTTGGCTTTGTTATCACGACGAACAGAAAGGACAGACTTCTTTTCGAGATCCTTAGGACCGATTTCGAGTCGGATGGGAACACCACGCATCTCCCAATCGTTGAACTTGAAGCCTGGACTGTAGTTGTCTCGCAGATCCGCCTTTGCTCGGATACCAGCAGCTTTGAGGTCCTTTGCGGTCTTGTCACATGCGTCCACAATAGCTTCCTTTTCAGCAGGGGTGGTCTTGACACCAATACCGCAAGGAATGATGATGACCTGAACCTGAGCAACACGTGGAGGCATCACCAAACCATCATCGTCACCGTGAACCATCACCATCACACCAATAGTACGGGTGGAAAGACCCCACGAGTTCTGCCAAACGTGCAACTTGCCCTCATCCTTTCCACGGAACTCTTCCGGAGCTTTGGGATCTTCAACGGTAATGTTGAACATCTTGGAAAAGTTCTGACCGAGACAATGCGAGGTACCACCCTGAATACCGCGACCGGTGGTGGGGACGAAACCCTCAACGGTGGTGGTGTAGTATCCACCTGCGAACTTCTCCTTCTCCGACTTGACACCTGGAACGACGGGGACAGCGAGAAGCTTCTCGTAGACTTGACGGTAGAGGTCGAGAATGTGCATGACTTCCTTATCGGCTTCTTCGAGAGAGATGTGGGCGGTGTGACCTTCTTGCCAGAGGAACTCACGCGTTCGGAGGAATGGCTGAGGGTGCTTGAACTCCCATCGGACGACCGAATTCCACTGGTTGAGCTTGAGCGGGAGATCGCGGTGCGACTGAATCCACTTGGCGTAGTATGGATACATGACAGTCTCGGAAGTTGGACGAATAGCAACAGGACGCTCGAGATCGCTGTTACCAGCCTTAGTAACCCAAGCTACCTCAGGAGCAAACCCTTCGATGTGGTCCTTTTCGCGCTCGAGAACATCGGCAGAGACGAACATGGGGAAGTAGCAGTTCTCGACACCAATCTTCTTGATCTCGCCATCGAAGAAGTTTTGAATCGACTGCCAAACGAAGTACGACCAGGGCTTGAGAATGTAGCATCCGGAAACATCGTAGTAGTCGAGCATGTCACCTTTGAGCAAGACCTGAGTGTACCATGCGGGGAAGTCGCCTGCCTTGCGAACGGTGATACCGATCTGTTCTGCATCAGGGATCTTAGCGGCCTCAGCAGCTTTGGCCTTGTTGGAAGCGGGGATGGGGCCTTGTGTGGAGCCAGGGGCGGAAGCGGTACCAGGAGCAGAAGCTTTGGCGACAGGAGTAGCAGCCTCAGCCTTGAGCTCGGAAAAGTCAACGATTTCGAGCTTGACACCGGTGCTCTGAAGGTATTTGGCGATTTCGGCACCGGTCATGAAGAGAGTCTCTTCGGAGCTAGCGGCGTGAACGGCAAAGTGGTCGGTGCTGGTAGCGAGGCCAGCGTCGAGAACGGCAATGAGCTGTAGAGCGTTTTCTTTTGTGATGGAGAGAGCAGAGACGTCGTCCTTGGTAGCATTGAGGAACTCCTTCAAGACTTGGGGAGCAGCAAGACGCATCTCCTTCTGGCCGATGTGCTTGGCAACAGCACCGGTGTTGTATTCGGAGTCATCCTTGGCAATAAGTACGACAGGGGTAGGGGTAGCAGACTTGGCAGTCTTGGGCTTGAAGACGACAGTCTTTGTGTAGTTGGAAGTGGAGAAGCCGAGGGTGGAAGCAACGTCGGTGACGGCCGACTTCCAGCTTTCAGGGCTGTTGGCAGCGGCGTGCTTGACCACCTTTTCGGTCTTGATGGAGAGCGCAGAGAGCGCTGAAGAGATGGCCTCCATGTTGAAGCTTGCTTGCAATCACAAAGATGATGGTGATGAGAAGGAGGTGTTGGTGTGTGTCGTCTGCAAGTGCCAAATGTCAAAATTGACTCGCGTGCCGAGTGAGTTAAGGAATTTCGTTGTTATGTTGTTAATTCTATCTACTAGCTTCTATGTACATTGTCATCTATATATGCTTGGTAATCTCTTCCACATGTGTTAGCCAGTGATGAGCTGCTCCTTGTGTCGCTCCTGCATTGTCACTTCCTGCGTGTTAGTGTGACAATGCTTATGCATCCCACATGTGTTACCACCTATATGTGTCTTTGTCTCATCAATGACTTGCTTATCTTCCATGGGCTCTGTAATGCTCCACAGACCCTGTGAATCCCATTGGAGTGCTGATGCATCTCCCTCAACTGTCTCCCTCAGCGGCGAGGCAGTAGGCTGCTGAGCTGCTGTACCTTGCTGTGGTGTCAGTCCTAACCCTTGTCATGTGTGTCACAATGCCTCCTTGCCCACTGGTTTGGTAAAGATGTCTGCTAAGTTATCTTCAGTGCTGATGTACTTGATTTTGACCTTTCCATCTTGTATGTTGTCTCTTATAAAATGGTATTTGGTGTCGATGTGCTTCAACTTCCAATGTTGTGTGGGGTCTTTGCTTACCTGGATGGTGCCTGTGTTATCTGAGAAAATTATGGGGGTACCAATGTCAACCCTGATGGCCTTGAAGAGGTGTCCAAAGAAGAGAATTTCTCATGCAGCCTTGGTCACTGCTACGAATTCTGCTTCTACTGCCATTAAGGTGGTGCAGCGCTGTAGTGCAGACTTCCATGCTACCAGATTTCCATGTATGAAAACTGCTGACCCTGACAAGCTCTTACGTTGTGCCATAGCATCGCTTGCCCAGTTCACGTTGCTATGTGCCGCCAGAAAATCTTGTTGCTTGTTGCTACCATATTGCAAGTGGATGTCCTGGGTGCAGTCCAAGTATTGGAGCACTCTCTGTGCTGCGTTGTAATGTTCCTTCAATGGTTGTGTCATGTAGTGTGCAAGGACACCCACGGCTTGGCTGATGTCTGGACATGTTCCATTTGAAAGCCATAGGAGTTTGCCAATGATTTGTGGGTATTCCTTCCACTCAGCTATGCTTGCTGTTGTCTCTGGTACTGGGATGTCCTGGAGTGGTATGCTGGGTTTTCTTCTATGTTTATCTAAATGCTCATTTAATAGCTGCTTGACATAGCTGGTTTGCATGAGGTCCATAGTCTTTGCCTTGCAGTCTCTGGAGATCTTGATCCCGAGAAAATGGGATATGTTGCCACCCTCATCCATTTTCCACTTCTTGCCTATCTCCCTCTTAATTTGCTCGACTGTTGACAGTTTTGGAGATATAATCAATGTATTGTCAACATAGATAATCACTATTGCAAAGTTGTCCTCCTTTCCTCTGGTGTAGATACATGGTGCACAATTGAGTCTATGGAAGTTTGAGTGCTGCAGGAACTTATCGAACTCCATGTTCCACTCCCATCCTGATTGCTTGAGTCCATATAGCCCTTTTACTACCTGATAAGCTTTTCCTTTTGGTACCTTTGCCCCTTCCAGCGGTTTCATATAGATGACATGCTTGAGTGTGGAGTTGAGGTAGACCATTGTGATGTCGAGTTGATGGACCTCCCAGTCCCGCTCCACTGCCAGTGACAACAGGGCTCTTATCACACTGAGTGGTGCCACCAGTGCAAAAGTTTCTTCGAAGTCTATGCCCTCTCATTGTGTGAATCCTCATGCTATGAGTCTTGCTTTATGTTGGACAGGTACCCCATTGGTGTCCAGCTTGAGACAGAGGACAATCTTGGAGTCAATGAGTTTGGTGTTTGGTGGTATGTCCATGATTTCCCAAGTCCCCATGGCTTCAAGCCCATCTAACTCCTTGCATATGGCTTCTTGCCATTGCTGTGCCTTGTCACTGTCAAGTGCTTCCCTCAAAGTTGGTGTAAGGTTCATGGTGGTCATATTGGCCTCCCCGATAATGTCTTGTATGTTGATCTCCTCTGGCTCTAGTATGGGTTCATGGTTGACAGTCTCTGATCTGGTACCCTCTGCCTCTAGACTTTCAAATCCGATTTGCAGTGGGCTCCTTTCTTTGGGTCAATCATGCCAGCCTTTATCTTCATGAAATGTAGCTGAGTTACTCCATCAGATAGATGGTGTGTGTTCTGGAGTGTGGAATTTCCATCCCTTGTGCTTGTTGTTGTAACTGATCATGATTCCTGGTATGGCTCTCACACCATGCTTGCCTGCATGATCTTTCCTTGAGAGGTGAACCCATGTGAGACAGCCAAAGACATGCAATTGTTTTGCCAAGCCATGAGCCATTGTGTGATGAAAGTCTTCATACAGAATTCTGTTAGCATTTGCTGATGGTGTCAAATTAAGTACATGTCTGGCAGCCATGATGGCATAGGGCCATAAACCTTTTGGCACTGATCTTTGGATGAGCATTGCTCACATCTTTTCTTGTAGTGATCTGATGGTGCACTCTGCTCTTCCATTTTGCATGCTGATGTATGGGGTGGTTTTCTGCCATTTAAACCCCGCCTCCTTCTTCCATTCCTCTGCTGCCAAGCTTGACCATTCCATTCCATTCATTGTTACTTCTGCCCTTTTGATCCATGCTTTCAAGGTGGGGAATGCTTCTGCCTTGCTGAGGAGCAGTCTCATGAATACATATGATGAGGCGTCATCTACAACTACTAGTGCATGATGATAGTTGGGGTGGCCTTGTAGATCTGTCATTAGGTCAATGTGTATTAATTCTAATGGTGCTTGCACTCATTCTGTCTTGCTGCTTGCCATTCTTGCATGTGTTTGCTTTGCCTGACTGCAACTATTGCAGTCCTTTGAGTTGTGCTCAAGCTGTGTTTCTCTTCCTAGGTAGTGAGCTTGGATTTGCTGGGTTTTATTTCTACTGGGATGGCCAAATTGTTCATTCCATAGTTTGCTTGTTGTGTGGCTTGTGGGCCTTGCTGGTGTCATGTTATCATCAATGCCCTCAAGGGGGTCATTGAGCTGTGCCACTAGGGAGTCACCGTGAACTTCCCATCTTTTCTGGCATTGGTTGGTCTTGCTCTTAACCATGCTTCTGTCATGTTGGAGTTTTGTAGCTCCAGATTCTTCAAATATCACTTGTGCACTGTCTTCAGTTAATGCTGGAACAGACAATAGATTCTTGCTAAGGTTGGGAATGTAAAGTACATCTGTGAGGGGTATTTTAATGTCTCCAACTTGCAAGGTTGCATCTCCTATTGCCTGCACTTGCAACTGCTCATGCCCTGCAGTGTCTATGGATCCTTGCTTTGGCATTGGAGCAATGAGCTTATCCTCATCACATACCATGTGATGTGTAGCTCCAGAGTCGAGAATCCACATACTGTTTTGGTTACAGTTGCCAGTGTTGCTTACAAAAAGGGTGCACCTGAATCCCTATCCCTGCTGAGTAGGAGTTCGCTCCTGACTGCTGGTGCAATTGATTGCAATGTGCCCAGGTTGCCTACACTTATAGCACTTGGCCAGTTCATTAGGGTTTGTGGGGTCATGCCTACCCCTATTGTAGCCCTCTTGGTTGAGAACCTGTCTATGCTTGCCAGCTTGGCCTGTTGAACTTCTGTTGCTTGTGACTCTGGCTGCAGCTCGGATATGACCTGAGAGCTCGGCTTCTTGGTGCTTCTTGGCTAGTGCATGGTATGCATATTCATAGTTGCAACTGGGTTGAGCAGCCTTGAGGGAATCTACAGTTTGGGTGTATAGCCAGTCATCCTTGATGCAGCAGTAGAGGGTGGACTTCTTGAGCTTTTCATCCATGCAACTGCCCAGCCTCACAGCATCATTCCAAATTCGATCTAGTTCCTTTCCAAGGTTGATGACATTTTGGTGGACTAACTTGATCTCATGCACTCAGTCATGAATGGCAGAGAGTTTAACTTCGTCATTGATCATGAGCACTGTTTTGAGCTTCTTGTACAGTGTAGAGCCAAGTTGCTCTTCTTCACCTTGTTCTTGGATGGTGTATGTATGAATACTGCTTTCAGGACTGTGGTCGCATGACAACAGGATGAGGCTAACAGGTGACTATTTAGTTCTTCATTGTAGTCTGTGTGGTTGCTAGATATTTCCCTGGTAAGGATCTGCTTTGCATTCTTGATGGGCTGTATACAGTCCATAAACATAGGCTCCCAGATAGCCCAGTTGTTCTTGTTGAGCTTGATGATCTGTGATACAATGCTGAGTACTGACTTTGGAATCTTTTCGACTTGGCTGGTGTTTGGTTGGAGGTTCATCATAGAAAAGGCATGCTCCAAGATTTGGTCTTCATTCCAGTCAGTGTGAACCTCTCTGATCACTTGCATGGTGCATTTGAGTAGGGCTATGCTGTCTACTCTGGGTGGCATCTTGATGGCAAAGTGCCTTGAAGCTGCTGAGCTTCAGACTCTTAATCAGTTAAGGAATTTCATTGTTATGTTGTTAATTCTATCTACTAGCTTCTATGTACATTGTCATCTATATATGCTTGGTAATCTCTTCCACATGTGTTAGCCAGTGATGAGCTGCTCCTTGTGTCACTCCTGCATTGTCACTTCCTGCATGTTAGTGTGACAATGCTTATGCATCCCACATGTGTTACCACCTATATGTGTCTTTGTCTCATCGATGACTTGCTTATCTTCCACAGGCTCTGTAATGCTCTGCAGACCCTGTGAATCCCATTGGAGTGCTGACGCATCTCCCTCAACTGAGTGTCACTTTCAAGGTCTGAGTCGTGCGATTTTCTTGAGTGCTTACTAAACGTGACATGAACTGAAAGTGGCGGAATACAAAAGCCAGACCCAAGGGCCTGCGAGAAGGAAGAGAAACAACGCTTCCTTTTTTTTTGTCCTTTTTCTTTCCCTTTTTCTTTTCTTTTTTTCTTTTTTTTCCCGCTGTTTTTTCTTCGGCGAACGAGAACAATGTACGCCGAAACACGACATCAAGGGGAAAAGAAGCGCAGCGGGATAGCACTGCTTCAAGAAGAGAGAGAAGAAGTGTGTCGAAAAGCTGATCACTGAAAGCGGGCTGAGCAACACAGAGAGACCCTGCTTGCATCGACTTGATCTCCCTTTCCTCTCCTTTCTTTCCACCATCAACTCTAACGTTATTCATACCACTCAACATGTCTTTCAACCGTACCTGCTTCAAGTGAGTACTTCGACATCGCCGTTCAGATGGCGCCTAGCACCACTTCCGCAGCATTTGAATCTTATGGCTGACTGTCGCCTCCTTCTCCTTCTCCTTATACTCTGCGATCACCAACAGCTGCGGCCAGCGTTAGTATCTCAAACCCGACCATGATCCAGTGGCGTCGAATGCGTAGTCCCAACTGCGTCGGCCTCCTCTCAAGGATCAGTGCAATCTAGGTCTTTGCCGACCTTGCTTTCCAACCCGAGCAAGCTATGCTACTGCTCGTCTTTTTGCGGCCGCACTACAAGAATGCTTCGAGCTTCTGCAAGACGAGCAGCACGCCTTGCTTTGCCATGCTTCGCCCTCAAAATCGAACGAAGAGGAGAGAGAGAGGTGCGCGAGAGTTGACGTTGACGAGAGAAGAGAGAGAGCTGACGTAGAGATGATGACGTCCCTGTCATATATCCCATCGCTTTTTGATACCCGAATCCATCTATACCCTTTGCCTTCTTACCATGCTTGTCCATGCTTGCTGTCATGCGCTTCATCCATTCCGCTTGATCCGCTCTGTTCTTGTGGCGCCACCTGCTCCACTACCACTTGCCCGGATTGCTATGCCCATGTTCCTGACTCAACCTAAACAGCCGGCCACAACGCCGCCGCCTGCCCCACCGCCGGCAACCCCTCTTGGTATGTTTCGCTCGTCTCCACACTTTGCCGATAACGGTCGACGGCCCTTCTGACTTTGACCATCGCTATGAATTGAATCGCACCCACATCTTGGTGAACTCATTTGCATTCCAACTTCTCCCCTTGACACGCTAAAAGCTACAGTAAGTCTTTCCCTTGAGTCTCCAGTATGTTTCTCGGTGACCTTGTCCTAACACTTGTGCTCTCGCATTCGCTTTGACTCAACCAGACTGTGGCCAGCAGGGACACATCTCTTCCCAGTGCGGCATGGAGGCCCAGCCCAAGACTTGCTACAAGTGCAACGAGACCGGCCACATCGTACGTTTGCCACCCTCCACCCTCCCCTCCTTTCCTTTTTTTCTCGCCTAACTCTTCCCCTTTACTAACCCTTCGCCCAAATCTTCTGCTTTTGGTGAATGTAGAGCCGTGACTGCCCCACCAACCCTGCCCCTGCTGCTGGCGGACCCGGTGGTGAGTGCTACCGGTGCGGTCAGCACGGCCACATTGCTCGTGCCTGCCCTGATGCTGGCTCTAGCTCCCGTGGTGGTTTCGGCGGTGCCCGTGGTGGTCGCAGCTGCTACAACTGCGGTGGTGTCGGTCACCTTTCCCGTGACTGCACCTCCCCTGCTGGCGCTGGTGCTGGTGCTGGTGCTGGTGCCGGTGGCCAGCGTTGCTACAACTGCAACGAGTCCGGCCACATCAGCCGCGAGTGCCCTAAGCCTCAGACCAAGAGCTGCTACGTAAGTTCCCTCACCACTTCTTCTCCTAAGTTCTTTGAGTTAGGGCCAAGTTCAAACCCATTCTTCTGCTCACATCTGTATTGGTTCGTGGATACAGCGCTGCGGCGAGGAGGGCCACATCTCGTCCGCCTGCCCCCAGGTTGCTGCCTAAATAACTTCAGGCTACCCCTCTTTCCGTCTCCGTTCTGACTGAGCCAGCTGGCGCTAGATGTTCTCATTTGCCGCTCTGCTGGCTTGGTAGTGTAAGATACGCCGGCGCAATCTCAAAAAGTGTCTCTTTGTTGTGGCACATCACATTCGTCTCAGATCGATTGACCAAGGCAGATAGATCAGAAGCGAAGCAATGAATGATTTTCCGAACCTTCAATTCATACCATAACAAGACCAATAGGAGAGCATAAAGGAGATTAGGATTGCGGGATGAGCGTGAGTGTGCTCATAGGCTCGAGAGGCTCCCGGACCGCCGTAAGGGGGCCGGATGAGCGCAAGAGAGCGGGAAATACAGGGTGGGAAAACACTTGAAGAGTCGGCGAGATTCTGCTAAGCGAGCAGCTGCGAGAATGGTGGTGTTTGGAGAGAGAGCATTCTGCAGCTGCGCGATGACTTGGCAGAATCTCTGACCACGGATCACATCGCGTGACTTTAATCACGTGATTATCTTCTACGCATGTTGACGGCTAGTGTCAAGAGTGTTTAGCATCGCGCATCTGAAAGGCTAGCCCGTCAGCTTCTGTACTGTCCTCTACAAACTCATCTCCGTAGCCGTAAACACTTACGATCACATCTGGAATGCAGCTAGGAGAAGCGCAGCCATATACCATCGCCGTCCCTCAAATCGGAGCGTTTGTCGGCGCTGCCTATGTCAGAACCTCTAACAGGACAAACTTTCGCAGCGCTACGGGGACGAAGGTGTCGTCCAACAACAATGCCGATGTCTAAGCTAAGAATGAGGGTGAGAAGGACAACTTCGCGTATCCTAAGGAAGGTGAAGGTAGGGTGGGTGATCGTGAATTGTGACGATTGTAGGCATAGGGGGGTTTGAGGTTGAAGTCTTTCGCGTGGCGATCGCAGTCGAAACCTTGATGTTTGGGAACGTGGTTGCGGAGGAAGTCGCTTTTAGCAGTTCCCATGGTCCTGGCAATTGTCTTCGCTGGTCTCATTGTGATTTTCGCCCCCTTCCATGACCCCCACCTGCACCTCTTCTTCCTCATTCCCCATCAATGAGGTGATTGTATCACCTACGAATCCAGCCACGCTAGCGGCAATCGGCACTAAAAACGCAATGGCACGGGCCTGCGGATAGAAGTTCGAGATGAGGTCAATTACGCGATTGAGCACAACGTGGGCTGCCGTGCTTTGCATCCAGGCTCCCAGTGCGCGAACCACGACGCGGTTGGGCATGTTGGCGAAAAGATATGGTCGAAGTTAGATGTGAGAGGTGAGAAGGAGAAGGAAAAGGAGAAGGAGAAGGTTGTGGAGAGAATGTGTAGTTCGCCCTCGAGCAAACGAGTATATATACCTTGTGTCATACAGAGAAAGGCTGCGCAGAAGGGGTGAGGTGAAAGACTGAGCGGAATCCATATAACAAGATTCCGGCGCCGCCTGCCGTACCGCTGCCAATGAAGGCGCAGAATCTCTTTCTTGTCGTGCGCACGGAAAGCCGCGCTCTCAACTGCTAGTGCCGCTGCGATTTGGTACGATCCAGCCCGGCGTCATGTGGAAGAAGCGATTGATTATCACGACAAAGAATGAGTGTGTGTATACGGAACAAGTTGTATAGATACAGTATATGTGTGTTGCGCAGAGCGCAGATGTAGAGTTCGCGATTCTATCAACCAGATTGTTCTCCTCGAAATGAAGTCTGACGGTGCAATGAATGGTTGCAGTTGTCCGACACGGCACCGAAGTGGCGGCCGCTCAACACTGTCCAAGCATCGAGTTACCTGGGAAGCTCTGCGCATAGCCACCTCTCTCCCTCGTCTCAGTCCAAGTTGTCAAGTTCGCATTATAATACGCCTCCTTATGTTTCTCGATATACGCCGCCGTCGGAGCATTCTCCGGATCACAACCCACATTCTCCTCCCCTTCGACCTGCCAAACTCTGACATAATCCACCAACATTGTCGCCGGCCAAGTCAAATGTCTCCAATCCACCGTTGTAAAGCTTGCACTAATACCCAGATTCAAGAGAATATACATTGGTTCGTACGGAATGGGTCTCTGACCGATTTGCGTACCCGCATCGGGACCGAGTGCTTGCGAGTTGAGCCGCCACATTGGATCGCCATCTACTGTCCAGAGAATGTACGAATCAGGGTCGGAGCCAGGGTTGTATTCGAATCCGTAGGAGGAGAAGGTTGCTTGTGTGTCTTCGTAAGCGGATCGCTTTGTGTAGACGAGACCGGAAGCGGCTTGTTGGTATACGGAACCGGTGTAGGAGTTAAGTTCGGCATCAGGGGAGAAGAATTCGGTGGAACCGGGGGTGTCGGTGAGGTTGTAACCAATGTTGAAGGGTGCGATTTGGGCTGACATGGATGCGAAACCGCGAGAGCCTCGGACGTGGGATGCGACTGCTTCGATGATGTCGATTTCAGGTGCTGAACGACCGACCCATGATCCATCGGCATGTTTGGGTCCTGGGTGATCGTCCGAATTCCCGCATGTGCATCTACTTAATCTTTGACCAGGGAGGTATGAGAGATAGGGACCGTATTTGTCGACGTAGACACCCGTAGTCTGCGCTGCGATAGGCCCAGTCCCATTCGCAAAAGTCTGATTTGGCAAAGTCCCCACATCACAAGAATCATACGTATAAGGCCACATCCCATCCGTCGTAGCACCAAACCCAGCTCTCCCCAAATTCCCCATCGTCCAAGCAGCAGGCCACAGCCCCGGAATATCCGGCGAACCTGGCAACACCATCGCCACCTCAATATATCCACCTGTAAAACATAACTGATTCCAAGACTGCAGCATTCCGCCTCTAAAGTTTAGATTATGCGTTGCAATCTGATCCAGCGTAATCACCAAACTTCCGTTCGCCGTGGTAACCGCACTCGGATCGTACCATTCGTAGTTGTCCGTTCCCCAATAATGCAAATCCATCGCAGTCCAAAATGGATCGTCACCAGGGTAGAAGCTTCGGCCATCACGGTTAAATTCGTCGCTGAAAACCAGATTCATTTTGCGGTTAGTTCCATCGAGGGTGTTTCGAGTTTTGACATTGTCGGGGGTATCTGGGTCAACTAGACTTCGACCGATTTTGAGATCGGCTACTTGACCTGTGGCGTTGATTCCACCGAGATTGAAGCCTCCCTTTGTCGAAGACTTGTGTCGGGTTAGCCATGAAATGACAGGGTAGCCGCCGAACAACGCCAACAGGCCCAACCCAATCACTGCTAGCGTTCCGATGTTCAATACTCCCCTCGGCGGGAAGATGCCTTTGTTGGAGGCTTTGCGGTCTTGCTCTGCATCTGGTTCGTGGAGGTAATCGTCTGCTTCAGCCTCGGCGTCGTAATCACCCCACATTTTGATCTCTGTTACGCCATCTCCTCGGATCGAAGGGGATAGGGGGACGGGTGTTCCGGGTATGGACCCGCCGAGCTTCTTCTCATCGAAATACGGGCCCGTCGGAGAGGCTGTGGCGGAGAGCGGTGTGCAAGGACCATTTGTGAAGCTTCCCGGTGCATAAGGTCTGCGTGGGCTGGGAAGAGAGTAGATCGAGCTGGAAGAATCATTGATGTTGAGTATCGGCACCAGACCTGTGGAGAAAGCGTCGTTGCGTTTGTTAGGATACTTCTCCTCATGCGAAGTGAAGCTTGATGATGAAGAAAGACCTTTTGGATGATTGACGGAGAGGCCACCGATCATATGGTGTGCTGTGGGCGCTTTGTACCCGAGGCCAGGGGAGGAGAGAGGACTGTTTCCTCTTGCTGAACGAGGTGGATGTAGACCAGATGGGTTTGAAGCTATGGCTTTGTCATCGAATTTGGTGGGGGCCGGCGCGGTACTTGTGCCGGTTCTGGCTTCTGTGGTAGAGTCTTCGATCGGGATCGAGGTCTCAATCCGCAACCCCTTGGCATTGATATTATGAGAAGAGTCCTTCATGTCGTCATTTCCTATGCGACTCTTGCGTTTTGATGTTGCACCAAAGAGTCCAAGACCGTGAGGAACCTTTGAGTATCGATTGGAGCTTGTTCGTGCAGCACCACCTGCCTCTGCTTGATTTGAGGAAGAAGAGGATGCGATAGCGATACCGACAAGACTCGTCTGTTCCTGTTCGGTTCTGAAAGCAGATGCACCTGCTTCCCCTACTGCTTCCGTTGATGGGCTGAGATGTGCCAGAGAGGGAGAGTCGAAAGAACGCGCCGCCAAGCGAGGCGAAGCTGTACTCGTCCTTGCCTTGTTGACCTCCAAAGATCTACTCACTAATGTCTCCTGAGCACTAACAGGAGCGCTATTCCTCGCCCTTGCGGCAGACGCAACAGAATCGAGATAAGCCAAAAAGGCTTCGCTTGGTGGCTGAGTCGACTCGTGCTGATCACTTCTGCTGATGCTGCTGCTGCTAATGCTGCTGCTAATGCTGCTGCTGCTGCTACTGCTGCTATCGACGTGGTTGTGGTACGAATCGAGAATCTCGGTAGAAGAAATGGAAGTTGAGAAGGAAAGAGAGTTGGGGATGGCTACAGAGCTTGCATTTGATGTCGGTCGTTGCTCTGTTTGCTGCTCTGGGGGAACAGAGGAATGCGACATGACTGCAAGCCTCCACTGGCACGCGGATGAATGCTTGGCGGAGGGTGATTGTGGTTGTGGTGGCGTTCTTGTGAAAAGAGAAACAGGAACGACGAACGATCGGACGTTGCCATGAGGCTGTTTGATACATATACATCAAGCGAGAATCACTTTCCGGACTTGCGACTCGGTTGGCACTTATTCGCATCGCTCGCACCACAGATCATCCTGTTTTTTTCGAAGACGCATTCAGCAGTATGGCACCACAGATCCGGTGCAATCGGCTGAGAGGAGAAGAAGTAGGGACAGCGGTGAACGCAAACTCAGGGGGCTTCATTGTATGCGATACACCCGACCGTGTAGCCGTGCAGTACGATCTTCACCCTTCCGCTCTTCGGCCATCACAGCTTGCTGACACACACTCTCTCCTATATCTAAAGATGCAGGACGGAGGGAGGGGGAAAAGATCTGCATACAATCTCTCCCCTGCGGCTGCGATAAAGTGATTTCGAACCTGCACTCCGGAGCTAAGCTAGCAGCTGCTCTGTGAGGTGCAGTAGAGAGAGGGAAAGAGAGGGAAGGAGGAGGTTGAAAGGAATGCAAATGCCACCGGGTTCTACGACTCGCGGGGTCGGACTGTCAAACTTTGCAGAAACACGAACGAGAGCTGTTGGTCTCGCTTGTCCTTCTGTCTCGGTTCGAGGACATGATCGTCGAGAGACAAACCTCTGCCCCTCCCTCTCCTCTCTCCCGGCGGAGTCATTCCTGCGGTTTCCTCCGCTCCATTCTTCGACTTTTTACTCGCAGGTCGGTTGCCAAGCCCGTTGGTACCTCAACTTAGCGCGGGATTTCTTCGTCTGTAAGGAGCTTCATTTCTTCTCGCGCGCGCGTGCTTGTCCTGTCACGCAAGTCTGCACTCCTCTTCCTTCTCTTGTAAGATTGCAGCACAGGTATAGTAAGGTAGAAGGGAACCGTTGCCGAACAAGAAGTAATCAAGGTCGCAGTTTTGCTGTTTCTGTGTCGGTGCGCTTTAGTTGAAGTTTGAAAGGTAGAGACGCCACTTCATCGGGGCCACGATCAGGCTCCTTTCGCACGGGTGTATAGCAACTGCAATGCTTACCATATTCGAAAGGGACTGAGACTAAAAACATGAGTATGTATACCTTTGACACCATCTTCGAGGACGCTGAGCTGCCTTGCTGCTGACATCAAAAATTTTGGCCTTGTCACGTCTCAACGCCGAGGTGCATAAACTCACAAGTCCTCGCGGTTTGGAAAGTGCCCGTCGTCGATCCAGCATGATGGTTGACAGTCTGGGCTCCGATGTGGTAGAGGGTAAGGTTTGGGTCGTCCGGATGGCATGCAAAGCTCTAATGTCACATCAGGATCGGTTGGGGGAGCTGATCGGGTAAGAGGAGAGCAGCATAGGCATGAGCACAAAGGTGAAGGGCGAGGTGCGTTCCTTTGTCTTCCCACGTGCAGATTTTAGCGAGGATGTGAGTGCTGGAGATAACGATCCAGCAGAGCGCGAACTGATGACGGATCGGGGAGATTCGAACTGATCGAAGATCGGGCGGGCCTATATGATGGAGATCGAGGACCGTTGGGACCTATCCGTTGTCATACATCCTCATTAGGTGGGATGTTCCCACAGTCAGCCACAAACCACAATGCATATAGATAATGAGCGGAGAGCTTGAGGCTACCGCCATGTCCTTCCCTTATGTCAATATAGTATAGTGTTTTAGCTCAAAAGCTTGAACACCGTACTTGGACTGATATCTCCCGATAAGTGTCGATCAGAGTCAAATCTTCCAACAGTGAGATGTGTGTTGCGGACCCTGCGTTGTGGAATTAGAAGCAGCGGTCTAACAAGGCCGAGATGTGGCATTTCTTTTTGTGACCGCAATTTCAACCATCATTTCATACGATCAGTTGCTGTAACCTTAATCACTGAAGACTTGATGACGAGGGCTGCACATCGCCCCGATACATCGAAACATCGGGTACATCACCACCATTGCTTTCACATCGATACTCGCACACCGACACATCGACATCGACTCTATGAACGCGACAAAACATCTATCGTATTCCTGAATTATTGCTATCGACGACGCTTGGTACCAGCTCTAGCACTTCTCCCGCTGCTCTGTCTCGCCATCGCCGGGGCTGAAGGCTGGATACTTCCTTCCTCCTCCTCACTCTCCGCTCCACCCGCTACCTCACCTTCTTCCGTCCTCTGCCTCTTTCTCGGAGTATTGCTATTCGAAGCTGCCGCAGTCGAGCTAGATCCGTCACCCACCTCGCCTTCTTCATCCGAACCTGTGACCGCTGTTGAATCTCGCTTCCTCCTCATTTCCCCTCCCGCTGCTGAAGGTCTGAACGTCGGTGCAGCGGGATCCAACTTGCCCCCCTGCGCCTCTGCTTCCACCGTAACTGCTCTCCTTGGAGTGGAACTACCACTCCTAGTACCAGGAGCAGCACCTTCTTCCTGCTCCTCCCCTTCCTCCACTTCATCTCCGCTCACCCTCCTACTTCCCTTCCCCGCACCACCCGCTTCAGACCCTTCTTCCCCAGCTGCAATATCTGTAGCTTCCCCCTCCCCCTCACCATCCGCTCTCTCAACCTCCCTCCGTTCCCTCTCGCCAACTTCAAACCCAACATCCTCCCTCAACCTCCCAACTTCTCTCACCACCCCACTCATTCTCTCGCCCGCATCTTTACTCAACGCTCTGTACTTCTCCCTTTCCCTCCTCACCTCTTCCAACCCTTCCTGCAATCTTCCTAGACTCTCTTCCAATTCCTCTCTCGTCGGGAGTTTGACAATCTCTCCTGCGACAAGGTCGTATTCGAGCTTGTTCTTTCGTTCCCTCCTCACATCTTCCAGCTTTCTTTTCAGAGCGTTGATTCGGCCCTGTGTGGAAGTCTGTTCAGCGGTAATAGAAGAGAGTTCATCCGTGTAGGAGCGGATTTCAGAAGAAGAAGAGTTATGGGCGATAGAAGACAGCCGAAGGAGTTGGAGACGATAGGATTCCAGATCGGCTTTGAAAGATAGACGAGAGGCAGCGATGGCTTCGGAGTCGGTGGAGGAGAGGAGAAGAGTGAGCTTTTTGATGAGTCGCCGGAGGGAACGCTCGTCGACTTGCATGCGTGATTTGATGAGTGATTCTTGTTGTTCGCCTGAGAGAGGTTGTAGGCGTGAGCCTGAGGCGGAAGCCATTGTGGATGCTGTTCGTGTTCGCAGGCTCAGCGTGGGTATGCGGGTAGGCGATAGTTGGAAGCCTGGCCTGATGAATATGGGTTGTCGCTGAATGCGACTGATGTCTGAACAGATGATGTCGAATGATGAATGAGAAGTGGAATGGTGTGTCGAAAGCCAAGATGGACGAGCGCTTTCTCAAGCCCGACTTCCGTGCATCTTTTTCCCGCCGGGTTGAGATTGTTAGAGCCGTCACACGCACAATTCTCACCTTGGGCACAAAAATCATCCATGCTTTGTCTCGCTTCCCTTTGTGCAACAACTTCCCTTTGTCCTCGTGGTCGCCGTATCTGACACCAGTCCCACATTCGCATACACTGTGGGCGCAATCGATGCACGTCCTCATGGCCTTTCTTCTGGGATCTTGCGTTCTTCCCTTTGTTCTTCGAGACCGTGTACACAACCCTTTGTGCTCCCTGTCATACTTTATGATTGCGCTCGGTGAAGGGGAGATGAGCCAGAACGACACTTGTCGACACACTCGAGTGCATGGAACAAAGGAGTCTATTGCTGCCGGCGGTCGCCTTCCTCAAGAGTTGGACCAATCTCCTGTTGATGTCCTACACATTGCGCTTCAACTTTGTACCTCCTTCTTGCTTCTCGACATCATCTTTTGAGCAGGTCTCTCTACCTCTTACACCACGTCGTCAGGATCTCAAGATCAGCGACTGTCGTCCCCTTCTCCAAGCATTTCTCTGCCATATACAAGCAACGAGTACCAGTTTCGAAGCTCGGCTGGACCCAGGCGATTCAACATTGACAACTTACACTACCATCCGTCTAACCCGGCTCATTCCTCACTTGAGCATAGGTATCGGGAACAATGTTCATCCCTCCCTACCTCCAAAGATACCTATTCCTAAACGCCATCCGACTCCTAACCATAATCTCCTGCTCTCTAGTCATAGCCTCCACGATCCGTCTACTCGTCATAAACTTCCAACACTATCCTCCCCAACCGGCCACCCTCCTCGACCCAACCCTCGCATACTACCCATCCACCGACATACCCACCACATTCTTCGGCGTATTCTGGTCAACCCTCCACCACATCTCAATCTCCCTCGTCCTCTTTGTCGTAATCCTATCCGAACTCTCCCTTCCGATCCCGCTCCTTCATAGGCTGTTTAAGAACACACTGCCGTTTTTAGGGCCGAATTGGGGAACGGGGTTCTTAGGCGTGCTGTTGGTGCTGGTTGCAGGGGATGGACTGAGTAGAGGCAGTGTCGGGGGGAAGTTTAAGGAGGTTAGTGAGTGGTGTATGGCGGTTGTGGGGGTGTTAAATGTGGGGTCAGGGGTTGTTTGGAGGGCGAAAGGGAAGACGGTTAGAGGTTGGGGTGGGTGGAAGGTTGAGATTGCGGAGAAGTTGGAGGGTCTGGCGGAGGCTAAGGCGAGGGCGGAGAAGGTTGTTGATGGATTGCCGATGCCCGTGGGTTTTGGGAAGAAGAAAGCGGGGGCTGAGGGTGAGGGTGAGGGTGGAGGGTTGAAGGGTTTGGTTGGGAAAGCGGCCGAGATGATGGGAAAGAAGTTGGATGAGAGGCAGCAGAAGAAGGAAGCGAAAGTAGCAGCCGGCCAACCTAAAGCCATTGGAGAGAAAGACCTGGAGAAAGCGCAATTCACCAACATACAACCACCGCCAGCTGCGAGACCGCCGCAAGGACTAGGCTTGTTCACTCCAGCCTTACCTTCCGCCGTTATCCAATCCCGCTCGGTTCATCCATCACCACGAACCTCACTATCATCCACATCAACTGACAGCATGGCACAACATCATCCAGCTCTAAAAAGCGCATCGACCCGCATTCCTCCTCCTCCCCTAGTCTTGCATCGACCACCATCAACAGCAACGACGCTCTCCCATTCCTCATGTTACTCCCTCCACCCTCCTCCCCCTGAACTCACCAAGGCTGCCTTCTCTTCGCCTCACAATCACAGCACCATGGACTCCCACCACACCAACCTATCCCCGATCCCACCCGCACCGACGAGAACACCAACCATCAAAACCGTCCGCTTTCAATCTCCCACACCCCGCCATCTCTCTACGACTATCGACTCGCACTGTGCCGATGTAGGAGGCGCAGCCGAAGAAGGAGGCAAAGCTGACGCTGGAAGCTCGTTAGCCGACTCAAAAAGCTCAGCTAATGAGGGTGCCTCAACTGACGTCGAGGGGTCGAGATTCCTCCTAGTACCAAAAATAAACACTGATATCGGACTAATTGAGGGGGAGAGAAGTCCATCAGTACTAGCAAGTCTCAAAGCAGCAATGTTAGAGGCTCAAGCGAAAGCTATGGCTACGAAAAAGAATAAGAGTATTTATTTGGGAAGTGGCAAGTGGTTTGCCGAATATCACAATGCTGCTTCTTCTCCTGCTCCTGGTTATGTTTCTCTGCCTGGATTAAAAATCAATCAGGCAGAGCCTCGGGAAGAAACAGAGAAGGGAGAGAAGGGAGAGAAGGAGCAGAAAAAGGAAGAGGAGGAGAAAGCAGGGAGACCGTACCAATTCCTGTAGCTTTACACTCGCACACAGTCTTTTTGATGTATCATTCCTTAGAAATCCAAAATTGTATTCCTATACCTCATGATGTGAGCGGAGTTAGAGTCGCTCATAGAAAAGCATATAAGCCTTACACTTCAACACCTCATCAATAGTTGCCGCTCTTACAATGGTGTCGCTTGTATAAACCCATCTTCTACCATCGTCTTTCTTTCTTGGATCCACATCGTCATCTTCCCCCTCTCCCCCCAGTTTCGGCTCGACATGTCTGTGCGCGTTAGAATTGTGACTAGCCACCGTAGGCACCGCACGTGTGGGCTCGAGCGGGGTGACTGAACCCGAACTTGGGTGGTTGGTTGGTGTAGCAGCACCGTTGGGATTGGGCGGAAGGGCGGTGTGGGATTGTTCCAGCTCGTCTAAACTGTCCCATGAGGCCATTGGTTTGAGTTGTGGTCGTGGACGGATGAGTTTCGGTCCTGTAGAGGAGGGGTTTGAGATGGAAGCGTCGCTACCGGATCCGATAGAGTGTTGGGATGAATCCGTGTCGAGCGAAGAGATGGACGTTTGGGGTGCGGTGTCGTGCGATGATGCACCAGAAACACTGGAGTTGGAAGGTATGCTGGTCATCGCCACTGAGTTCGAGGCCAAAGGTGCAGCTGATGCGGGACGAATAGGGACGGGTGCAGGGGAAGACATGTTCGTTCGTGAAGGCTTGTCCTTGCTTCCGCTGCCTCCGCCTAGGAATAATTGCCCCAGACCACCAACCACACCACCAGTGGAAGGAGCAGGCGTGTTCGTACGACTAGTAGGTGCTGAACGAGCAACCGTCTCCTTCTGCCCTTCTTTCAGCTTGACCCTATCCGAAAGCACGTATGCTGTGTAGTGTCCAGCAGACAACGAGCCTTGATGGACAATCACTGCGTACAGCCTGTACTCTGTCTTAGGTCTACGAATCACGGAGGGGACGATCTCTTTTCCGCCCGAAGTATGCACTTTGGGACCTTCTTCGAGGTCTCCCGCTGCACCTACTGCATTTTCGCCAGCGGCACCACGGTCTTGATGCTTGGCATGATCGCTAAGATGCCACGACCACATGCCATGCTTTCTCCCTTTCCTTCCACCGTGCTTTCGATGAGCAGGTGAAACTTGGACTTTGACATGACGAGCATCGACACCGGCACTGGTCGCTTCCTCCTCCGCCCTGCGTCGGATCGCAAGTGGATCACTCGAAGCCTTCAATCGTCCACGTCGATCATACTCCTCCCTCGGTGGCGCAAGCCAAGGTGTAATGTCGAGGTATTCGGGGAAGGTCACTTGATCATCGATCTTCTTGAAGCCTGCCAGACCAGAGACAAAGCCTCGTCCAGTGGCCTGGAATCGCTTCAAATGGAAGATGAGGACAGGCGGAGCAGAAGCAATGAGATAGCGCTTGAGTGCACGACGAGGAAGGCTCTGCGCAGATCGCTTGGGTCCGGTTCGATCTGAAGCCGAGGAAGGCTTCTTGTTGCCATCCTCGCCCTCTGCTTCTGTGTCCGTACCTTCGCCTGTAGACGCATTGGACTCGCTCATACCGGTAGAGAAGCCGGACATGTCGGTCTCGGTGCCTGTCTCGTATCCGCACTTGTCAGTGTTTGCACGCGCGTGACCTGTCCTTGCTCCTGCGCCTTCAACGCTGCTGAAACTCGATTGCGAGCCCGTGTCACGATGCATCACGACACCGTAACTGCCATTGCTAGAAGACACCGAGCCTGGCCCAGCAGCGTAGTCCCTCGCGACGACGTCACCACCAGCGGCGCCGCCGTTGATGCTGCCGCTGTGAGATCTTTGCACCTTGAGCTGAACATCGTCAGTGGATGCGTCAGCTGAAGTCATCGAGATGGTCGGAATATCCGATTGCACATGAGATGGATGCGAGGCGCTCGACCCGGTCATAACCGAGTCAGCGCTGCTAGCCAGGGTGCTCTTACTAGCTGAACTTGTCACGCCATTCGGATTGGTGAGCGGAACATCTGCTGCTGCTGCTGCTGCTACTGCTGTTGATTCTACGTTGCCACCGCGCTTCTCCTTCTGCTGCCCTTCGCGATCCGACTCGCGATCCGAGCTACTTGGCTCGCTACCCTCTTCATCGTCCTCTTCGGCAGCTGCAATACCTCTTCGCCTGCGTCTGCTGCGGATTTGTTCACGCTCTTGCGCATTGGGCGGGTTGGCCAGCCTCCAGCAGTTCTTGCACGCAAAGCTGTTCTCACCTTCGAGCACTTCGGCACTAGTGAACTGGCGTAGCGACGAGATGAGACCAGTGGCTGCTTGCTCTTCGCGGATCTTCTGACGACGCTTGGCACCCTGTGACTTCGGATCGGGTTCAAAGTCGGCGCAAGGGTCTCTTGCACGTGCTCCTGCGCCTGGGGAACGGAAGAAGCCGTTGATAGGCTTGCCTTGTGCTGCGGCAGCTGCAGCGACCACATTGGCCAACGGCGAAGGTGCACCAGCCTTGCGAGGGGCTCCTGAACTGGCGGCGCTAGCGGGATCGTCAGCCATAATACGAGCGATGTAGGCAGTCTGATGCGAAGAAGACTTGATGGCGGACAGAGGTGGACGCATGCCCGCACCAAAGTCGGTAGCGGCGGTACGATGGCCCAGAGGCGGGTTGGGGCTGGTTTCACGACTGCTCGCATCAGCTGCGGTAGTTACACTTCCGAGCATCCTTGCCACCCTTGTGTTGGTGCGTGCATCTCCGTTGTCTTCGCCAGCTGAAGCAGGAGCTGAATCGATATAAGGACGGGAGCCTGGACTCGGCGCCAACGAGAGCGAAGCCATGTCGGGAAAATCGGGCTCCATCTCGCTTCCCGATGTAGCTCCTAGCTTCTCATGTCTTCCTCCGCTCTTGCGCAAGCTTCGCGTACGCAGCTGGAACCGACGACGGCCTTCATCAGGAGAGAGGAAGCTTGCCGCCGACTTGTTTCGCTGAAGCGCATTCGAGTCTGCATCGCTTGCCTCTGTCTCGCTGTAGCGTGGCGTGCCTACAGGAGTGATCGAGTTGGAGCCGGCAGCGGTAGCTGCAGCAGCCGACTTGCGATCCATGATGGTGCGACCCTGAGTAGCTTTCCTCCATCGATCGGCCATACTGCGGAGTCGGTCTCGTTTGCGTGACTTTGGGTTGTTGGCATCGTCGCGCAGACTAAGACTGATGTCGTAGAAGTCTTCATAGGTGTGCGAGACCTTCTTGCACCCTTCACAGACGACCATGCTCGCCAATTTGCCACAGAAGAGCAGATCTAAGAAGGGCAGAAGCTCCTCCTCGGTCGGTGCTGCACTGACACCATCTGCTTCTATAGCAGAAGATGCTGCTGGATGCGAGACGATCTGACCATTCTCCATATCAGCAGGTGTGAGACGGTTCAAAGGCGATGTGGTGGATGCTGCTGCTGCTGCTGCTGTTGTTGTTGTTGTTGTTGTTGTTGTTGTCGTAGAGGAAGCGTGATTGAGGTTTGCCTTCTTGTTGGGCGGTGGTGGACGCATCTTCTTGATAACATCGAGCTCCTCCATACGACAGGCGTCGAGAAGGTGGCGCATGAGCTCATGACCATCCTGCTGCCCATACTCAAGATACTGGTCGTACTTTTTCCCTAGCTGATTGAGCAGACGCTTAGGGTTGATGTTGATCGAGTTGCGTGGCTTGTGGGCGCCGGTCCAGAACTGTTCGAGAACATGGCGGAAGGCGGTGTTGAGTGGAAGATCGAGTGCATCAGGCTCGTACATGGAAGTAGACGGAGCAGCGCCGTTCTGATGTGAAGAAAGTGGACCGGGAACAGGCAAAGGCAGCTTGCCTGGTTTGATGGTGGCGACTGGATCATGCGCAGGGAGCGTGTTCAGAGATGCTAGTGACGAGTCGAGGCTGCCATTTGGGTTTGGTGGATGGTCTATACGGCGTCCGTGCTCGTTATCACTGACACGGAGAGCAGGACTCTGGACTCGGTTGGGCCATTGGTTGTGCCGAGATGGTACAAGAGCAGCGGTGGTTGATGTCGGTGGCTCTTCGAAGTATGATGCGGGGACAGGAGGGCCCTCAACGAGAAGCCGGAAGTCACGCGTGTTGCCGATGGCCTGAATGACGGAATTGAGGAAGCAAGTGTTTCCGAGGTTCAAGGTTCCGGGGTGGTAAGAAGGGTCATACTCGTTGTTCGTCTTTGAGTACTTTGAGCTCGAAGCAGAGAAAGAGCCGCCAAGGAGACCGGGGATGAAGGACGAGGATAAGGAAGAAGACGGCCCAGGCTCTGGTGCGGCGCTGGTCCGAGAGCCCTTGCCTGGGAAGAGAGGGTTGCCCATTTCTTCTGGGTGCACGCTCCGTGGGCGGCGGCTGAGACAATCGGTGTACGAAAGATGCTCAACAAATGGAGAGAGAGAGCTTCAAAACTTCATGCCTAAGCACAGCGAGTTGCTGTCGAATGTGAAGGGGTGTGTGTGCGTCCAGGACGGCAAAGATGTAGGCCGTCAAAAAGATTATGTGTGATGGGCGATGGCGGCCTGAAGCGAAGGCAGCTGGTGGAAGGGCCAGGGAGCGGGTGCGGCGAGATGGATACTGAGCGCTCTAATTTCGCGATTGAAGGTCTATGAAGAGATGAAGCGAGTCCGAGCTGAGAATGGGAAAAGATGCCGAAAGTATGATGTTAAAGCCGAACGAAGTTGAAGAAAGGAAAGAGCGAGCCGTCCGGGGGGTTGAAGCAAATGACGGAAGCAACAAGGAGTGTTGATATAGAAGAGAAAGAAGAAAGCTTGATGCAAAGATGGAGGAAGGAGAGAAGCGAGGATGATGACGATGATGATGATGCAAAGCGATGCAAGAACACAAAAGACCAAGGCGAAAAGGCTAAACTGACCAGGGGTCCAAGCGGCAAAGCAGCAGCGAGGTGCGTATATTAGTGAGTGTCCGAAGCCTTCTTTCTCTAAAAGCAGCTCTCGCTGAGTTGACCGAGCCAAGGCAAAAATCGCACGTAAATTCGTGCTGAGCTTTGTTTCTATGTCTCATAGGCAAAAAAACAAGCAGCGGGAGAGAGGCGGGGAGGAGCGAAATTGAATGAGACCCACAAGACTCCAGGGTTCTGTTGGGGCAAAAACAGAAAGAAAGAAAGAAAGAAAGAAAGAAAGAAAGAAAGAAAGAATGTCCAACCTCAGACAGAAAAATGAGCATCGTCATTTCCATCCATCGCAGCTTCCACGTTGCATCACCCATGCTCATGCTCATACTCATGCTCATGCTCATGCTCATGCTCATGCTCATGCTCATACTCAAGCCCTTGTTTGTTCCGCCTTGACAACGAGCCCACTTCCGCCGAGTACAGCCGAAGGCTGTGTTTAATTACGGTATCGACAAGCAAAGACACAGCAGCAGTAAGGGCAAATGGGAAAGTTGTTGTGTTGGAATTTTGCGTTCCCCCTCGTTCTGAAAAAGGAGAGAAACGATGCATAGTACATGGTGTGAGAAGTGATGTCAAGTGACAATGATTGTGAACCTGGCTGTAGGAACCTTTTGAGGTATTCGACGTCTCTGTTTGGTACCAGCTGTTTTGCTTGAGGACCATGATCGAATCCAGAAAGGAATACGAAAGAAAGTGAACCGGACTGCCCAGAAACGAGGGGGGAGAACATGCAGTAACGCCGAGTCTCGATCATAGTCCCAAGGTAAAAACGATGCTGCAGGAAGATGCCGAACAAGGAGATGCCGGACAAGGAGATCGCCGTGATTCAATCATGTCGTGTATAGTGCGTGTGTATGTGATGGGGGAGAATGCTGCAAGTGTGAGAACCGAAACCGAGACATAGAGGCTGGACGCTGTTTAGGCGGAGGCCTTCTTGGTGGCGGGCGAGAGCACATTGCGGCGCTGCTTCTTGAGGAGCATGACGTTGAATCGGTCAAAGTCAGAGAGCGAGCGGCGAGCCTTGACAGAGGCACGCTTCTTGGCCCAACCGGACTGAGCCCACTTCTCGGCAACACCGGACTTCTCGAAGAACTTCTTGACGGCGGGCGAACCAGCACCACGGGGGAGACCACGGATGATGAGCTTGGTCAAGGTGAGGTGCTTGAAAGCGAAAGGCTGACGGGTGACACCGGTGGAGGGGGAGTCAATGATGGCCTGTCGAGTTGAACGATGGGTAGATGTGAATCCAAGCAAAAAGTCAGTGTCTGCTCCACTGAATGAGACGAAGAGTACTGCGACATCAGATCACCCGGCCTAATGGGTTCCATCTGCGAATCTGACCTGTGTTTTTTTACAACACCGAGTCTTGCGGCGTGGTCCATATTCTCGCGCTCATAAGTTTCTACGTTCGTCCTTCCCTCGCCTTTGGGCCGCTCCCGACTTGCCTGATCGGCGCTGATGCAACCATCGTGATCTGTTGGAGACACCAGACGGCGACGCTTGATGCTGCAACCACCTCCGAGCACTTGGGTGTTGACTGTTTTGTCCCGCAATGCTGCTGATGCATCCCATCTTCCATCGTCTTGGACTGTCGACTGTCACATGTCGTAGTGCCCTTGTGTGTATCCAACCAAAACCTGATTGCTCCTGCCTGCGATGTCAGATATCGAGTAGTTGTGCATGTAGTGTGAACTTACCCTGTTGTGGTCGATGACCTCAACAATGACGGCGAGCTGGCCGGCAGAGGGGCCCTCCTCGACGAGGACGACACGGCCAACCTCAACGTAACGCTTAAAAGAAGCAGGCATTGTGTATGATCTGATGTGGTGCAAAGACGGTGGTGGAAGAGAAGCAAAATGTCGCAACTGTCAGCGGCCGTTGTTTTGTAATTGTAATCGAACGCGGCAACCAATTGCATCCGTATCGTTTGACTGTTGTCGACTATGTCTGCATCTTTCTGAGGTTGTCTTTACCCGTTCGTTGCTGCATGCAAGCTCAATTCAACCCTTTCCTCGTCTGATCGGGCTAGATATTGATTACTGCGATCCATCGATGGCTGGTAGATGTCTTATGAGCATGACTTAGAGAATCCTGGTGGCAGCGGTTCCTGCATCAAAGCCTGTCTCGCCGGTTCAACATCTTGCTTCATACTGCACGACGGTAATCCTGGTGTCCAGCCTCTGACTGCGTTAAGCTGTAATAGCCTGGTAAACTCTTCCCTTTTCTCGCTGCTATGTGTTGTCCATGATATCTACGAGATGCTGGTGCACTCATAATGCCGGTGCGATCCATGTTGTAAATTCGAGATGTGGACTGACTGCGAATGCACGAACCTTTTCGAGGTATAGGTATGCTAAGATGATTCAAGGTCGTAGTTTGTTGGTTGAAGAGCGGCAATAGTCTCTACGATGTCGGATGCGATGTAGGGTACGGATACGGATGCGATTGGTGATGCAGTTCACGGTGCTGTTGGCATCTACTTACGTTCTTGAAATGATGGTGATGGGCGTGGCAGAGATCGAGAAGGCAACGGCGACGATCAAGCACCTCAAACTTGGTCGCTGGGCTCAGGCTTGCAATCCACCGACAGACTGTCTCTGGGTTGCCTGTCAGTTCCTTTGGGCTGTTTGGCTGGGCTCTCGCTCACCACTTGACTGAATGTCGAACTTCTGATCCTGGCTTGGCTGCCTAAGCTGTTTGCTTCGGACAGTGGACTTCCTGCTCGCGCTGGAGGAATTGAATTCTCCCTTTCCCTTGGATATGAATTTGGACTGCACGTGATGAGTTTTTTTTTTTTTTTTTTTTTTTTTTTGTATTCATCATCTTCTCATTCACTTCTCTCCCTGTCTCCCGCTCGTTGATATCCAACCTCGACATTTGTATGAAGGCAACTAGCCTGTACAGGACGGTACTTGGAAGTATTGCATCGAGATGAAGGAGCAAAACGATCAGGATAGAAAAGGCGAGGGGGAAGAATTTGCGCTTTGAAATGAACTCGGCCGATGTCAAGTCAGCTGCAAAGTGAATACAAATTGTCCTAAGAAAATAAAAGCGAAATTCGGACTGCCGGTCTGCTGTGTCGAAAAAAATCATCGAAAGTGAGGAAGTAGCAGATGGCTTTGTGAGCTCGACTGTGGCTCAGATTGGTCAAGACTGAAGCCAAGAAGCGGCTCCGAGCCAGACAGCAGTTGAGAACGGTTTGCTTGCCTGAACCTCCGACGATTTGCTTCACTGGGTTGAGAAGGGTTTGCTTGGCTGAACCTCCGCAAAGCCTTTTGAGAATGTCGCTGACTGGCCGGTGAAGACGATTCTGTGAGTAAGCCTGCGACTGGCGCGCAAGACAGCGCTGAGCTAGGTAGGCAAGGCATAGAACCCGCTGGGAGGCCGCTCGCTATCATCCGAAACGTGCGGACACTACCACAAGCTTGACCTTTCTCCACCAATCCTCAAGTCACCAACGAATAGCGTAAGTGTTGCTCGACCTATTGCCCCGCCTTCACACAACATACACACAACATCGACAACCAACGCAGGTACGACCGACCCGTCCAGTCAATGCGTGACCAGGTCTCGGAAACCTCAGCACCAGGAATCGAATCAGCAGTCGTAGCAGGCAAAGCAGTCGTAGCAGGCAAAGCAATCCACCAGCACATATCAACGAACCCGGCCTAACCATCCACCATCATCCTCTGCACCTTCTACTTGCACCATCCTTACATCTATACAGAAAAATGGTCAACGTTCCCAAGACACGCAGGACTTACTGCAAGGGCAAGCCCTGCAAGAAGCACACGTGAGTATCCCTCTCGATAATCGCAACAGCAACAGCACCTTCAGCAGCTTCCATCGACAATATAGCAGCAGCAGCAGGCATCACGGGCATACGCTTTCGCGTTGAGATTACAGTATCACAAAGCAGGAGGATAATTGGATTTGACACGCATTGAGCCCACACAGCACTTGGATAGCTTGGACAAACACTCAGCGTGGAAGCTGTATCAACACGAACACCTCAGTACGAGGAGAAGCATCCATAGGAGTACTAGCAGAAGCAACTATCGAAGCATAGACGACGGAGCGTACTCTTCCTTACTTTAACTCAAAGACAGACAACGATTCGATGACAGGCATTGCAGGACTCTGGTGCCCAGGATTTCATGCAGCTAGATTGATGCTATGAAATCTTCAGTACAGAGTGACCTGCTTGGAGGTCTTCATGCACAAGTGCGATGTTCTTGTCTCCGGTAGCCCACATGACGTTGAAGGAGCAAAGACTGCGGGTAGATAGGATTCACTAGGAAGCATGCGTGTGCTCAGGCAGGCGTGATGTCAGCAGAGGAACGCTGCTGCTTCGATGGAAGCCGCTGCCGTTGTTGATTTACGCCGACACCCAACCTAGAACCAACAACTTACCCGTACTCGTTTGAACACCCAACAGCCCCCACAAGATCACCCAGTACAAGACTGGTAAGGCTTCGCTCTACGCTCAGGGTAAGCGCCGTTACGACAGGAAGCAGAAGGGTTACGGTGGTCAGACCAAGCCCGTCTTCCACAAGAAGGCCAAGACCACCAAGAAGGTCGTTCTCCGTCTCGAGTGCACCCAGTGCAAGTATCGATCGCACGTTGCCCTCAAGCGTTGCAAGCACTTCGAGCTTGGTGGTGACAAGAAGCAGAAGAACGCCGCCCTTGTCTTCTAAGCTTGTCGACATCCCCTCTTTTCTCCACATTATCCTTTCTCGTACATCATTTTGGAGTTGGCTGCAAGGTCGACTTCACATACTTTCTGCCTTGTGGAAGCGTCTTCGATGCGATGCTTTCTGAAAAGTTGATGGGTTCATTCGTTTGTTCCTGTTGACGTTGTACTTTTTTTTCTTCTATTGATGCGACTAGATTCAGCGCTCGTCTTGTTTCTTGTATGCAACATTATCACCAAAAGAGGTCGGCGGGACTGTCATGTTCGCTCCCTCTCACACACACAACACGCAAACTAAGCATCTTCTCTGAACCCAACTCTGATCCTGTGATTCACATTGCGTGCAAGTGTCTTTCAATCTACCCAACAAGATTCGAGTATATGAGTATGCACAATTTGACGTCACAGGAGCACAAGAGTCGATAATTGGAGAAATTGGAGTGTAGCGGCCGTCTGTGGTATTGCAGCGGCAAACAGAGTGGATCTATGAATGCAGGATGACGCTTAGGCGAAAGCCGAAGTCGCAATACCAGCATCCTTAGCAGCGTTGACGAACTGAGCCTTGACAGCGTCGGCACCGGAAGCAGCCTCAGCTTTCTTCCTGTAATCGGCGAGCTTAGTAGCCTCGAGCTTCTCACAAAGAGCGTCGAGTTCATTAAGCTGAGCCTCGATGATTTGAGGGGTAGGAGCAGCAGCCTGGAAGTAGTTGTTATCGGTGATGAGCTTATTAAGCGCCTTCTTCTCCTTCTTGATCGCCTTTTTAGCTGCCTCTTTGGCTTTCTTGGCGTCGGCTTTGGCAGCCTTCTCCTGTTCAGCGGCTTTGGCTTCTTCCTCAGCTTTGCGCTTAGCTTCCTCTTCCGCCTTCTTCTTCTCTTCGGCGGCTTTACGAGGGTCTACGGCACCAGCAGCGCCGTTGACACCAGGACGACCCTTGTTCTTCTTGGCTTCACGAGCAGCTTTGTCGTCAGCCTTGAACTGCTTGATGCGTGGGTCGACCGAGAGGGCCTTGTCGACGAGGTTGCGAAGACGTGTGTTGTCCTCCTTCTTTCTGCGAGCACGTTCGTTACGGTTCTTCTTCTCGGTGTATCGCTTGTCATCACGGTTGTCAGAGCCCTCGTTGATCTCCTTGTCGAGGTACTCAAACGAACGCCAGCTGTCGAAGTTGTACCAGAAGTCATAGAACTCGTTGACCTGGTCACGAGTCGAGTTGGCATCGCCAAGCTGAGGAACAGGACCGTTCTTAGGCTCAGAGAAACGGGACTCGCGCTCAAAGACGGGGCCCCAGAGCTTGTAGAACTTGTCAGCAGGCTCCTTGCCAGTGGGTACAGCCTCGTCATCGATGGACTCATCAACCGAGTCGAACTGACGACGCTTCTCAGGGTTGCTAAGGATCTCGTGAGCCTTGGCGATACACTTGAAGAACGAGTCATCCGAGGTGAGACCCGAAGAACCAGCCTTTTTGTCAGGGTGGTGCTTTAGAACCTTCTTGCGGTGAGCGATCTTGATCTGCTCCTGAGTAGCCTTCCAACGAAGTGCGGAAAGACCGAGAACGGCGTAGTGATCCTGAGTCTTCCACTCCTTGGGGTCACGAGCGAGAAGTTCAGCAGACTCCTCCTCGTCACCGACACCGGCATCATCGTCGCCGTTGGCAGCGGCAGCAGCAGCCTCAGCAGCAAGCTTGTCGCCGATAATCTTGTCATCCTCGGCAAAGGAGAGGTTGTTGAGCTGACGACGCTTGTGGGCGAGGAAAGCGGGACCGACAGGCTGAAGAGTATGGGTGGAAGGAGCCGAAAGGGTGGAGGCGGACGACTGACCGGGCTTGAAGCCAGCGGGAGCAGCCGAGAGCTCGTAAGGGAGGTCGATGAAGACGGACATGATGTTGTCGAGTTTTATCGAACCAGAGATGGATGGGAGGAAAGGCAGCACAGAGCTTTGCATTACAGTAGATGAATTCTTCCAACATGGCACAAACAGGAAGAATCGTGCAAAGAGGCGAAATTTGCGTGGATATGCTGTCTCGGTGTTAGGACGGCCTTATTGAACATCTTTGAATTTTGAGGTGTCAAGAAGAACGCTTTGGACGCCAACAAAACCCAGCGACTGCCAAGACCAACACAGTCTGGCAAACTTGTCTTCCTTTTCTTCTCTTCTGACCTACCACCTTCCCCACACACAGACGCCATGATCGACCTCCTCCTCCTCCAGCCCGACAAGGGCGGCAACCCTCAACTTGTCAAGGATTCGCAAAAGAAGCGAAACGCTTCTGAAGAGCTCGTCGACCAAGTCCTCAACCTCTACAAGAACTGGGTTTCCCTCCAAAAGGACCTCGACATTGCCCGTCGCGATGTCAACGCTGTCCAGGCCGAGATCACCAAGCTCCGTAAAGCCAAGGAGAACGCAGATGAACAGATGACAAAGAAGAAGGAGCTCGACGCCAAAGTCAACGAGCTCAAGCCCACCGTCGTCCAAGCCGAACAGGAGATGAAGACCAAAGCCATGCAGATTGGCAACATTGTCGGTGACAAGGTTCCCATCTCCAACACTGAAGATGACAACGCCGAGATCCGCAAATGGCACCCTGATGGTCCCAATGCACAGGTCGAGAAGAAGGAGGGTATTCTCAGCCACCACGAAGTCATGTACCGTCTCGAATTGTTCGACACGGAGCGTGGTACTAAGATCTCGGGTCACCGTGGATTCTTCCTTACCGGAGACGGTGTTGATCTCAACCAGGCCTTGATCAACTACGGTCTCGACTTCCTCCGTAAGAAGAACTACAAAAAGATCATGACCCCCTTCATGATGCGTAAGGAGGTGATGGCCAAGACTGCCCAACTGGACCAGTTCGACGAAGAGCTCTACAAAGTCACTGGTGACGAAGACGACAAGTACCTCATCGCCACCTCCGAACAGCCCATCTCCGCCCTGCACTCCGATGAAGTCTTCACCGAGCCTGCCAAGCAACTTCCCATCCGTTACGCCGGTTACTCCACCTGCTTCCGCAAAGAAGCTGGCTCGCACGGCAAAGACACCTGGGGAATCTTCCGTGTCCACCAATTCGAAAAGATCGAACAATTCTGCATTACCGACCCCGCCTCTTCCTGGGACATGCTCGAACAGATGCTTACCAACTCGGAAGAGTTTTACCAATCCCTCCAACTTCCTTACCACGTCGTTGCCATTGTCAGTGGTGCGTTGAACAATGCCGCTGCGATGAAGTATGATTTGGAAGCATGGTTCCCGTTCCAAGGAGAGTACAAGGAGTTGGTTTCGTGCTCTAACTGCACAGACTACCAGTCGAGACGTTTGGATGTGAGGTGCGGATTTAAGAAGCCCGGTGATACCAAGCAGACGTTTGTTCATATGTTGAACGGTACACTTTGTGCGACCGAGCGGGCGTTGTGCTGTGTGGTAGAGAACTGGCAGACACCGGAAGGGTTGAAGATCCCCCCTCCTTTGCAGCCGTACATGGGCGGAAGGGATTTCTTGCCTTGGGTACGGGAATTGCCTAAGAACACTACTAGCCAGAAGAAGAAGTAAAGAGCTCATCTCACGCCGATCACCCACATGATTGGCTTTGGCACCTACTTGCAATCACACTTCAGATACACATTTGCGTTACGATGTGCATTCGCACATGCTGGCAGAGAAGCTTGGAACTGTAGTGTGTCTATGTGTGATACTGTCCATAACGAGTCTATAATGCGTATCCTGCCCCCCTCTCCTGTCTCTACAGTAACCACTCATGCGAATGACTAGCCTGTTCAGCAATAAGCACGTCAATCGAATCCCCAAAGTAACTTGCCTCTTCATCACCCAATGCCCTTACACAGCTCTGTTGCCCTTCCGCATCACCCAGCACATGACACAGGTAACCTACAGGAGCAATGAACGCCTTATCCGAATAGTCCACCAGAGCTTTCGCCTCGTGACCATCTAGCTTTATCCCCGCTGGAATAGAAGGAAAGTTGAACGCTTTCATTCGTCTAACGGATCCATGGGCATGCTGTAACAGCGGTAAGATGGTCGTATCCCCTGTTGTCGCCAAATAATGAGCTAACCTCCACGGTGTACGACAGGCGTTCCAGTTTAATGCTCCATCGTGTTCTGATTCCAGGAGGTGGCCTTTTGGTGGGTCCCAGGTTGCCGTCTTTGCCTCGTACTGGAGAAAGTCGGGAAGGAAGCCAGTAGTGCCTCCGCAAGAGAGAGCTACTCTTTTAGTCGACTCCAAAACCCGCCCCCACCTCTGTCTTTCCGCCGAATCCCTATGCTGACGTGCAAAAAGTGCAAAAGCAGATAGGATAAAATCACTAGTCCTAGTAGCATCATACAACTTGCTCGCCTCTTCTGAATCTCTATTTGCCCAATCACCCATCAACGGAGTCCCCAATTCAGGATGAATTGTCCACCTCAGTATCGCACTAGCCAGTTTGTCCGCTTCAAGTCTATAACCTCCATCACCCTCTCCAAACACCCTCGAAGCCAAATATAGGGAGGAGGCAATATCTACATCCCCATCCGTAGCTGAAGTTTTACCATCCTCCTCAACATAAGGCTGCACCGGACCTACGGGGGATGAGGGTTGGTGAGGAGAACGAATTTGCCAACACATCAGCCCATGATCGTTGCGGAAATTGAGGAAGAAAATGAACAGGCCGTCAAAGTCAGGCTTATTGCGATGAAGGACAGAAATGAGCATTGCGTAGCCATGAGCTTCGGAACAGGTTATGGCGTTGCCATTGTTTCCCGCGGAGTTGTAGTAGCAGTAGAGACCTGAGGGGGATGATCGGAGGTAGGTGTTTCGCCAGGCGGTGTATTTTGCCTCCATGCTTGATTTGACTCGTTGCCTTGAGACAATGGCAAGGGGGTGAGAAGTGGAAAGGAGGCGAAGTGAGAGGGGGAAGTTGAGGCTCGAGCTCGGAACAAAGGATCTATATCGGCTGGAAATGTTGGTTCCACACAGACCAATGCTGAAGATAACGATCCCCCAGGACACGAGAAGTGACATAAGTCGATATGACGAGAGATCGGGTAGAATCGATCTGGTGACAAATCGGGCACAACCAATCTGATCGAAGATCGGGTGGGGCCGATATAGTAAGAATCGGGGACTGCTAGGTCCCGCTCGTTGACACACTTCGTCATTAAGTGGAATGCTACTGTATATAAATAGTGAGCAGAGAGCTCAAGGCTACCACTATGTTCTTTCCTTAGGTCAATATAGTATAGTGTTTCTGCTCAATAGCTTGAACACTGTGCTCTGACTGTCGTCGACCGCTGAGTGTCGACACCCGTCCTTATATTATTATTTCAACAACCAACACACGTTCAACAGGAGTTTCTTTTTATCAGGCACACAGCCAAGCTCTAAGTTCAGTGACTGAGCAGGCGATACGTGCTACGGCTTGGCGTGAGATACAGGTGGATGGTTGGGTGCACGTGCGCAAAGGTATTTGAGGTAGGCTGCATGAGATGTGCGCTGCGTGGTTGGAGCTGATTCTGCCGCCGGTTGCGATGCGATGTCGGCTACAGAGTATGGTGTCGGTGTCGCTTCGCGTTCAGGCTTGTCCTCGATTGCGCTGTGCCGCGATGATGGACCAGCGTTTGGGTCGGGAACTGCAGCATGAGCATCGCGCCTACGCTGCTTTGCTTGATCATAAGCTCTCTCTAGAACCTGTGCGAGCTCATCCGAGTGAACGTGAGTGAAGGCCACGGCGGGATGAGGCGGGTCGAGCGGCAGATACCGCGTCGAATGAAGGACGCGGAACTTCTGCTGAGGGGCTTGGGCTGCATCCTGTTGGGAAGAGGTGCTATTGACCGAGAGCGAGTTGAGTCGTGCTACAAGATCATCATCGTCTTGTGCTGGTGTGTTGATTGTCGGCGCTGCTGTTGATGATGATGCTGGACCCTCAAGGCCCGAAGACTGGAACTAGCTATGAGTGGGTAGAGGCGGAGCGGATTCGTCGATAGTGGCCTTGCCGATTGCAGTTGCGATACCCAGCAGTACTGCTCGAATGCGTTCCGGTCGTTCGACAATCAGACTCTTGTCCATACCTCGCACGTATCTGTGGTTGAGCACGGTGGGTGCCACGAGAACGTTGAGTTCTGCACCGTGTTGTGACTGAGCGTCCGGCGAATGCGGTACATTGACGCTTGCACTCGAAGCACCACTGGTCGTATATGCTTGGCTGTATTGTGCCATTGTGTTGCTGGCCTGCAAGAAGCCGTTGTCCGAAGTTGCTGCTTGAGGAGGGAGGGTCTGTGCGTCCATGTTTGGTGCTTGCTTGCTAGCGGGGGTATTCGATGCTTCTGGTGTGTTGCCGCGCGAGCGATTGGGTATCTTGACGATGAACACCATGCCGTCCAATAGCACGTTCGGACGTCTTTGTGGACAGTATGGGTGAAGTGGTTGAGAGATGAGATCGATGACTTCGCGCAAAATGTCAACCATGCGCAGACACAGGGACCAAATTTGATGCCGTGTTGATCTTTTGTTGAAGGGCGTGCGTCAAATGTCGTTGATCACAAGTGTTGATTGCGATGAGGAGCATTTCTAAGTACAAGATGATCTGAGTATATATATACGTCTGGCTATTGAGCATTGGAGTGATGTGTGGTGACATGTAAAATCGTGGGACAGTTTACGCGCGAGCTGTATGTTTCTGTCTTTTAGCAGCAGTGACATCGTACTTAGACTCTCCCCGATCGCCAGTATCGGGACCCAAACGTCTTCACTTTTCAACAATGGAAAGATCGATCATGGTAGTGGTAATCCTCCTCGGACCGTCTCCGGTGACAAGCCTAAGCAAGCTGATGGTGGTCTTGTCTCAGCCCAGTTATTGGTTTTGTGATTCGGTTTTATCGTCGGTCGAGTGCTCCTCTCTATTTCTCTCTTCTTTTGCTCGCTTCATTTCGTGTTGATCATGGTTTCAATTCACGTCCCTTTTGTTCCCTCATGCAAGACTATCATCGCTTGGTGTTGTGAAGGATTGTGCGTCCAAATATGTCTGGAACCGAGTCGATCTGGTGTCAACACGCATCGTACTCCTCCGACTGCTGCAATTCACAGAAACAACGATCTCTCGAATTCGATTTCGAACAAGGTTGCTAGACTGACATTCAGGCTCTTACGATACAGGACCGTTTGAATGAGCGCATATTAGGCATTGGTATCGATCGCTTGACTTGCACAACAAAGGGTAGTGTTGATGTGGGAAGGGCAGTGTTGATGTGGGAAAAGGTTTCGAGGACCTTTTGTTTGAAAGAACGGAGGTCTCCTTTTCGCATCGCGGTCTGCTGGCTTGTTTTTCTTCTGCGAATTGCCAAGTGGCGGCTCGAAAACTTTAAAAAAGTTGCCTATCTTCTCGCTTCCACGCCTTTGTGAACCTTTCAACCGAGCGCTCTGACCGCCGGCACAGAATTCACCGTCCATCACTACTACAGGCCTATTCCACCACAACTTTACATCGTCTCTCATCTTCAAATTCTACATACTATACACGTGTGCAGTCTCAGTCAGGAATCGATGTAGCTGTCTGAAAATATCGAGAATTGATTGATATGCCGTCAAAGTATCAAATGCATGAATGAAGCGGAGTCGACATAATGTACAACGACAGTCGCTATATAATGAACAAGTACCAATGTCGTTTCCTTAATCCCTTACGACCAACATCCTTTTTCTTGATGCGATCGTTCCGTTCTTCGATGGGGGAGTACGACATTGGGGCTGAATCTTCTCGAATCCAGCACAGGAATGAGGGATATGATCGTGTACAAGCACACGGAATCATTTTTGGGTGTTGGTGGGTACTAAAGCCTAATCATCCTCGAGGAGCGATGGGTTTTAGTAGAAGAAACCGAGGATCTTACCAGCGACGTGCTTACGACGAGCCTCTTCGTGGTCCATGATACCAGCGGAGGTGGTCAAAACAACGAAACCGAACGAACGGGCAGGAAGGAGCTGCTGAACCCAGTTCTCGATCTGACCAAGCTGAACGTTGAAGCGAGGCGAGATAACACCACACTTGTTAACACGTCCGTTGAGCTGAACAACAACCTTGCCGGAACGGTGGTCATCAACCTCCTCGAATTCGCCGATGTAGCCTGCCATTCATTGAAGCCATAAGGAGGGGTGTGAGGGAAAAGTCAGTGAATAGCTCGCAGCTTTACCGGGAAAGCAGCAAAAGCAAAGGTCGCACGGAAGAAAGGTGAAGAGGGGAGAGGAGAGAGTGGAGGGGGGGGAAGTGGTGGATGTGGCACGCCGAAAATTTGCGCAGATGGAGTCGAGGTAATTGGGCTCCTCCACGCGGTAAGCATAGCAATTGCAGCTTTGCTCTTCCGGAGCCTTAAAGATGAACGCTGGTATGTACACCCTTCTAGAAGAGTGTAAGCCAGATGCCCATTAGTTATAACTCCGGGTTATGTCCTCCGATTTGCATCTTCGTCTGCTCCGTATCTTCCTCTGTGACATTGGTAGCTTGCTCCATTCCCTGCTTTGTGTATGGTGACCACATAGTCCTTGCCTACTGCTGCTGTCCATGACCGTCATTTGTGAAGTGCTTTTCCGGCTCGTGTTGCGCGAGTGGTGGATTGATGTGCGACCTTGCTTCTGTGCTTTCGACTTGATGGTGAGAAACTTACCGTGCTTCTGCATAACAGAAAGGAACTTGATGACGACCTTGGAAGAAGGTCGGACAAGGACCTGACGCTTGCCCTTGCGCTCAGCGTTGACAATGCTGTTAAGAGCGTCGTTCTATCCAGGTACCAAACAATAATACAAACGTCAGCTTACCATCCCCTACACGATCAAGGTTGGACGATGATGTAGGTTGAAGACTTACGAGAACGGAAATGCGAACCATGATGGACGATTATGTGATCTGCTGGGCAGGTACAGGCAAAGTGTTGGCAAAAGTTGGTGGTGGTTAGTGGGATGACCTGTTCTGCACCAGCCTAATTGTGTTTTACTAATGACGTTCCCAGACGAGCCGCGCGCGAAGAGTGGACACAGGAATGGGGTTGCCAGGAGATAGATCTGGAGAGGTACAAGTCGGGAGTTCTACAGGGATGAATGCAATTGTTGGATGGCAATGGAGTTGTCGATGCTGCTGCTGAAGATGCTAGACGATGCGTATGAACGCCTCTATGGCGTAAAGGGTGGACTGGCATGCAACAACGCTGTCCCGACGGTGTCTCGGCATACGAAGTGCAGTTTTCGTTGCTGTCGTTCGAGATCGTGGACATAGGATGATGACGACTATGTATGGTTGTGGGGTTCATTTAAAAAGTACAGGCGTGCACTGTACGGCTGTCATCCGGTGTCGAAGGATTGCTGCAACATGATCGATACTGCCAACAAAGTCGAAGTCATGCTGACGGTATGCGTGCTGGCAGATGTTGGTTTGGTGAAGTGTCGAGGAGGGTTGAATTGCCTGTGTCGTTGTTCGTCGTGCGTGCAGCTGGGTTGTCACTAGTGCTGATATCAACTAACCTTGAAGAGGAGGAGAAGGGTGACCGGTTGTAGAAAGATGAGGTAGCAAGAAGGAAGTGCCGAGATGATGACGACCATTACCTTCACCTCGAACACACTCAGACGCGAGCGAGCGTTCAACTGTTTCTGCCACTCTGTAGTCAGATTTCTCGCATCGTGCTTGCTCACCGCACAACTTACTTTCTCAGGGTTGAAGACTTGACGACGATCTTGGCAAATAAGCCTTATCGCAGTCTGCTGCCGGAACACTGATCTTCTCATCATAAAGCTCGAAAATCGAGGCTCCAGCATGGCACAAATTCAACTTTCTTGAATTCGGCATTACATTCCACCCTTCCTTCTTGCTCTGGCTTCGGAAACTGCAATACAATATCACGTGCAGCTATACTTTCGGCCGCGTCCCAAGCCCCAGCCAAAATTTGGCCTTGCGAAAATCAGCGTTGCCAAAGTCGCGGCATCCTGCCCAAATTGGGGAGACGGGCACAGCGATTGCGTTCGACTGGAGCTCAGGTCACTTGAAGTCGAAAGTGAGATAGTGGGTCTGCTGCCGTGTTCAAGTGTTGGCCTCTCCGTGAGCCAAGCCAGACCAAATGGAAGTCTGCTCGTCATCGTCGTCTTCTTGCTCACGATCACACTTTACCGTCACCTTCACTCTAACTTCAAGAATCTTCCAACATGGTAAGCATCGCCATCCCCCAACAGATCAGTATACATGGCGCACGTACGACAACATATCGACAACAGCTAGAAGAGCACCAGCACCAGCAACAGCACACCAGCACCAGCGACAGCAATGACAATACGACAGCGTAGCATCGTCAATCGACAATGAATAGAGCATATCATCAGCAATGCAACATCTTTCCTCCAATTTTCACGGATGACCAAGACAGACCTTGAAGAACACCGCATCTACGAGCATATTCGATGGATGCGCTCATCAGCAGGTCATGGTAAATCAACATCTTGTCATCGAAGGCTCTTGCAAACATGTGAACGGAGATGCTCAAGAGGCACCCGCAAAATGTGCGATCAGGAAGGACTGCAATGATGCATCGAAGACACGCAGGACAGGATGCGAAGGCTCTTGCTATGATCAGGAAGTGGTATGCTAGTTCTCTCGTAACGTGGCTAGAGCATCAGCAGGAACGCATCCGACAGCCAACTACAGGTCTGATGTAGTCGACCTTGTCGATACACGAGCTAACATTCACGGCGCACGCAACATCACCAGACGCATCATCTCGTAACGTGTTATCGCCAGCAAATACTTGTCTTCCAAAGTCACATCGTGTCAACCAGGTTCCATTACCATCACGCGCCGATTTCGAGACATCAAGCATCTCAACAAGCGCGATCATTGTAGGCTATCTCCGCGATTTCGACAGCACACGCTGTATTGATGACCGCCCGTATACGAACATCAAGTCCGCCCCGCTGTCCTAGCTGTTTATCGACAACCGTGCTGCAATATCTGCTCATGTTCATCCTCGAACACGTATGACGCTGCTCGAGCAGAGTTCACCACAAACAGAAACAGCCTGCTAACCCTTCTTCCTCTTCATCATGTCCTTCCATTTCAACAACGATAGGGTCGAGTTCGCACCAAGACTACCAAGCGCGCTTCGCGTGTCCTCATCGAGAAGTACTACCCTCGTCTCTCGAATGTCGACTTCCACCAGAACAAGCGTGTCATCGATGAAGTCGCCATCATCCCTTCCAAGCGTCTTCGCAACAAGATCGCTGGTTTCACCACCCACCTCATGAAGCGTATCCAGCGTGGTCCCGTTCGCGGTATCTCGTTCAAACTCCAGGAGGAGGAGCGTGAGCGCAAGGATCAGTACGTTCCCGAGGTCTCTGCTCTCGACACCTCGGCTCAGGGTAGCCTCGAGGTTGACCCCGACACCAAGGACATGCTCCGCTCGTTCGGTTTCGACAGCCTTCCCGTCACCGTCGCTGCTCCCGTTACCGCTTACCCGGCTCCTGAGCGACGTGGCCGTCACGTTCCTGGTGCTGGCCGACGATAAGCGCATCGCCTTTTTCGGCATGATTGGCCCCAATAATGTCCATCGAGGCTGGATCTAAGGACAAGGCTGAGATGGATATGTACTATCACCCTCCATTCGCATCTAGCTGACCTCTCTCGCATCTTTTGAGGAGCGTGAGAGGATCTTTCAGTTGACCTACATACGCACTTTCATACACACATGACGTGATTGTTGCTTTACGCCTCAGTCATGTCAGCTCACCATTTTGTTGTATTGCAACTCACTCCTGCACACTCTCACATATGGGAACGCACACTCGACCACACCAAAAATCAAACAGGATCCTTCGCAGAAGGGGGGTTCTATTAGGCTCCGTACGCTGTTTTATCGGTGTGGTACTGCTTGGTGTGCATGAGCAATGGTTCGTGAGCCTGAACAAACTCGCCTGTGGGTCAATGACAGGGTTGAGTGCATCATGCTATCATGGCTGTTTAAAGCCCACGTTATCCGTATCCGATGATGACAGGGCGTCGGCATTCCAGTCAACCTGTGAGAATGCGAGCCTCTAACATGCTGAAGGAAACGATCCAATATGAAACATTACATTGAGTGCATTGTGTGAAGAGGAAAGCAAGATATAAGCAAGCAATGGGTGATAGTGACAAGAGCAGGACAAGTAACATATGCTCACTGTTAGGTTACGTCTCTTATCGGCTATATGACTTGATCGCGTTTTTGGAAACCCGCTTTTCCTTGGGGGGGTTTCAAATTCCCTCCAAAAATGCGCTTTTCAAAAAACCCGTGTTTTTAAAAACGCAAAAACTTTGATACCCCCCTTTTAGTCAATTGAGTATATATGTTTCTGTCTTAAACTAGCAGTGATATCGTACTTAGACAGTCCCCGATCGCCAGTTATCGGGACCAAACTTTTTTATATTCTATCATAACAATGCCTGAAATTGGCCGAGTTGCATAGCGCGTATGCGTGTCGCATCGGCGATTCGCGTAAGAAGTAAATTTTTGGACCCTGATGAATTCGAGATTTTGATCTGCCGTTGCCACTGCGACATCAACTCACATCTCTTCATCGCCAGCAGCCTCTTACGTACGATCATTGTGCTGAACACTTCGTCTCACCGACTTAGAGATGCTCTCAATACCCTAAGCGCCCTGCAAAATACTGGAGATGAAGCTAGCAGCATGTTTGCTACCACGCCGCCTTCCTAGTCATCAACATGCGTTTCTGCTCCCCTTCCTCACCCAGCCTCCACCACTAGCATCGCGATCGTACTACAGCAAGAGCCACACAAGCTCAGAGCTCGAGTGGGACGCCGAAACCCTTGAAGCGATGCGATCCTCTTCCCGCACTGCTTCCGCCTCCTCGAAAAAGAAGCCGCCGAAAACATGGGCCTCCACCCACACCACCAAGTCCAGCGATGCTACCGCAACTACACGCGTTCGCACCACCACCAAAAGCAAATCCCCCTATATAGTATATCAATGGAAACAGACTCCCGAACAAAAAGCAAAAGAAGCACGACTCAAAGATCTCGAACAAAACCTCCAAGTCTACACCCATACCATTCCTGCTGGACCACCTCACGTCGTTGGAACTGCATTTCTTCAACCCCTCAGCAAGCCTTCGTCGTCTTCTGTCACCCTCGACCAACCCATTTCTCCCTCATCCGCCGAACCTCCCAGCTCCCACCCTCTCCACGCGTATGCGCGCCTCAAAGCACCCAGCATAGCCTACACAGCAGATTTCGATGAAGCACAAGACCTTCTCTCCTGTCTCGGTCCCGGACCAATGGGTCTCGATCTCGAATGGAACATAAGTCGCTTCGTCGGCGCAAGTCGCACCGCTCTCCTCCAAATTTGCAGTCCCACCCTAATCGTCATCCTCCACCTCTCCGCTATGTCGCACCGCATCCCCCCTCTTCTTCGTACCATTCTCGAGGACCCAACCATCATCAAAACAGGAGTCGCAATCAAAAACGACGCTCTCAAACTCCAGCGCGATTATTTCATCCACACCCGCAATGCACTAGAGCTTGGGAATCTAGCAAAGCTCGCCCAGCCGCAAAAGTGGGCAGGCGTGAACCATTTGATTAGTCTGAGGGATCTAACGAGGATCTATCTGGGGAAGAAGTTGAAGAAGGACAGTGTGCGGGTTAGTGATTGGGAGAGGTTTCCACTGGAGAAAGGGCAGATAGAGTATGCGGCGAGTGATACGTTTGCTAGTTTGGAGGTGTTGAGAGCGATAGCCGAGTATTTTAGAGGGGAGGGAAAGGGGCCTGGCAAGGAAAATGAGATGGGGTTGGAGGAGGCGTTAAAGTTGAGTGCTTATGATCTGTGGCTGGAGAGGATGCAATCCAGTGCGGGTGAGAAACAGAAAGACATTTTAAGGGCGGCGTTGAAAGAGGTTCAGCCCGCACCGCAACCGCAGCCACAGCCGCAGGTGCAGGAGAAAGCAAAAGCAAAACCGCACGCCACCACTTCTACCAATCCCCAGCCCAAAGCCAAAGCCAAAGCTAAACCTAAACCCGCATCTACCACCACCACCTCATCCTCAGATGATGAAGGGATACAAGTAACCAAAGTCCTTCTAGCCCACGATCGAGCCATGCAGTCATGGCTCTACTCCTCCCAGACCCTCACACAAATCGCCACCTCTTCTGGCATAAAACCCAGCACCGTCGTTCAATACCTGCTCAAAGCTCTGCTACTTGCCAAGCAACGCCGTGCCAAATCCCCCACAAAGGGTAGTACAACGTTTACTATACTGGACGATTTCAGCATAGCGGACAGATTAAGGCTAGATAAAGAGTTGGGGGACAAAGAGGGCGGATCGCAGATGTCGATTGCGAGGAGTCGGTTTAGAGCGCTGGCTAAGACTTTGGGTTGGGGTTCCGTTGATAGCTGGAGTGACAGCGAGGGGAGTGAAGTGGAGAAGGGCAAGAAGGGGGGAGGTAGGGGGACGGGTGTGATTGAAGTCGAAAGTAGTGATGACGATGATGTGGGGGTTGATGTTGTTGATGTTTCTCGCTAGAGCCTCCTTCACAGACACAGCAACGCAGCGCATAGAAGAGCTTGCTTTTTTTGCAACTAGATCACTATTGTACAATGTCAAACAATCATTCTCAATACTTTTGGCGTGCGAAGTGCGAAGAAGAAGTTAAGCCTAAGCCGAGACCGCAGGTGGCGTTGCACCTCCAGCTCCTGCCGCTTCTTGCTGTGCTCTCGTCTGCAATGCCACGATCTAGCGCACCACCAACGCCACGCAGAAACAACAAAAACTTGGTCAGCACAGCACCCCTTTCTTCCCTCAATCGTCACGAAGGGAGCGATACGCACCTCGATCTTCTTCTTCTCCCTTTTCTCCGTCAAGTCCTTAATTTGGGCTTCCACCCTCTCACTACCACCACGCGAATACATTGTCAGTCTTTTGTCTACTCACACCTTCGGAGTAGGTCTATGGGAAAGGGGGGGGGGGGGGGGACTTACATTTCGCCTTTGATAAACTCGATTCGCTTTTCAACATTCGTTTTCGCCTCGACTTGATCTTGCTTCACCAGCACCGGTCCGATAAGTTTATACACCTGATTGTCCTCCGTGAGCTTGCTGAATCCTTTTGCAACCTGTTCGTTCTCTCGTAATTGGGAGTCGAGTTGTTGCCTTGCTTCTACTGCTGTTTGGAATGCTACGCTCGGCCAAAACCCAAAAGAAGGACGGTGTTACTAGACTTGAAGATAGAAGAGAGCAAAGGCGAATAAGGGGACTTACAAGCTTGAAGCTTTTGGTATTCTGTGACTGCCGCCTCCATCGTTACTATGTTTGTGGTGGCTAAGGTGGTGTGAAGAGGGGAAGGATGGGAAGGATGGGCATGGGATGCACAGTGCGACAAGATTGTTCGGAAGACGGAAAAAGACCAACACTTGTTGCTCTAACAATGGGAAAGCGAACGAAATTTCGTTTAGACCCTTGAAAGAGAAAGAGGCGTAGGAAAGAAGTGCCAAAGGTCGAACAAGCTTTCTTCTCATTATACCTTGCTCGCACACACCAACATCGTCAAGATGTCAGCTACAGACGCCACCGACACCTCTCACATCGAGGCTGAAGATGTAGCAACCACCACCTCAGCTTCTGAGCCAATTAAAGTCCCCAACAGCCCAACTTCAGCATTTGCAGCCCTATCATTATCCGACACTTCTCCTTCGTCTTCCATCTTCACCCCTCTTCACCTCGCCGAACTTGCCTCATCCACCGCCCTCGTCTCTGCCCTCGATAATGCCCGCAAAGCACCCAAACCCCTCGTCCGCTCAACAGGCCACCTTGTCCCCATCCCTCACTCCCCTACCTCGCAAAACCACCACTTGCTGTCATGGAAAGTATCCGAATTCGCATACCGTAAAACCACCTCTCTCGATTCCGAACTGCCTACCCTCGCTCGAGGGCTTTTCACCGAACGCCTTTCCGGCCCCACCCCTTCCTCTTCAGAACCGCAGCATAGAATAGTGGTTAGGGGATACGATAAATTTTTCAACCTCGGCGAGTTGTCTTGGGTTAAATGCGAGAGTATCGCTCGCTATACCACCCCACCCTACCTGCTTACGTTTAAGGAGAATGGCTGTATCATCTTCATCGCTGCTTTATCACCTACTCAGCTCGTAGTCACCTCGAAGCATTCGTTGGGGTCTATCGAAGGTACGGAAATCACCCATGCACAAAAGGGCCACGAGTGGATGCTCAAACATCTTTCCACCCGGGGTAGAACAGAGGAAGAACTGGCGAGCGAGTTGTGGAAGAGGAACGAAACGGCTGCGTTCGAATTATGCGATGATTCATTCGAAGAACATGTCCTAGCCTACAGTGAGGCGAGATCCGGGTTGCATCTACATGGGTTGAACAAGAATGCAGCAAAGTTCAGCACTCGAAGCATGCCAGAAGTGGATGCTTTTGCGAAACAATGGGGGTTTATCCCGACAAGATGGATCCAATTGGGGACTTTAGGGGAGGTGGACAAGGTGACGAAAGAGATAGAGCAAACGGGAGCTTGGGATGGGGAGCCGATTGAAGGGTTTGTCATCCGAACCCACATGCCTGGCGCGGAAGAGATGGAGAGGATAAAGGAGAAGGAAGCAAGGGATAAGGTGGTGAGGCCGCCTTATGAGCCGGGACAAGCTTGGTTCTACAAGGTGAAATTCGATGAACCTTATCTGATGTATAGAGATTGGAGGGAACTAGCACGGAAAATGGTGCGCGAGAAACAGGAGTGGGAGGCGAAACTTTGCACTCTACCATCTGATGCTATTGCCTCTTCCTCCAACACCACTCCAGCGGAACGCGAACCAGAGCAACGCAAGGTGGACCTAGCGGTAGAAAGTCAGAATGGAGAACCACCATCCAAATCAGCTCTCAAAAAGGCTAAGAAAGCAAAAGCAAAACTCGCAGCCAAAGCTCTCTCCTCTTCCCGCGCCGCTGCTCAATCAGCCGGCCTCGTACCTCCCCAACCCCCCCAACCGCGCTCTAAACGACCAGAAACACTCCTCTTCATCCAATGGTGTTACGATCGACTATACGGAAATCCTCAAGCAGGGGTCAAGGCTCAACCGGGCTTGTTCGCTCCATTGGCGAAGAACAAGGGAATTATTGCTATGCGTGATGCTTTTCTAGCCTACCTTGCCTCACGCCCTTCTTTCTCCTCCTCCTCCGCCAACCCCGCGGAGGGGGTAAGGGAGGATGAGAGACCATACACTCAAACGGTTTTGGCACCGATTGCTGTGCCAGGATGCGGAAAGACTATCCTTGCTCTCGCACTAGGCGAGTTGTTCGGGGTGGGAATGGTCCAGTCAGACGACTTTAAAGCGAAAAAAGGCTTCCTCGCAGCGATCGAAAAAGATCTCCGCACTCATGCCGCAGATGGAGAGTACGTGCTGTTTGTGGATAAAAACAATCATTTGCTCCAACATCGAGACGAGCTGATCGATCTATGCTCTAAACTTTCTGCACGCAATCCTCTTGCGCAGGGGAGTAAAAAGAAGCAGCCCGCCGAAGTTGGCCGAATCAGGACGATAGCTCTAGCCTGGGACTTGGATTCTGTACCGTTGAATACGCTACATCGGTTGTGTGCGGAACGAGTGGAGAAGAGGGGAGACAATCACCAAACACTAGTGGCGGATACCGAGGCGGAGGGGAAGGTCAGAGGGGTGAAAAGTCATGAGCTTGTTTTGTGGCGTTTCCTGGAGGCACTAGAGACTTTCGGGGAAAAGGAGCGGTTGGGAGAGGGTAGGGAAGGCTATGGTGATTCCTCATTCCAACACGTAGTTAAGTTGTCGGTGCATGCGAGTGCGGAAGAGAACCTTGGCAGGGTGATAGAAGAAGTTGGTGAGGTGGTAGGATGGACCATGCCCAGCGAGGGAAGAATTCAATCGGCACTAAAGAAGGCTTTGGAGTGGAGAGTAAGCAAGAAAGCGAATGCGGACAAGAAGAAAGCGAAAGAGGAAAAGAAGGCAGAGAACGACGGCAAGGTTTTGGCGCCAAGGTATTTCGGTCTCGCGGTCGAACTCGATGTTCGTTCTGCCCTCGATTCTATCCTCTCTGGCACTGAGGATGGAGATAGCGCAGCAGAGTTTTATAAGTCGGTCAAGGCAGGAGGAAGGATCAACCTTCGACCGCATATTACGTTGGTGCATAACTCAAACCTTTGCCTACCCGATTCCGACACAGAGCCGAACGAAGCGGATAGGAAATGGCAGTTCTACACTCAACTCTTAGCCTCCAACCGCTCTCGTTCCACAGACAGCGTATTCAAGATCACGCTCTCCACCCTCCTTTATGAAACGGACAGGCTGTTGACTTGGCCAATAGACAAAATAACCCCTCCCGCGGAAATGGAGGACAAGTTTTGGGAGCTACACGAAAAAGACTGGGTACCGCATATTACAATTGCAACAAGAGATCACGAGGTCAGACCGTTCGAAGCCAATCGTGTCGTACAGCAGTGGCTGGAGAATGGAAAGAGGCAAACGGATAAGATTCGGGCGATAAAGTTCAACGACCAGCTGACCGTCGAGGCAAGGGTGTTTGGAATGACCTGATACCCTCCAATCTCTCAAGCTTTAGAGCTGGCAAAGGCATACAATATCAATCGATCTTACCTTGGCTTCCTTGGCCCTGATAGCATTTCGATTCGCAATCCCCCACATCGTCTGCCTCTATTGGTCAGACAACTGCCAAGACATCCATCCATAACATGGCCAATGGCGCAAGAGAGCCAAGTTGCATCTCAACAAAAGCACAAACCAGGTCTGCACGAAATCAAGTGGTACAGTCGTGTCCAACATTGCCCCGCATCTTGCATCTTGTTCGCCCTTACAGCATTCCACTCGGCACCCTTGGATTTGCCTGCGTTTGTTGGTTTAGTGTCAAGACATGCATTTACAGGCTTGATAATGGAGGTGAGAAGCGCAAGTTGAATTTCGACAAGAGACCAGGAAACAAGACGAGAGAAGATCCATAACAAAGAAGAAGAGAAGAGGCTGAGATAGAACCCATGACAAAGAGAAAAATAAACAAGAGATGCGTAAAGTTTTGGTATAGTGCAACCGCCCTTCTCCCTCTTTCTTCCCCTTCTACGGGGCGAAATACGGGGCGAGAGGGGTTGCATAGTGTTCGTAAAGAACCATGAAGAAGAAAGATTGGTGAGGCCGAGGTTAAGCATCAAAGTAGAATAACTTCTTCCGGTGTCCACCCCCTTGAACCTGCGCTGGTGGTTGACGAGGAGGAAATCCAACCTGAACCTTTCCTCCATCCCCCTCCCCTTGCGCCACCTCACCACTCCTCGGCACGCTTTCATCATCCTTGACCTCCTGATTCAGATGTTTAGCTAATCCACCATCGCCCAACCCCCAAGCAGGATCGTATACATCGTGCGTTTCCCTATCCGGCAATTGCAAAATCGGGTAGGTTTTAAGAGCTGATAATCCATCATAACTCCACGTCCTACCCGCACCCGCACCTGCAGCTTCCGACCTCTCCTCCTCTCCCTCTACTTCGCCTTCATCTTGCTGGAGGGGAGCAGAGGGGGTAAGAGGTTGAATGGAGTGCATTCCAAGTGAAGAGCGGGAACGAGGAGGAGGCATGAGCGATGTTCGATGGTGTCGACGTCCAGCCATTGCAGAGTTGGGTCGAGAAACAAAGTCACCGGAAGTTAAGGCTTGGGATGACATTTCTCCTCCATCTTCCGGAACAGAAGGCGTGGGACTGCGGTGGAGGGTGGGCATGGTTGAATGGCGACCGTATGCAGGCGCAGTGGTGCTGTTGGGAGGCGCACCGAGGTTCATCATGTGTCCCGCCACAGCATCGTTGGTGCCTCGACCATTCGGGGTTGGAGGCTGCGGCGCGTGCTGGTGCTGGTGTTGGTGCTGGTGATGACCGTGGTGAGGGTGATGGGCATGATGCTGATGCTTGTGTGCCTGAGCAACAACCTGACGACTAGTGAGTGCAGCAGCGTGTCCATAACTGATACTCTGTCGATGCTGCCCATGACCATGGCCGTGAGAGTGGGCGTGATGGTGAGGGAACGCCGACGTAGCAGACGAAGCAGGAGGAGAAGCGATCGAAGTCATTGCACCCCACCCGAGACCTTTAGCTCGAGGTGATGTGCCCGCACTGCCATACAGGGTGTGATATCCAGCAGCACTGTTGGGCCTGGAAGGAGTCAAAGCAGCACGAGCAGCATCCTGAGCAAGAGCAAAGCTGCTGTTGTATGGACTTCGCATCAGTGTTGGCGACGGTGGCGGATGCGGGCCACTTGGCTGTTGTTGGTGATGATGCGAGGAGCCGGCACTGCCAACATACGTCTGCGCAGTGTTGGCTGCAGTCCAAGTTCGGCCAGTCGAGTAAGCACGTGCGCTCCTGGGTATCTGATTGTACAGATTGGTGCTGCTACCAGAACGGCTGATGGGCGCAAGCAACGGCGGCAGGACCGAAATATCACGGCTTCTTCTCCTGTTAGCCTTCCTCTGCGCTTGTGCCTGAGCTTCCGCATCCGCGATCCTCGTAAGACTATTGACACGAGCGCGTGCAAGTCTATGTGCTGGATCATGAATCGCTCCTGCACCACCACCAGCCTTCTCAGCCTTGGCACCAGCAGGCGAAGAGTCACCAGGAATGCCACCCTGACCAATCTCGCGAACATAGGCTGGTACATGTCCACGTCGAATGGTAGGCTTGGCAACGAGGCTCTGCGTAGGAGTGATGCCTGCACTGCGGCCTCCTAAGGGATCTCGCGACATCTCGGCCGGATGAAGAGTGCTGCTGTTCTGACCTAGAGAACTGGCCATGTTGAGGTCCCTTACCGAGGCAGCACGCCTCTGAGCATAGAGCAGCTCGTTGCTGCTGCTGGCTCCAGAAGCGCTGCTCTCACGACGTGCAATCTGTCCAGAGCCACGCGAAGGCGATTCATCACTGTCATCGGTGGAGTGGAAGACGTCGGAGTCGCTGGCTTGCATTGTAGCAGGCGAAGCGGTCGAGCGCCAGTTGAGCCAAGCCGAAGACAAAGACCGAAGCCAACCGCTCGTGTTCGAACCAGAGTTGGAGCTCGAGATGGAGACAGCATTCGAGTTGCGTCGAGCAGGAGCAGCTGCGACACCAAACAGCGACAATCGGCGCAAGTCGGTTGGCCTTGTTTCGGAGATGTCAGTGCCGCGTCGCGAGGTGAGCGTCCCAGCACGAGACTGGGCGAGCTTCAAGCTACCGACTGTCATGCTGAGGCCATCGTCGCTGTCATTAGAGTGGGAAGCGTGCTGCTGCTGAAGCTGGGTAGGATCTGAGTAGCTCGGCGATAGGGCAGATTGCCGCCTTGCGGAAGCTTGATCGTGAGAAGAGAGTCGCGGAGACTGAGCGTCGTCAAAATGCGAAGGAGCGTGCATCGAGCTCAAAGTGGGTGGTGGTGCTTGCTGGTTGGTCAGTGTGATGCCGCTAGCGCCCATCAAAGTGTGTTCACTTGCGAGACTGCGAGACAGCAGCGAGCCTCGAGTGCTGGGACTGCCGACATGATCAGCAAAGAGGTCAACAGAAGGTGCGGCGTGGTGCTGACTGCCCTTGTCGAGCAGCTTGAGAGGGCTTGTAGCCATCAGAAGCGAAGACCTCTTGTTGGCGCTCGAGCCAGGACGGTGCGGCAATGTTGCGGCGGGCGAAATGGCGCGATTGGCCTCTGGATGCTGTTGTGCTTCCTCGTCGACTTGATGCGTGGGAGTAAATCCAGGCACCGACAGGCGGTGAGATGCTCTGACAGTGTTTTGCGAGCCAGAAGACCAAGTGACGATCATCGATTGTCTCGGTGTGATAGCGGGGGTTGCAGTATTTGTCGAGAGTCCAGAGCTTGTGCCAGTAGTAGCATTGTCATCTGCACCGTGCGTATTGCGAAGAGTGCTCTGAGCGCCATTGGCGTTCCTTGTGCTCGAGTTGGATCGAGGCTTGAGCCTTGGCTCCCAGAGACTACCGCTGCTTTCAGAACTGAGAATACTGCCTTCGGTACCCGAAGTGCTTGCACGTCCACCGCTTGCAGCAGACGATGAGCGAGGCGGCACGGCAGACGTGTATCGACTCGAGTCTGTAGTTTGACCAAGATCCGCCGCTCGGACTCTAGGGCTGTTGATTCCGGCGGAGGTCATGCCATGAGGAGGGGCAAACTGAGGAAAGTAGCCTTCGGTACCGGCGCCGGGAGCATGGAAACCCAGGGGAGTGATGAGTCTTCCACTGGCGGTGCGTGGCTTCTGGGCGGCGCCGCGAAGGTAGATGTAGCTACTGGAGCTCTCGGTAGCGGTGTCACTCGCGCCACTCGGGATGCCAGCTCCACTGGCGCTGCAACCATCAGCATACTTGTCCATGCATTCAGGGCAGGAACACTCGCTCTCGGGAGTGTTGGCCATGATAGGCGTGGGTATTGATGATACGCTTGCGGATCTTGTCCATGTGGGAGGAGCGGTTGGCACCCAGGCTGTGCTGGGTGTAGGCACAAGTGGCTGTGAGAGGTACTGCGCTAGCTCGCGCAGACCAGAAGAACGTCGCTCATCGATCAAACGACATCGCTCTGAGCAGTAGAGTGGTGTGGGTGCTTTGCGCTTGGCAGCGAGCTCGGCCTCTTGTTGCTTCAATGCCGCCGGAGTGAGACCGAGACCGCCAAGGAAGCCTCGGTTTCTGTTGCGTGATGATCCGTCAGCACTCTGGTTGTGATTGAGAGGGACGGTGGCTTCGTTCGACTTGAAGGAAGATGGACCACTGCTGTTGGAGCGAGATCGATTGCTGGCTGCTGAGCCTGGTCGGGAAGCTGCTGGGCTCTTGCGACCATGGTGGCCTGTAGCCTGGCGAGTGGATGCTTTATCCTTGCCCTTTGCTTTGCCATCATCGTGGAGTTTGGTAGTCGGTCGAAGCTCGCTTAGCGCGTGAAGCCGGCTACCAGCACTGCCAGTGCGCTTGTGTGGACCGATGGGACCAGCGCTGGCCTTGGCATGAAGACGACCGGCAGAGTGCGTCCTCTTGAGAGGGCCAGGTGGATTCTTAGGAGCGGTAGGCGAGCCTTTCTCGGAGGGGGGTTTAGCATCATCGGAAGTGTTGGAGGCACGAGGCTTGATAGTGCCGGAGCGACTCTTGAGTGTGGTGTGTGATGCAGGTGGATGAGCGGGTTGAGTTGAGCTACCAGCTTTGGCGATAGCCTCACCTGCTTCGATTAGGCAGTCGCAAGTGAGACAGTAGGTTTGTGTCCACAGCTCTTGACCATCCATCTCGAAAGCAGCGTCCTCGTCGCTACTGTCATCTGTAGTTGTCTCTTGATCGTCATTGTTGTTGTCGGTGGACTGGATGCGAACGAGTTTGGGGTTGGGTTTAGATGGACCGGCAGCGTTGGTAGGCGCGCCTTTTAGCTTGGATGCTGTGCCTGGTGGACGAGCGCCCCCGGGAGGAGCAGCGAGCGGCATTGTGACCGGAAGAGGAGGAGGCGAGAGCCGAGCGTGTATGTGATGAAAAGCAAGACTATGAATGCATGTGTTGGGTTGAGAGAGGGTGGTGGTAAGGGCGATCAGTGGTGATACTGAAGGGTGTGGACGCGGATTGGACCGGTCGCGATTGATGGGATGAGAGACAGGGGTGGGATGCTCGTGGTCGAAAGCGACTCAACTAGCGGCCATTCGAGTGGATGCAAGATGTGTAGTAGAAGAGTACGCGCGGAAAGAATAACAGAGCGTTATGGATTGGAAAATCGAGCCGGAGAGGAGATGATGCGTGATGATGGAGTGAGCCGATTAGACGTAGCTGATGTGTGGGTGGGTGTGTGGGTGTGATGGCAGATGAGGCAGATAGGATGGGCAGTGGAGTCTACGAGAGGGTCGTGCACGTCGGATGATTGAGTCGCGTTGAGTCGATGAGAAAGGCTGAAGCCGAGAAAGAGCAGGGTGAACGCGGAACTTGGTGTTGATCGACAGCGAGGTGAAGAGAAGTAGATGGAGGAGCGAGGTAAAGAGAAGTAGATGGAGGAGCGAGGTAAAGAGAAGTAGATGGAGGAGAAGTAGATGGAGGAGCGAGGTAAAGAGAAGTAGATGGAGGAGCGAGGTAAAGAGAAGTAGATGGAGGAGCGAGGTAAAGAGAAGTAGATGGAGGAGCGAGGTAAAGAGAAGTAGATGGAGGAGCGAGGTAAAGAGAAGTAGATGGAGGAGGAAAAGTAGATGGAGGAGCAAGATGAACAAGACGACGAGCAAGACGGGTCAAAGGGAGAGAGGAATTCCGACCGAATTCCAAAAGCGCCAACGTGACCGTCGCCGCAGTAAGCAAGCTGTAGTGTTGTAACTCGAGTCTCTTACAGCCCCGCCTTAGGACAAGAAGAGCTTCATTCCTTCACAGACACGGGAAACGATCGTCGGCTTGGTCCCCTTGCCAATGGATTCCAGCATACTGCCAGCTAAGCAGGTCACTTAATCTCTCCGCAATCATCCCTGCTTCTCCAAGGAACACCGGCGTCAAATGAAGCCAAGCCGTCTCCACAGAGTTGCCGTTGACCATCGCTTTGCCGCTGATGCTTTGAGCTGCAATGCATCAATAGCACCGAGATGTGACAACAAGGCACACACACATACACACATCATCATCATCATCGTCAACCCCGTCCGACTGCAGTGTGATGTGGGCTTGGCAGTCGCATAAGCGTACGGTGTATGGTGACGCGTTGGTAGCAGAGGCAATGCAACCCTCTCGGCGTTCTTTGCAACCGCATCGCTAGGCATCGGTAAGACGTAACAATCCTAACTGTAATCTGTGTGACGTGTTGAGAGGTTGCCGTGAGCGAGCCCTCGAGCGGCTTTTGGTGTCAGAAAGATTGAGATCCGTTGCTGGGGTTGTGATGCCAGTATGGACCCCTGGAACGTCAGCCATACGCCAAACGCAAGCCCGGATGAAGAGTTAATTACTTTTCACACACTCCATCGAATCGATCAAGCCGACTGAGCCTGTGTGAAAGCAAAGCAAGGCAAGCTCAGCTGGTTTTATGGTATGGCGACGAGTTAGTCAAGATGGAGCCGAGCTTGGTTCCCAGGCATTCACGCCGAAAGGTGCCAAGTAGACCAAGAGGGCGATGCAAATGAGTTGGCGGCAACACGTTTTCCTTTGGCAGTTGCATCCACCCTTTTGCATTATCGCTCGAATGTTAGCCCTAGTAACAATGCACATTCAAATGGAATATATATCCGGATCCAAGATCTTTATCGGCAGCTCGGACAATTATTTATCAATTTGGCCGAGATCCTTGATTTGATTTTGATTGGTTTGATTTTGATTTTGATTTTGATTTTGATTGGTTTGATTTTGATTTTGATTTTGATTTTGATTGCTTTGATCTTGATTGCTTTGATTTTTGTGCAGCGTCGATGATCAACGAGTCACGTTCTTCCACTCGCTCAACACCCCACCTCCCCACACTCACTCCCATCTATCATCCCAACTTGCCTCTCTTTTGCGTTCTGACCACCAACCATCCCGCCGCTATGCCACCTACCACACACCTTCGAGCCCCCCCCGATGATCCAGCTACGGAATGGATCATTCAAAAATACGGTGGAACCTCTGTCGGAAAATTCCTCGACACCATCGCACAACAGATCGTCCCCTCCTATCTCGCCGGCAACAAAGTAGCCATCGTCTGTTCCGCTCGTTCCGGTCAAACAAAAGCACTCGGAACTACAAACCTTCTTCTCCAAGCTGCGAGCGAGGCTCTCGATCAAGCTTCCACCCCCGCAACCTCCTTGACCAACTCGGTCGCATCATTGGCAAATGGTACACAAACACCAATCCATCATCCAACAAGCGCCTTCTCCCGCAAATCAAGCTCAAAAGGGACACCCCTCGGTCGCGTCGAACCTCTAAGCAGCAATGTGTTGGATAGCAAACTCGAACAGCTTCAACTCAACCCGTCTACCTCAGCAGCTATCAAGAGTGTCGAAAGCGATGCCGGCTCGGATGAGGATCCAGAGCTAGCTAGTGGCTTTAATGCTACCGTAGACCGAATCCTCTCCGACCACCTAGCTTCAGCCAGCAAGGCAGTGACAAAGGATAAACAACTTCTAGCACAGATCCAGGCCGAGATTGTTCAAGATTGCGATCGACTCCGTGACTTTCTTCTTGCCGCACGCATCATCGAGGAAATCTCGCCAAAGTCGAAAGATATCATCATTGGTCTCGGTGAACGGCTTTCCTGTCGCATCGCAGTGGGCGCTTTACGCGATGCTGGCATTGCAGCAGAACTTGTTACTCTCGAATCTGTTGTAGACTCCTCATTCTCTGCTCATGCCGTGCAAGATGCGCAAGGCGAGTTTACACTGGATCAAGCATTCTACGACCAGCTATCCGAAGCCTTAGGGCAGAGGTTGAAGGCCTGTCGAGCAGTTCCTGTGGTAACTGGCTACTTCGGAAATGTACCTGGCTCCTTGCTTTCTCAGATCGGAAGAGGATATACGGATCTTTGTGCTGCACTGTGCGCAGTCGGTGTTGGAGCGAAAGAGTTACAGATTTGGAAAGAAGTCGATGGAGTTTTCACTGCTGATCCTCGCAAAGTTCCCACCGCACGTCTCATCCCAGCAATCACCCCCGAAGAGGCAGCCGAGCTCACATACTACGGAAGCGAAGTCATCCACCCATTCACGATGGAACAAGCTATCAAGAAAGCTATTCCTATCCGCATCAAAAATGTCGAGAACCCAACTGGCCAAGGAACAGTTATCTTTCCTGACGTTCCAGCAGGTCACGACTCTACAGAAGACAAGTTAGTCGATGGCCACGTCGATCAACCTCAACCAGCCCTCACACCCTCCGCCTCCAAATCCTCCTTCTCAGCCTGGGGCTCTTCCTCCACCCCCCTCAACCCGCCTCGCGCGCCCATCATGGGTTCCGAACGAAAACTCCCCACAGCAGTAACCATCAAAGACAACGTTCTAGTTCTCAACGTCCATTCCAACCGCAAAACCGTCTCCCACGGCTTTTTCGCAAAGATCTTCGGCACTCTCGACAAATACGGCGTCGTCGTCGATCTCATCTCCACTTCCGAAGTGCACGTATCTATGGCGATGGCTGCCGGCCTCCGGCCTCGAACGCTGGAGAAAGTCAAGGCGGATTTGCAAAAGGTGGGCACCGTTAGTGTACTAAAAGATATGGCGATTCTGAGTTTGGTAGGCAAACATATGAGAAACATGGTCGGTGTAGCAGGGAGAATGTTCACTGTCCTCGCCGAAGGGAATGTGAATATCGAGATGATTAGTCAAGGCGCAAGTGAGATTAACATAAGTTGTGTATTGCATGAAAAGTTGGCGGTAAAGGCACTAAATTTGATCCATTATAGTGTTTTGGAGGTTAGTCCAAAGCCGAGTAATAGTGAGGCTGGCGCTTTTGGTAGGAGTTTCTTCTAGGCAGCAATTGCTCTCCAACAGCAACCATACCTCTTGGCATTCCGATAGCTTTCGCCAAGTGTTTCCAAGGCGACGACAAGAGTAAAGAGAGGAAATAGAATAAAAGTAAATACAAGTGTTAAAATTTGTCAGAGGAGAGATGATGGTTGGGACATGTCATTTATCGCGACTCCCCAATGCACGCTTACCTACCTTCTGATACTGGTGCCTGCTTCTTCCCTTTGCACTTTCTGTTCGTGCTAAACAGCTTACGAGCTCAAGTGCTGAGGCGATGGGGGAAACAAGAGCTGAATACAAACCAAACAAGTGGATTGGTGAAGCATTCGTAGCTTCAAACGGACAGGTTTCTACCCTCTCCTCCTCGTCCGGCTACAAGAGACAGGGTTTGAAAGCGCTCAGTACAGTAGAAGCAGGATCTATTTGAATTCTGCTGAAGCATTATCTACACCCATCTTCCCTTTGACTCTGCTTTCCGTTTCCGTCGGGCTGCTCGACTTCTCCGCCTCTGCTTCATCCGGTTCGTGCGGTGAGAGCGAAAAGCTCGCTGACTCGCCTAGCAGCTCTGCTCATTCAGTGAGGCACGCTTGACAGTCGCCCAAGTCTCTGCTCTTTGTCTTGATCGAACTCCTTGCTTCCCTCCCTCCCTCCTTCCACCCTTCAACATCATCTCGAAACGACCAGAGGATCACCTTTCTTTTCGTTTTCGCTAGGGCCGGTTCCTCAGCACCCCTTCTACTGCTTCTTACCCCCTTTCTTTATTCGTTTCCCAACACCAGCTGGTTCTGGTATTAGTATTTCACAGAGTTGCCCGATGCAAGTCTAATCGACAGAGCTCCTCCAAACTTTCTTCTATACTTTTGCTTCCGTCTCAAGAATCGACAAGCGGGTCTTGTTCGATTTCACTCGCAATATGAAGCACCGTATCATTAGGGGCAGCTTCGCAAAGCTTTTCGTCTTTCTTCTAGCGCTGAACGTCATCGGCTCAAATGCGTCGGAAGGTAGGAGCGTAGGTGCTGATGGGGGTGAGGTCAGGTCAGGTGGACAAAGAGTTTTGTTTGATCAACTGATGGATTCTCTCGCTAGCAAGTATCTGCCTGCGTATGTTGCAGGCGGGCATGATGCGGGGATGCAGTGGAGTGTTCATCCTTTCCCACTAAGCTCACGAAGCGCCGAGAGACTACAAAAGAGAGAAGACGGGGTCCGGGAGAAGAGACAGAACACATTCGCCAACTCTGCTGCTGCGGGGAATGATGATCAAGACAGCTCTTCCACTGGTAGTGTTGATGGAGCGGGGAATGCGATCCCTGCAAGTGTACTTGCTGCTGCTGCTAGTGCCTCATCCACCGGAGGGAGTGCCGGGTCAAGTTCGGAACGCTCCCCCTCTATCCCCTCTTCTTTCCCTTCCGCGTCTGCAACACAGACCCCTTGGGAAACTCCTGCATCCCTCCCTCCCTCTCCTTCTTCCACTTCCATTCCCGCCCTTACCTCAACTCCCCGCTCACCTTCCTCTTCATCATCTCTCCTACCAGCCCCATCAACCAAGCAAGAAACCTCCAACCCCTCCAACCCGGATCCCGATCAATCCTTCTCGCTTCTAAATCCGAAACACAATCTCTTCCCATTGATTATCGCCGGTCTCTCCGCCGCTGGTTTCCTAGCCATCATGCTTCTAATCGCCATAGCTCGTGCTATAGCACACGAGTCTCTCCGACGCGATAACTTACGCAAAACCTATTCCTTCGACAACACTACCCCCTCCTCCAAAAGTGAGGTTGACAAATACACCTCCCCTTTCCCCAACCGGGGTGGAGTGGGGAGCAGTCTAAAAAGAGCGATGACGAAAAAGAAGCCCCTGGGCAGTTTCGCTAGGAGAACGCAAGATGGAAGTGTATTGATTGAGGTTGGGGATGAAGTGTTGGCAGTGCCGCCACACTTGGCTGATAGCTATCGGGAATGGATTTTGAGAGAGAAAAGGAATAGGAGTACGCTAAGCGGGGAGAGGGGAGGATTTGGAGTGGAGGCGAAATACTTGAATGATGGTGGACCGGATGGGTTTGGTGGTGATGAAGAGCAAGCACGTGCTGCGTATGATAACATGCTCGAAGGCGGGGGTGTGCGAAGGAGTTTGAGCCAGAAATTGGGCGATCGATTCCGTTCTTTAACCGCGACTAAGACTGCGATCCGTGGAGAGACGGAGAGAGGGAGAGCGTTTAGTTTCAGCTCTGAACATCAACCTCCAGGTGCAATGAGGCAAGCTAATCTAGGAGGAGGAAACAAAGGGGTCTTGACTAGCTGCGGAGAAGGATGGAGCATCGTCCAACGTCAGCAGGGGGATGTAACAAAGACTCCTGGACCGCCTTTCGGTACAGCTCGCGTCTTGGAACGATTCACATCCATCACTCAACCCCCCGCAACCTACGCCACGAAAGCAGCTGTAGCGAGAAAGGCTCCTCCTAGACTAGAACTCACTTTGCTCACGGAAAAGTTGCAAGATTTGGAAAAACAATCCTCCTCCTCCTCCTCCTCCTCCTCCACCACCACCACCACCACCACCTCTGCCCAAAGCACTGCTTCGAGAGGAGACAGAAGAAGGGGTGGTCTACCCAAGGAAGCCAGTCTAACAGGCAGCTCTGGCGACAGCGCAAATGGTACATTTGGCGGTTCAGCCTCAAGTCATTCTGAAACTTGCACGAGAGTTCCGGGTGCCTTCCCGGAAAGAACCAAAAGTCTGCACCAGAGTGCAGCAAGACGAGCAAAGTCAGTCAAGCCGTTGATTCTCAACATGGATCCCACTGCTGGCACCGGTGCCGGTGCTGGTGTGGGTGGGTACAAGGGTAGGAAAGCAGACGCAACACAAAGAAGCAGAACGCAGGTAGTCAGGCAAAGCAGGCGAGTGGAAAGAGTTGCAAGTGTAGCATTGGCCAGTCCAACTCGATTCACGCATGAAAGATGCGCAAAGCTTGTCGTGGCGCCTGAAAGACCAGAGGCTGCTTTGGCGGCTAGACCGTTGCCTGTCCCTCCTTCTTTTTCTCAACAGCGAAAGGCATAAGAAGGAGAAAGGGGAGTTTTGTATGTAGTTTTCGCATTCTTTCGATCGTGATGAAAGCTTAAACCACTCTGAGCACACACACTTTCTATCCATGTAAATAAGATTCAATTAGGAGAGAGAAGAGGAGAGGAGGGGATCAAGCTGCGAGCGATTTAAAATCGAAACTAGTCCCTTTGCTCGCACCGGAAGGATACCGATGTTGACTAGCAGCAGAAGCATTGAACCCTCTGGGAGGGGGAAAGTTGCTGCTTGGTGAAAAGCTCAAACTTCCCGACGTAAGCGGAGGACTGGGAATGCGAGTAATTGTTGAACCAACTGGAGTAGAGGGCCCGTTGGGACGCTGTGCGAACGTTGAGCTTGCTGTTCGCACAGGAGGGGCAGCGACAGGGGGTGGGGGCACTCTTGAGGGGGGTCCAGCCGAGGAGGATGGAGGGGGAACGCGGACAGGTGGAGCGGCTCGACCGGGCGGAGGAGGAGGTGGGGCAGAAGGTGCACCTGATGATGATGCCGTACGAGTGTGAGCCGAGGCGGGAGGTGGAGGAGGGGGTGGGGGGGCGGCGGATCGTCGAGGTGGTGTTGGTGCAGGAGAGGAAGGTGCTGGTGGTGCAGCGGCGGAGGGTGGAGCTGGGACGATGCGTAATGGTGCACCTGAAGAAGGGGGAGGGGGAGGGGGAGGGGGAGGAGGGACTGCGGAAGGTCGAGTGGGAGTTGCTGGTGCTAATGCTGGTGATGCTGCTGCTGGGCTTGGACGAGATGGTGGAGGAGGAGCTGCGACACTGGGTCGACCGGGTGGTGGAGGAGGTGGAGGTGGAGGAGATGGAGGAGCCGATGGTGCGCTGCTTGCTGGTCTACCCGGCGGAGGAGGTGGTGCTGCTCCACCAGGAGGTCTTCGAGGTGGAGGAGGTGCTGATCCTGTTGGTGCCGAGCTTGCCGGCGGAAGAGGAGGAGGAGGAGGAGGAGGAGGCGGAGGAGGTGCGGCTCCTCCTGCTGCTGCCGCTGCGGGAGAAGGTCTACTGGGTGGAGGAGGGATACCTCGGGAAGGCAAAGATGGTGCTGCTGCTGTTGGCGGAGGTGGGCCACGAGGTGGAGCTGGTCGAGATGCTGCAGAAGGCGGGGGAGGTGGGGGAGGTGCACCCGATGGAGCGGTGCGCGATGGTGGTGCAGGTGCTGGCGGTGCTGGTGCTGCTGCTGCTGGGCGTGCAGGTGGAGCGCTTGCACCTGGTCGTGAAGGTGGTTTGCCGAGACTGGTGTTGATGGCCGAACCTGCTCCACGGCTAGGTTTGAGTTTAGGCATGCCACCTGCAAACAAGCCACCTAAACCTGGGGGTCCACCCATTGCCGGTCCCCCACCGCCTCCACGAGAAGAAGCATCTCCGGATCGTGCGATGCCTGATCCGCCTCCACCGCCTCCACTACCGCCGCTTTTGGCAACATCGACTTGCGGGGCTGAGCGATCATTTGTGATAGCCTCTGTTGCGAGTGGAGCAGGAGATGGGAAAGATGGACTCGGTCAGTCAGGGGTATGGAATTCGGGATTGAGTAGGGTACTGTTGAACTCACTCTTAAGGCCTTTGCCCTTCTGGATTGATTGCAGAAGATCGGCGTTCATGCTAGAAGTGGTTGCTGCCTCTCAGCGCCGGGCTATGATGACGTGGCAGTACCTCTAGATGGGCCTCGATGAATGAGTGTGCTCGTTCGAATCCGATGCTAGAATGAGTCCTGAGCGAGAGTCTTGATGCGGTTCGTGATGGATCGACGTTAAATGCTTTTGATGGAAGAAGAAGAAAGCGAAGCTGAGCAGTGACTGGTGTGGAGGAATGTGCAGCTCTCCCACTCACTGACAAGAGGGGCTGTGCTCTCTCTCTCTTTGATGACGCCGTCTTGTGGTCCGTGACACTCTGCTGCTGCTGGTTTGGTTGACGGCTCCGAATTGCATTCCAAATTCAAGAGATCGGCCCGATTCTCACGAACGATGGAGGGGTTTTTTTAATGTTTTTTTAATGTTTTTTTAATGTTTGTTTTTTTTTTTTTTGTTTTTTTTTTTTGGATTGGGTGTGTCAGTTCCGTAGCGACATAACAGAGGTGAAGCATTTTTTGATCCAAACACACTGAGCTCATGCTCAACACGATGCTCCGTCGCCAAAGCACTCACAGCCTGTCATGTGAACAACTCGGTCTTACTTCTCGACAGTCGACTCTGATGTTGATCCCTTCTGCTCTCTACAGCGGCCGTTCTTGCGCGCATCGATTGGATCTCGAGATGGCTTTCGAGCTTTCAGGCTTTCAGGCCTTCGGGCTTGCGGGCTTGCGGGCTTGCGGGCTTGCGAGAAACGTCTAAGCGAAGAGAACATAGCTCATCTCACTTGGCCATTGTAACAAAGACAGCTAAATGGTTAGACGTAGGTTCAAGCGCATCGGATCGGATGTCTCTATGCTCGGATACACGGTTCAAAGCTGGGACCTCGGCACATCACAATGACTAGAAGAAAGCCAGATCCCGGCTGCGATTGTGTACAGCAACTCTATCGGTTGTCTGATCTCGTTTCTTTAGGTCCTGCGATGCAAGTGTATGTTCTGGCGTGAGTGGGGACATGGCCAAAGCGTTTCGCAGCGCACTCCCAGTGAAGAAACTTTTGAATGGGACCGAGCTTTGGTGGAGAAGGATTGAGCTTCAGGGGCTCCTGTCCAGCTGTGGAGACGGTCCAAGGTTCTGCAAAAGTGACAAGATCGCTGGCTCTCGAGCCCAATACATGGGCCAGCTGAACTATCGAATCGGTTTCAAAGACGGCGATGGCGGAGTTGCGAATACAGAAAAAGCCTTGATTGCATTCAACACCAAAGTGACGTAGTGCCGTTGGTTGATGTTGGTTGATGTTGGTTGATGTTGGTTGATGTTGGTAGATGTTGGTAGACGCTGACTGAACCAAGTGCGAAGGCCGACAATCGCAGACAGTAATCACGATTTGGTTGGGCTTCGCTAGTGCCAAATCGGACTGCGACTTTGGTATTCTTTCGTTGCCCAAAACAGGAAGGAGCAACTGTTGACCTGCCTAATTGAGCGAGCAGAGGAAATCCTTTTCTTTTTGTTTTTCTTTTGATTTTTCTTTTTCTTTTTCTTTTTTCAATTCTTTTTTCCATGCGTGGGTTGCTAAGCGAGACCAACACTTGTCTGCCGTGTTTGGCAGCTAAGCGCTTTGTAGATCAGCCGTCCAACGTTTCGTCCCCAGCTCAACAAGTCTGACATGGAGCGGCTGTTCGGCAGTCAGGTGGCTGCTGTCCGCGCCTGTTCAGCATCTATCTTGCATCTCGATATGCCTGTTCGTCGCTCACCATCCTTCACTCTGCCGGTTCTTGATCACGTTCGCAGTTATGATCAGGCTGCCATCGGCTCAATATGTGGCTGCTGGAAGAGTGTCACAGGTAATGAAAAAGATAAGGTGCGGTACGAGTTTCGGATCAGGCCCTCCTCCATGAGAGAAAGAGAGGGAGAGAGAGAAAGAGAGAGAGAGAAAGAGACCTAGTGAAGAAAAGCCAAGGTTCTATGACTATCCACCACACTTTGTTTTAGACGCCGTGGCAATCCTTTCACTGCGCTTTCTTCACTCTCGGGCCTTCCAGCAGTTCAATCCCACTCTCGCAAGTTCAGTGCACACCTTCGTCACTGTACTGCAACTCAGAGCTTGAAGCCAGTCGCAAACCGGGCTCAAGTGGTATCTCTTCTTGCAGACTCTCGCATGCCGAGTACAGATCGACGTCCGCCTCCCGAGCTCTCTTTCGATGACGAGATCAGCTTCGCCCCTTACAACCACATCGAGTAGCCTCGTCTCCCCTCATGCAGACATTCCCTGAGTTGGCATGCCTTACCACATAGTGGCTGCTCTACCAACGTTCACATCTGCACCATCTACAACCTCTCCCATTCATCTTCCGCCGCCCATAGCAAGCCTAGATGCCAAGCCGAATCGAACCAAACTCCATCCTCCCCTTTCCCTCTTTCTTCCGCACCCTTGTTCTGAGTTCGACATTCTCCGATAGAGTTGCCGATCGTCAATTCCGCCTGTTCACTAGCATTGCCTCTTGCTCTTGCTCAAAGCCTCTTGTCAGCAATCACACTGAACCTCGTCATGCATTCATTCACGGACCGCCAACCAGGTCCAGGCCCCAGGACCTGAATGCCCAAGAAACAGCTTTATCTGTCCGACCCGCACAGCCCTTCTTGGCATTAAACATCCCTCCTTCTTGCATTCTTTGTGTCACTCTGCCCCTGCCATGCTGAATGGCACTGTAGCCGGTTGGTGGCTCTCGCGCAGGTCATGCTAAGCGCCAGTCTTGCTCCCTCTCCTTGGAGCTGCATGAGTCTGGAAGCGAACCTGCCTAAAGCTTCCTGCCGACCTCTCCCATCCTCCCGGCTGCTACTTGACAGCCACTCGGCAATCTTTGCCGCCGCGTGTCATGCTCTCCCACTCGCACACTTGTAGAGCCTCGTTGAGCTTTCTTCCTCTCTTGGCAGCAGCAGCATCAGAACGGCTTGCTCAGCTTTTCGCTTGTTCGACAGCTGTCTGGCATCCAATTCTACCAACTCCGCTGGAGCATCGCACCGCACTGCACCGCACTGCACCGCACCCCTCTCCTCCTCTAACCCTAGTCCCTAGTGCCTGATCCTCCTTTCGCTTGTTGCTCCCCCTGCCATAGCGTGTTCGCAGTGTCTATGCTACAGCAGAACTATCAAAGTATAAAGACCTCCCACACTTTTCACCTCCTTCTCCGACCTCCTCTTCCTCTCTTTTCTCCATCAGTTGCAGCTCCCGCCGCAATTACCTCTCCCTCGAGCCCCTCTCCTCTCTAAAAGCAAACCCCCTCCCTCCCCATACCCATACCCATACCCATACCCATACCCAACCTTCCCCTTGCCCCAATCCTTTTGCCAGCTAAATACACACAGTCTACGGACAACAATTACCATCTACATTCTCTTTCTTTGCTACCTACCTACCAACTGCATACATCTGGATTCTGCCTTTTCGACTCGACACTGATCCGGACTATCAGTAACAGCAGCAGCAGCACCATTACCACTACCACCTCAGCCCAACTTACGCCAAAATGAAGATCACTTCGTTTGCTCTGGCGACCATTGCCCTCGCTTTGATGGCGGACAACACTGAGGCTCTCCCCGCCATTCGCAGCTACAAGGGTGTTTCGCCTTACAAAGCGCGCTACACCGCAAACCCACCCATGCCACCCATGAAGGATCCTCGTTCTGTCGCTGGCGCTCGTCGTATGCGTCTCAGCTCTAACGAGGCACTCGAAGAGACTTACCTCGATGAGCTTCACTATATCCCTGCTCATGGTAACCCCGAAGCATCCGCCCAGTTCTGGAACAACGTGCAGAACCGACTCGAGTCAGCCATCAACAAGCTCGACAAGGCTACCACCGCTCTTGGTATGGGTAACGCCATATCTCCTTACAAGGCAGCTAATGCTGTCAAGGGCGCTGCCAAGTCGCTTGGTTTCACCTTCACAGTTCAGAGCCACGGCTCGAACCTACAGGACTTGAGCTTCAACTTTAACACCTCCAAGCCTCTCTCCTGGGGTGACGAGGCTCAACTCTCGGAGGCTACTCGCGAGGACGCCATCTTCGAAGGCAAAGGCAAAGGTTTCGACTCGACTCTTCCCAACTTGCCTGCCGACTCCGGTTTCGATTACAAGAACGACAAAGTTCGTGGTGTCAACCTCGGCAACTGGCTCCTCTTCGAAGCTTGGATGGATGGCAAGCTCATGCAGTCCCTCAACGACCATGCTATCAATGCTCCTTGGCCCAACCCTATCATTGACGAGTGGACAGCTGGTCTCTACTCGGACAAAGGATGGGCATCCTACGTCTTGGAGAAACACTTTGACGAATGGATGACCGAAGATGATTGGAAAGCGATCAAGGCTGCTGGTCTCAACCACGTTCGTATTCCTGTTCCTTACTTCATGTTTAAGGAAGCTGTAGGGCCCAACGCCCCTTACTTGACCTTGAACCGATTTGCAAAGTTGAAGCAAGGTGTTCAGATGGCCAAGAAGTACGGGTTGAAGGTTTGGATCGACTTGCACAGTGTTCCTGGTTCGCAGAACGGCTTTGATAACTCGGGTCATTCGGGACCGATCAACTGGGCTAACAACCCGTCGTACTATACGCAGACTCAGTACGCTTTCAACCGTCTCGTCACCGAGTTTGTTCAGGATGACTACGCTGGTGTCGTGACCGCTATCCAAGCTGTTAACGAGCCAAAGGGTAATGTTGTACCCGAGGTTCAAGAGTTGCTGAACAAGTACTACCCTTGGGCTCGTGACAAGGTTGCCAAACCCGACGGTTGGAACAAGTACTCCAACATGCTCCTCGCAATTCACGATGCTTTCCAGGGCCTGCAATACTGGCAAAACTTCTGGACGGGTCGTGCTCGTCATCGTGTCCTACTCGACACCCACCCTTACTTTGTCTACTCGGATTGGGAACATCAAGCTAAAGACACAGAACGCCTCCAGGAAGCCTGCAACCTCGTCGGATCTTTCGAAAAGTCGCAACAGTACTACCCCTCGATCGCGGGTGAATGGGGAATCAACGGACCCAACGGAGACCGTGCGCAGGATCGCAACCTTCCTGTGGGTCCTGTCAAGTTCCCTTCCGGTCCCAACTATCCTTATTCGGTGAAATACATGGCTTTCATGGCGAGGAACTTTAAGACGCAGCAATGGATTTACGAGCAAGGTGGTGGATGGATCATGTGGTCGTGGAGGAACGATAACAATCCGGATTGGTCATACAAGACTGGTTTGCAGTACGGTTGGATTCCTTCCGACTTGGACCAGCAACCATATGGTGCTAACCCTTGTGCTTGCATCCCGAGCTTGATGGAGGCGGCCAACAATGGTACTGCTGAGGCTGAATGGGCCAAGTTCGAGTTGGAGGAGGCAATTTACTAAGTTGCACTGCTCGACCTGTTGCCCGTTATACTACCGACACCACCACATGATCGATGGCCATAGTTGTTGCTGTTTTTGCGCCCGCACCTGCCTCTCATGTTCCTACTCACCATGGCTTTCCTTGTATAGTCGCTGTTCCTGCATTTCTGTTCTTGATGACCCTCTCGCGCCGACACTTCCGACAACTCGACTCGACCGACCTGATTCGACCTTCCGACATGCGATGATGACTCTCTCGACGACACGTTTCTTCTTATCGAATACCAGTATGAATATAATATCAGACTTGTTTTACGCTTGTATGTCTGTGAAACCACACCGAGGTAGTGACAAATGATGAGATGAGAAGCGGTCCGACCCTGTCGATGAAGCGCATCGGCACGTCTCTTGGTAATCTAGCGAAACAAAATAAGTAAAGCTCTGGACTACAAAGATTGCAGCCCAACGCTAGAAGCAGTCATCCACCTCGATTGTGAGAACCTTATGTGACAGCAGCAAGCTTCATCTCACGCCATGAAGCCCAAGTCATTGGCATATCCGCACGTTCTGGTGAGGGCGAGGTGTGTTGCTCGAAGCCCCTTTTTTTTTTTTTTTTTTTTTTTTTTTTGGGCAATAGTGAGGGTTGGTGAGCTCATGCTTATTAATCTTACAAACGCGTCACGTGACTATTTTTTCTTTTTCCGAAATGCACAGTCCGAAACCCGAGTTAGTCGTTGACAATGTTGAGGTTTCCGAACCACCACCATCTCCACCTCTCCGACGTTTCTCTAATTTCACACAGAGCAGCTGCACAGTTCGCTTAGATCCGTGGACCCTAGCTCAGCTGTACTGTTCGCTAAATTTCCAACCCCTTATTCATTGACTGGTTCCTTTCCTTTCTTTATCAACCATCTTCTCTCAGCCCGTATCTTCACAGCTGCTTGACCGACACTCGCTACTATCAAGACTTCTGCATCGCTATCTTCACTCACGACACCATTAACTTATAGCGAAAAGCTGGTACGAAGAACGCTACTGGGTCGAAAGGCAAAATGGCCTGTCCAGTCAACCACCCAGCCTTCCACGCCTTTGTCTTTCTCATCGGCGTGCTGATTATGTTTGGCAAATATATTAAGACCTGATTCGCTCAACGACTCAGCAACTTGAACCTACCCGCGAATATAGCTCCTCCTTCCGGGCATTTTGGTCAAGATGCTCTGTTTGACTACGTCGATGATGGCGAAACGCAATCTGAACGCAGCAACGAGGAACGCTCCAGATTTATATTCCGAAGTACCGCTGCAATCATCTACTCAGCAAAGCCGACCACTTTCCTTGCACAATACGAGGCGTCATTGTACGGAATCTATGTGTAGCATCAAGCGCGCAATCTCGTCGAGCGAGACCGGAACCTAGCTCAGCGAAGGTTGGAGCGTCAAGCAGACCCCTCCTTTACTTGGCACCAATTACCCTCGGAACTACATATCAGCAAGCGATTGATGGCAAGTCGAAGTTTCCATGGGAGCTGACAATCCACAGCGCTAATTGTTGTGGCCTAAGAAGCCTTTCGGTCATTTCGGGACAGTGCCGAGGTGGCCACTGCTCTCGACGCCCTCTCTGTTCGCCCCCTTCTGCATCTGCACACCTCAACACACACAAAAGCTTCACTATCACTCAGATCCACAGTCACAATCGCATCTTGCATACCCAACGCAAATCAGCATTAGCATTGTATCTATCGCATTCCCTGTCCTCTTCTTGAAAAGAACTTGTACCTGTGCTCGCGTGCTTTACGACCAAGAATAAGTCTGTCTATCCAACCTCCAGACCGCCTCTCTCTTTGTTGCTTTGCTATCACTACTCGTTCCATCTGGATTCAACAATTGCAAATGAGTTGTCATGGTATAGGATCGTTGATCGTTGACTTTGCAATGTACGCTACCCGAGAGTTTTTGGCCTCGGTTGACTGCGAGAGGTTCAGGTAGGAGGAAACGGACTTGTTGCCAATGAGTTGGTTCGGCATAAGGGGAGGTTGTCATAAAGTTTCCTGTTCCTGCTGCTGTGGTGGATGTGGTTGGGTCAATGGTGAGGATTGTTGGTAGCGCCGAATTGGCCGAGGCGGATTGAATGGTGTTTAATGCTGTTTCGAGCGACATTCCCTCTGTCTCTCCCTCTGTCATTGCTGTATCTCCCTCCTCGGGTGTAGACTGGGAGTTGAAATGTAAGTCGAACCAACCGCCCAAACCATGCACCAATGCAGCTTGACCAAAGTTCCATTCCACTGGAATCGTAAACTCTTTTAACTCCTCCTTACTTATCGTAGCAAAGTCAACCACATAATCGCTGCTAACGCTGAGCAAACAACCAGCTGGGAATACGCCTACGACAGGGGAACTGAAGTTTTCTTCAAATGCTAGGGCGGCAAAGGGGGCGACGTCAACACCGTAAAAATTAGAGTTGAGCCACCATTTGGCTTTGTTCACTGTATCGTTCCACAATTGTTTGTCTTCGAATGGAGCTAAACAGATCGTTCCAGCTGAAGGAAAAACGGAGCCGTTAGGGGAGAGAAATCGATCTCGAGCATCAAGGAAAGATTCGCACATTCTCTCGTGGACCAGTAGGACTCCGAGACATTCGGAGACGATTGTGTCCACTTTTTCGAGCCCTTCTAAATCTTTCGCTGTAACGTCTTCCACTTTAGAATGCACTGGGACTAGTCTCCCCTCCAACCACCCATTTCGAGGCTGAGTAGGATTGGTGGTCCCAAACCCCACATTCGCACCCAAACTCCCCTCGCTAGCTCCCATCAACTCCAAAACCTCCTTCTCCTTCTCCACCTCCTCCTTCTCCCTGGAAGATTTAGAAGCATCCACAACCTTCTGTAGACACTGAACCATATTCGAAGCTTCAATAGCGTATACTTTTTTCGCCCCAGCTTGTGCGGAGAAGAAACTTAAAATTCCGTTACCAGCTCCAACATCCATGACAACCTTATTTGCAAAATCGCGAGAGGCACTGTTGAGGATAGCTCTTTGGTAGGCTGCGGTGCGAACGGTGTCTTGGAGCATTTGGGCTTGATGGGAAAGCATAGAGTAGTAGCCGAAGTATGCTTCATCTTTCTGTTCGTATTTATCCCCAGCGGTGGGGGTGAGGGTGGAGGAGTTGTTATTGGGGGTTGATTTCGTGTTGGACATGGTTGAAATGTATGCGGTTCTTTGCTGGGTGTGAGCGAACAGTGGTGGTGGTGGTGGTTGCGCACAAGTATGATCAGCGCTGGCGCTGGGTGGATGCGAGCGTTAGGTGGTGAGTAGGGGGAGGTGATAGAGGAGGGACGATAGGAAGGCCGTTTGGTGTCGGGAAGAACAAGAATGAATCAAGCTTTTTACCGAAGAACTGAGAGCAAAGTGTCTTGATCTGAGCGTGCGTGTGTTTCTTCCTTCACGCGACTGCGACTACAATCGGGCAAAGAGAGTTGATCGGGCAGTCGATTAGCACCAACTCGACTTGTTCCTGAGATTGTAGAAATCTCAAAGTTGTTGCCTTGACCACCATCCATCATCACCATCATCATCGTCGCCCCTCTTGCAGCCATCCAATCGACACGGGCGCTCTATCGGCCTGCCTTACCTATACTGCCACCTCCGGCATCGACCAAATATAGCGCTGTGGTCTCCGCGATCCCCACTGGCCGGCAAATAGCGTAGTCGACGCTGGCATTGATTCGCGACAGCTACATCCCACACCAGCTGATGCCGACATTAACACACCCTCAAGCTTGACACCTTAATATCATCCACTCCCGGCGGCCTCCTCTCAGGCTGTAGTCCTCGCCCACGATGAACCCCGTAATCCCATCCCCATACACAATCCAACCCTCCGCCCTAGCCAGGCTTTCCCTTCGCGACAAACTCCTCCTCGCCCAAGCCGTCCATGAAATCGGCACCTCCCCACCCGACTGGGGTCGAGTTTCCGCTCTTCTCCTCTCCCACCCTCTCATCCGTCAGCAATCTCGACTAGAACAAGCCAACGTTGCCGGACTCACCTTGGGCCGAATCTTCGGTACTCGAGAATGCGAACGTGCATGGACCGCCCTAATGCGTCAACGAGGTCTTGTCCTCGGCAAAGACGAACTTCCACCCGAACCTGCCCCCACCACTCCCACCACTCCCACCACTCCGAAACCAAAAGAACCGAGAGGGCTGCAACCGCGGACAGATCGACGCTCACAACTCGCTCTAGCTCAGTTATTGTATGCTGAACGAATGGAGGAGCTCAAAGAGCAGATACGGGAGAAAGAGGAGCAGTTTAAGAGCTTAGTAAAGGAGATAGATGAGATTAAGAGCGGTAAAGCGGATGCGAGATTGGAGATGGAATTGAGGATGGAGATGGAGAATCTCGCGAATGGACCTCCTTTGCCGCCTTCTACGCCGGGTAGTGCAGGGCAGTCGGTGGTGATGACTCCCGGATCGAATGCTTCGACTACGCCGAAGAGTGCGAAGGGTAAAGGGGGTAGGGTGAGGGGGGAGAGTCTGGTTGGTACCCCGGATAGTGCGAAGAAGGTAACTGTGGCGATGGGGGCTGGGGTGGGGAAGAAGGGGGAGAGGAGAGGGAGTCTGGATGATACACCTTCGAAGGTTCCAGTTGGTGCAGCGCCTGCGTTGCCGAGTGCGCCAAGTATTTCTTTGCCGCTGCCGAATAAGTCTCTAGCAACAGCACCAGATGCAAGCACTGCGGATCGAGGGGAGATGACAACCGAAGAAGCAGAACAAGCTGTAGCAACAGCTGCTACCGAAGCTGCGGTCAAGGCTTTGCAAGATGACAAGGCGGCGACGAGTGCTTTGCAGACAGAAGTGGATAAGGTAGCGGAGAAGGTTGTTGAGACAGAGACGAATTTGGAGCTCAGCGCTCAGGCTGAAGGTGATGCCAATGCGACAGGGACACAGCAGCCGACGGTCACAGCAACAACAGCGGTTGAAGAAGCTACACCAGCGAAACCAACACAGGAGGAAGCAGTGGAGAAGACAAAGGAGAATGAAGCGCCACCTGCAGATGTCGTGGTTAAGGATCAGACGGATAAGCCTGCGGAAGAGGCGAAGGTGGTGGAGAAGCCTGCAGCAACAACACCAGCTACGTCACCACCAGCACCGGCGGCGGCAGCAGGGGCAGGAGGGGAAGCAAAGGCGGCCAGCAGCACAGACACAGCTGCTTCTGCACCTGCCAGTGCTAGTGCTAGTACTGGTAAGCGCAAACGCGATGACGAAGAGCAGCAAGTACAATCTTCCACTGCACCGTCCTCAACAACAGCAGCATCAGCGGAACCCAAAGCAACAGCCAGCTCAGAAACCGGTTCACCAATCAAGAAAGCCCGCACAGCCGATCCCACCCGCAAGGTACCATCATCAGAAGGAGACATGGATAGCGAAGATGAAGCAGAAGCTGCGGTTGGTGTTGATTCTCCCGCTCCCGTCCCAACCGCCGCTGAAGCTAAGAAGCCCGATGCAGAAGCCACCGAAGCAACACCAGCAGCAGCAGAGTCCGCCAAACCATCCACAAGCGAAACGAAGGAACCAGAAAAAAAAATGGAAGTGGACAGCGATTCCTCCTCCAGCTCCTCCTCTCCTTCTTCCTCCTCCTCATCCTCCTCTTCCTCCGACGAAGAAGAAGATCAAGTAAAATCTCTTCCGTGCCGCAAACCTTCCCCAACACCACCGCAGGCTTCTCATTCAACCCCTCTCCGCCGCCCCTCCTCTCGCAGCACTAAACCCGATCCCACTCCCACTCCCACCCCAACCCCCGCCGCATCGGAAAGAGAGAAAGCCGCGAAACGAAAACAAACCCAAGTATTACTCATGCTTCTCACCGAAGTCTCCAATCATACTCACGGGAACCTCTTCCATGCTCCTATCAAAGAAGCCGATGCTCCAGACTACTACACACTCATTCGGCAGCCTCTGGATATCAAAACGATCAAAGCGAAGATAAAGGAAGGAAGTATTGGGACAGCGAAACAGTTGCAGAGGGCATTGAATCTGATGTTTGCGAATAGCTTGATGTATAACAGGCCAGGGACGGAGGTTTTTAGGATGGCGAATGAGATGAGGGGGGCTTGTGAGGATATTTTTCGTCGGTATGAGGGTACGCAGCGGTTCTGAAGCCCCATCCTTGGATTGCATATTGACTGGTGGGGATGGTAATGCGATCTATGAATTGGGGAAAGATACAGCACGCGTGTAAACTGTCCCATAATTTTACATGTCACCATACATCACTCTAATGCTCAATAGCTATAAGTTGTATTGCCACACTGTCTGATATCATCTGAAAGCCCTGCTTCTTCTCTCCAAGACTGTGTAATTGATATTGACATTGACTAAAAAAATTGTGCTATGAAGAAGAGCCAATTTTTTTTATATTGTGGGACAGTTTATGGAGCACTCCTTGACAACACCTTAGTACTTTGTATTCCCTCCTTTGGCCTTCAGAACCACCTTGATGCAGTCTGGCATGCTCTCTATTAGCATCCTACATGTCTCTGGAGTGATTTCTGTCCATTCAGCTTCACATCTCTTGAGCAGTTCATCCCTGGACTTTGCAATTGTACTATACTGTGAAAGTCACATTTTGAGATGGTGCCAGAGGTGTTCAATCAGGTTTAAGTCCAGCAACTGTGCCAGCCATTGCATAACCTTAATGCTATTGCTTTCCAACCACATTATTGTCTTCTTCAACATGTGTTTCAGGTCATTGTCTTGCTGAAACATGATGTCAGTGTATGCATGCTGAAGCTGCAAATCTGACATTGTTTTCAAAAACTTGTCATTCAAGATATCAATGTATTGGTCTGAATTCATTGAACCCAGCACCAAGCACATACCTCCCACCCCTTCCCACATCATAAAGCCCCAGATCATGATGGAGCTGCTGCCAAACTTGACTGTCAGCCTGACAAGCTTGCTGTTGAAGCTGGCATTCTTAATCCAACAGAACTGCTTACCATCTGGTCCAAAGAAGTTGATCTTTGTCTCATCGGACCATACCACATTCTTCCAATCTTCAACAGTCATGTCCTTGTGCTCATTAGCAAATTTGAAATGGGCTTTGTAATGTCTCTTGAGTAGCTGTGGTTTTTTCACTAACCTTCATGCTTTGTAATGACAGTAATGAAGTGCTTTTCTTACTGTGGTTGGGCATGCTTTGATTTGAAATGTCTCCTGCAGTGCATTACATGCTTTCCTGACTGTGGAGGTTGAATTGAGCTCGAAATAGTGATCCAGGAAGCAAACATGACAAGGCTGGGGTTTTCTTGGCTGGCCCCCCTTTGACTTTGGAACATCAGTGGAGGTGCTTTTGCTGATGCAATTCACAGTAGACTTGCTCATACCAAGTTGCTCAGCAACTGAACAGGTAGATTCCCCATTTCGGATGTGAAAGAGTGCCAATTGGCACCTCTCTGGGGTGGTTTTTGGCATGATGGTATAGATATGATGGTGTCAGACTGGAAGTGCTGCTGGATCACTCACAGTCATCTGATTGAGCTGAAACTTTCCACATCACTACTTTTGATGTGTATGAAGGTGCCCACCAAGTTACATTGCAAGTTACATTGTAGTCAAAAGCCCACAAGGTCAGGAATGGAGTGGTGTCACTATTTGGGAGCATGCTCCATAAACTGTCCCACAATAATAATAAAATTGGCTCTTCTTCATAGCACAATTTTTTTAGTCCATGTCAATATCAATTACACAGTCTTGGAAAGAAGCAGGGCTTTCAGACAATATCAGACAGTGTGGCAATACAACTTATAGCTATTGAGCATTAGAGTGATGTATGGTGATATGTAAAATTATGGGACAGTTTATGCATGTGCTGTATTTGTGTGAGATGTGGTAAATTGTATGAGGTCTGAGCTTGCCAGGGTGTGCCAAGTGGGTTGCATGTGAGAAGTAACTGTGCATTGACGTGTTCCTTGTTTGTGTTTTCAAATGCCGGTGTAATGATACAGTAATGTTGGCGGCTTGCGCTGTGAAAAGGTGGACTAAATATGTGACCTTTTTCTTTTTTTTTTTTTTTTTTTTTTTTTTTTTTTGGCGGCATGTTGAGACCAACCGTTGGTCTGGGTCTAAAGAAAGGCTTCTGGTTGGACTGCGACAACCCCCTAACTTTTTGACCATCATCGTTAGTCTCAACCCACCAATCGACCACCTCTCTCTCTAACTCTGCTGGCTGCGATTCGGGGTTTTTTGAGAAAGGATATATATACCCAACACCCCCAAACCTTCGCTCAACCACTTCCAGCTCCCAACTCCAACCCCCAGAAGACACCATCCACCGAGCAGAAAGTTTGGGAAAGATGGCTTCCTATCGCAGCATCCTCAAGGATATGCTATTCCCCTCTTCTCGCCCGCCGCCGACCTCTCGCTGGGACCCGGACATCTCTATGCCTTTGCTTTTGGATCGGATTGTCGTCCTAAGCGGCCCCACCGCTGGGATTGGCTATGAAACCCTGCGCCAGTTGATCCTATCCTCTGCACACGTGTACCTCTTTGGTCGTTCTTTATCACGACTCGAGCGAACGCGGGATACGATCCTCGCCGAGACCACTTGTGCTCTGGCTGAGTTGAAGCCTGGGACGGTCCGATATGGAGCAAAACCAGGCAAAATGACTCTAATCCAATGCGATCTGAGTTCGTTAGCTAGTATAAAGAAAGCGGTTGAAGAGTTCAAACAGAAGGAAGACAGGGTAGATTTAGTGTTTGGAAACGCAGGAGTTATGGAAGGAGGAAAAACGGAGGAAGGGTATGAGTTGATGTGGGGTACAAACGTCCTTGGACACCATGCCCTAATCCGACTCCTACTTCCCCTCTTGAAAACGTCCGCACAAGAACGCAACTCCACAGTCACAGGAGAAACAAGAGTAGTGCTTACAGCATCAGACACGCATAAATGGGTCACAAAACCTCAACACCTCACCCTGAGCCCAAACGCCACCAACGCTAAACTCGCACATATTCACCTCTACGGTCGAAGCAAGTTGGGAAACGTTTACACCGCCCAACGTCTCGCAAAGCTCTCCACCGCAAACAAATGGGGCATCACAGTGTGTTCGGTGCATCCTGGTGGAATTCAGTCCCAACTCGGATCGGGAGGTGCAGTGTTGACCAAGGTCAAGAATTGGTTTTTGTGGCCTGTGACACTAGGCGCTGTAACGCAGTTGTGGGGTGCGGTGGGAGCAGAAGGTGGGGAGGTGCAGGGGAAGTATTTGGTCCCATGGGCAAAGGTGGGTGAGCAGAGCGAGTTGGCAAAAGATGAGCGCCTGGAGGGTGATGTGTGGCGGTGGTGTGAGGAACAATGTGTGCGACATGGAGTGTTTGCGGAGGAGGATAGATACCCACTGTTATTATAGACTTTCAATCATTTACTCTAATCTTTTTTTTTTTTTTTTTTCTTTTTTTTTTTTTTTTTTTCCTATCGTTAATGTCGTCGATGTTTCGCTTGGCTGTGCCGGTGGTGTCGTTGTCCAAGCTTCGTGTTCAGTGTGGCCTTGCTGAAGTCGGGCTGCTCTCAGGTCAGCGTGGCTGGAGTTGTGGCAATTCAAGATTGGCACTTCACACAATCAAGGAGATGTGTTTCAGACAAATTGCATTGCCGGAACCGACAAAATGGCAATCTATCTAGGCTTAGCGAGCAATCTGAGCAATCTCCTTGTCGTCGTTTATTTTTGCCTTCTTCTTCTCCCCCTCCCCCTCAGCCTCAGCACTTCCACTTCTGCCCCTAGCCACCTTACCTTCACCTTGAATCTGTATATCTACATTCATCTCAGCCGACTTCCCACCATCTCCCTTGTCCGCCTTCTTTTCCGCCTTCACCTTGTCCGCCTCCTTTCCCCCTGGTTCACCAGGCACAAGTGGCGGCCTGAAATACGGTTGAGCCAACCAATGAGGAATATACGCCGGCCTTCCCGCCTCTCCATTTGGCTCCGTTAGATGACTTACCGACCCTGGCAGCGGTGGGACAGGTTGCTTTTCCCATATACCGCTCTTCATATCTTCCTCCAACCTCCGTTCGAGCTCCGTGAGAAATTGGCGGTATGTAACGATCTTTGCTGGGCCAACTGCCTTGTCGTCGAATCTAGCCTTGCCCAGCTGTTCTCGGAGATCGCGATGCACCTCCAAAGCCGGTCGGCAGAGACGGAATAGGTGAGCCTTAATAGCACTGCTTTGAGTAGGGGTGCGAAGAGAGGTTACGATGTCAAGATACTCGTGTGCCATGGCAACAATCGAAGGGAATGGCAAAGCTGGTGCATTCGGAAACATCCTACTCGGAACGCTAGCAAGGAATTTCATAAAGACAGCAGGATTATAAAGGTTCCCCTCCGCACTCATGATTCCCTTTGCGCCCGTCGCAGCTAGAGCATCGTAAAAGTCCTGCGGATACAACACATTTCCGTTTGCAAAGACAGGTACTTTTACTGCTTCTTTTACCGCTCGAATCTTGTTCCAATCTGCTAAACCCGTATGATGGCCTTTCATGTTTCGAGTTCTGCCGTGGACGGTTACGATCTGCGCTCCGGCTCGCTCTAACATCCGAGCATAGGCTACGGTTTCCTCGACGGACTCGTAAACTCGCATTTTGGCCGTAACTGGTACTTTGAGGTTGATGTGCAAGATGTTGATCAGGGAGAAAATGAGAGGCCAATCTTCCATAAGGTATGATCCATAGTGACCTCGACGCGCGATATGTTGCGGACAACCAAGGTTGAGATCAACTGCATCACAGCGGTCTTCTACTACTTGAGCGGCGCGGAGGAGCGTGGATGGGTCATTGGCGCAGAATTGGACAAAAAGTGGTCGGTCTGTGTCCTTAAACCTACCCTCGGCTGAAATGGAAGGCTCTGAAGAAGAAGAGCTGGCAGGAGTAAGAGAAAGAGAGGTAGCTCCCTCCTCGGCAAACTCCTTGTTAAAGTTAACTTCTTGATACTTGACTTTCTTCTTCTTGCTATTTTCGTCAGCAAACAACTTGGCGTTGATCATTGGTGTATAGACGAGTTCAGAGCCATACCGGCGGGAAAGGATGCGCCATGGAAGTTCAGATTGATCGACCATGGGTGCGACGACACGTTGAGGGGAGCCGATGGAGCGGTAAAGATCCCATGAGGAGAGTTTAGGATGGATGGGGGTGCCTGTGGGTGGGAAAGAGTCCAGGTCGGGGATGGTAGCTGGACCGACGTCCGTGTTGACGGTGATGTCTGTGGGGACTGCTTCCGGCATTTTGGTAGCTGTGTGCAGAGAGCGTGGTGGTGGCAAGTATTGCTGTGCAAGTACATGGGGTGTGGCACTTCGATAGCCAATAGAAAGAGGCTCGGCGAAGTGGAGCAAGGGCGAACGGATCGCTTTCCAGGAGCGCCAAGTGGAGGCGAGTATGGTGTTCGCGATCGTGAAGGAAACCCGTCAGTCGTTTTTGACTCGGGTGGCGGCGATGTTGAAGATGTTGTTCATTCCCGTCAGGGGCGTAGGATGGTGGAGTTCAGAAGGCCGTAGCGGCAAGGAGGGCGGCCAAGCTTCACTTTCTGGAAATTTGAGTTTTTTTTTTGTTTCGGTCTTCGCCGCGAAAGTTGCCGTCGTTCCGAAAGGAAGATCGGCGATAGCAAGTTTTAAACTGTCCCGATTCAACCATGTAGCCTTGACAAAGCTGCGCAATCCATCTCATTGCTCGACCACAAAGTCTTGATATCACAGATAGGCATCTTCAAGCACTACGGGTCCACGAACAAAGACTATGTCATCGAGAGAAATGAGAGCCAATATAGTTTTTTTGCTTCCGTTTTTTTTTTTTTTTTTTTTTTTTTTTTTTTTTTTTTTTTTTTTGGTAAAAGCAGAAGCGAAGGCAGCAAAACAAAGCACAAAAAAGTGCAAATCGGGTTCAAAGAAAACCAAGCAAAAAATAAAGATAGGAATGGAAACACAGGGGATCGAACCCCGGACCTTCGCTTTTCCGAACCGCTAAACCGAGAAGTCTGTTGGTATGCGGAAGCGACGTCATACCACTAGACCATATTCCCTAGTCTTGCCACACTATAAAACAACATGCATATATATATATATATATCATTGCTAGTCCGTCACGAATGTTCTATCCATTTCAGTAGACTCTCAGTGTTGTATTTTGAGATTCTTCGGCATGGGCAGGCATTGATGACAAACACGATGAAGCACAATTTTCAGCGAGTATATGATGACAATTGACCAGTAAAAAAACAAAGAAGAGAGACCTCCACAAAGAGAGAGAGAGAGATAAGCGAAGAAAGACCCCAAATGCGATGCAGTGTGTGTGCTCCAGAGACAGTGTATAAGGGTACAAATTGGTATCGATCGATGAGAGAGAAGGCGCGCAGGGTTGTTTTGCTGGCGAAGCGAATGCGGGTGTTTGAAAGGGGAAACAACAAACTAGGATGCGGATGTGAGTATAACAGCAGCCTGTGTTGGCTGGGTAATAAAAGGGAAGATCCCTTCTTCTTTGCCTTTGCTGGAAGAAGTGGCAAAAAGGTGGAGCAGATCGTCTTTGGGCACCAACGGTATACGGGTATCTTGACCGTATGATACACGAGGGCAAGAATGTCATTTTGGAGGTTTTTTTTTCTTCTTCTATTTTTTTTTTCTTTTTTTCTTTTTTTCTTTTTTTCTTTTTTTCTTTTTTCTTTTTTTTCTTTTTCTTTTCTTTTTCTTTTCTTTTCTTTTCTTTTCTTTTCTTTTCTTTTCTTTTCTTTTTCTTTGTGGAAAAACAGAACCCAAGATTCGTGAAAAGTTGTAGTGAACGTGAGCGACATTGCCAAGATGGCCGTCACGCTGCGAGAAATTTTTGAGATGCAGCAAGCTTTTAGGAAAGACCACAGTGTAATGGATTAGCTCACTCGTCTTCCTCACTTGCTGTATGTTGGGCAGCAACGGTAGGATGAGGAGCATCCTTGCTTGCCCTAGTGCTGTCTACAGAAGCAGCGCAATGGAGCTTGTTCCATTCTTCCAGCAGTTGTCGTCCGACGCCGGGTTCGAGTTCGGTACCGTCGCGAGACACCTTGACCTGTCGGTTGTCGCGCCAGGGGTTGCGCAACTTCTTGACCCACTGGAACGGCAGCGGGTCGGTGCGGATCCATTCGACACGGAAAGGCTTGCCCCACGAGTCGGACGAACACTGACATGGTGGCGTTCGCGTGTCGCGCTCCTCGGTCGCGCCTTCTTGTCCCGACTTCTTGACTGTGACCGTAGCATCAGTGCCATTTGAATCCGTGCGGAGCTGGCTCTCGAGCTGCTCGGCCTGTCCGCGTGACTCCATCTCATCGAGACGAAGATTGTGAATCACTGCACGCAATGCGATCTGCTCAGCCATGCGTGGGTCGGCTGATGACCAGGAAACTGAGTCGCTCGGTCCAAGCGAAGGTGGGTCGTTCTGGCTCGAAGTGGTCTGTGTCGACTCTGTCGCCATGTCCATACGACTAATGCCGTGCTTGTCTGGCTCGGCCGTGGCACGCGAAGCTGGTCTATCTGCAGAAAGCGTCGAAGCTAGCTTGGGACGCTCGCTCGAATCAGCCTCGGAGGCGGTGCCCCGAGTAGCTGTGTACGGCCAGGTGCTGGACTGTGCGATGGATCCGGCGAGGCGTGGGGTGATGGTGTCCTCACGCTGAGGTGACACTGCACTTGCGAAGGCATCAGCCTCTTCCAAAGAAGGGGAAAGCGGAAGTGGGGACATCATGGCGAGAGGATGGGACGGATCGATAACCCCATCGACTGAGAGGGCGCCGAACAAGCCTTTGGCGGTGTCGAAGTCGCGTTTGTCCAACTTGAGATGACCTCGCTTTGTGCTTGCATCGGAAGTGGGGCTGGCCGCCGATGAGTCACCAGCACCTGTGTCAGAGGCATTCTCGTCAGCAGCCTCGTGAATGGTCGATGGGGGCAGGTTGCCGGACGTAGCCGAAAGAATGGAAGAGAGACTTTCACGTCGTCGCTGCTCGTCTTTGCCCTTGCCGTCATTCGTCGATGTGTGAATAGGTCCAGCCATCTTGGCGTATCCGTAGAACTCGCCCGTCTGATTGACACCAAAGATGAGGAAGACAGTCTCACTGTTGCGGTAAGCCTGATCGAGCACGTTCTCGTTATGCGGCTGGGTAGCCCAGTAGCCCGTCTCGATGGATCTGTCGAGATCGTCGGCGCGACGACTCTTGAGAATGAAGTAACGGTGGCGGAAGGCAGGGTGTCGGAAGAGGGAAGAGTTGGTGGATGTGTAGGATGCAGAGCCGCTCGAGCTGTACGAACCTGCCATGGCAAGTCCGGAAGTCACCTGAGCTGTCTCCTTTCGTGACGGCGACATTGGTTCTGTCGAGACTCGGGTCGACGAGCTAGGAGACATTGAATCATTGAGACGAGCCTCACCAGTAGCCAACTCGGTTCGCTCCTGCTCACGCTGTTGCTTGAGCCAGTTGACATGGATACCGCGGCCACGCTGACCAGCAACACCTGCTTGCGCCTCGCCATCCTTCTTGCGCACTCGGCACACAAGTTTGGGGCATCGTGGATCGTGTGGTCGCACTTGCTTGCCATGGAAGAACTTGACTGCGCGGTCCAAGTGGGCTGGGCTGGCGTAGTTGATGAAGGCACAGTTGCTGCGCGAGATGAGGAAAATGGACAAAACACCGTGACCTTCCACGTCCGGTTCGGCGAGCACGTCACCAGCTTGCTTCTGTGCTTCGGCGGAGCTCTGCCAGTAACGGTACTCGTCGGGAGTGAGACGCGAAAAGACCTCCCAAAGCTCGTCCACGGTGGCATTCTGAGGTACGTTGCCACACCAAAGAACGAAGTCGGAGCGAGGTCCTTGCTGTGGGTGGTAGTGGGGCCGCAACCCGGCGCCCGGGACCCGTTCGGCGGCAGTCACATCACTGAGAGCGTTGGTTTCAGCGTCAATGTCGGCGCCTAAAACTGCACCTTCCAGCGCAACTTCCTCTCCGACCAGGTCGAGCGGCTGAGATGAGAGCGTGTTAGAATCTGCTGGACCAGACTCATTGTCGAACGCAGATACTGGTGGGCGACGAGGCAAGGGTGCAACACCTCGGTGCGGCGACGAGTTGTTGCCAGACGAGTTGGAGCTAGTCTTGCGTGATGAGTTACCGGGTCGACCAGACTGGTTCGACTGGCGACGGCCGCCACCTCCGGAAAGGCTGTCGCGAGGTGCACCGATTGAGGGCATGCCGCCTTGGGCAGATCCAGACAAGGAGCCTCGACAAGGTGCCCCGCCTTGAGAATGTGAGGTGTGGCCAGGTGGCGGTCCGTAGTGGCCTGGATGCGGGTGGTATGGATACGAGGGCGTGAAGTTGGACGAGGCCTGGATGCCGTAGGGTGTCGCGCCTGGATGCGAGCCTTCGCTGTAGGGCTGTTGAAACGATTGGTGGGAAGACGAAGAGTTGGTCGAGGCCGAAACAGTTGGAGATGGATAGAAAGCTCCAGGATAGGGAGCATACTGCAGATGGGCATCATCGGGAAGATGAGCTTGTGGAACTTCGATCGGGACCCAGGCCCATCTCGTGCGTCCCGCTGCGTGACCAACGGAAGGATTAGAACTCGCAGCAGGATACGAAGGAGAGTAGTGGCACGGATAATGCGAACCGGTCATGACGTCGTGTGAAGAGGGCGCAGAGCCGGATCCAGAGCTTTGCGAGTTGGCGCGACCAGGTGGTAGCCGTGCGAAGTGATGCGAGTCAACACTGGGACGGCTCGAATGATAGGGAGGACCTGCGTAGCCGTAGCCGTCGACTGGGCCTGATGAGCCGTAGCCGGGGAACCCAGAGCCGGCTTGCTGCCCGGGATGATGGTGTGATGGCGGGACGTTGTGAAAGCCAGATGGATAGTTCGTGTATTGTCCTGGCGGTGGACTTGCAACGTGCCGTGCAGAGTGCTGGGCGGGTCTGTCGATGGAAGGAGCTGCACCTGCCGGGCTGACGGTGCGCCGATCCGGATCCGCGAGCGTTTGTTTGCGTGAAGGATCGGCACGAGATGGACGTTGCGAGCTAGCTGGATTGTGTGTCATGGTTGACGTGGAAGCGATGATGAGGAAGAAAGCGATCAGGCGTAGGAACAGATGTGGTTGGAGTCGTAAAGCTGATCAGGGAAGGCTGAGGATGAGAGTGCGAGCTTGCTGGCGTTAAGGTGATCGAAATAGTCGATGTTAAAAGAGGCCTGGTTGATGGACGAGTTGAAAGCCGGCAGCTTGTGTAAACTTCACGACCGAAAACGGAAGTGCTGTAGAGATATGCATGCAAGAACAGAGCTGCTGAGAAGCTCTCAGGTGCGTATGTGAATCCGAAGCTGTGATGCAGAGTTGTGGGCTGTTAGAAACGTAGTTGAGCGTTGATCCAAAGAACCGTAACCGTGAAGAGGAGCGTCGCAGAGAAGGAGCGTGAGAGACCGTCCAAGTGAGTATAGAGTGTGATGGGTGTGGAGGGTTTTAAAATGTGAACAGAAGAATGTGAGGTGTGAAGAGAGATTGCAAAAGCAAGGTGAAGGGGAAAGAGTCAGTTTCATGCATCAAAGTGAGCGAGTGGCTGATCGACGGTGGCAAGGGCGAGCAGGAGGTGAATTCGAGATGAAGCTGGAAAGATCGAAGCCTAGACCCTGTGGCAAGTGGACAAGGCACAAGAATAAAACTGGGCCGAAGCTGAGACTGGAACCGTTTCTCGGAATAGAAGGAAAACGAAGCCGGTTGAAAGCAGTCGGAAAGCCATAGGCAGGCAGCATGCAAGGCGGAGAAGAGCAAACGCCACGACGTACTATGCTGACATCGGTTGCTGTTGCAGAGAGTGGAGCATGGTAAGGGCCGAGAATCTTCTAAATTCGGGTAGCAACTCTTCCAGACCGTTTGCCCCGAAAGTCGAACTACGAACGCCAACGACATACGAACTGCAACACCAAGCAAATACTGAGCGACCCTAAGACGAGTTCAGCGTTGGACGGCGCAGAAGCGTTGCGGGGTTCGAAGAAGGCCAAACCTAGAAAAAGGTGCTGCCAAAGGCGACTGAGCGATGTGGGTGACCCCACCGAGCAGACTATGACACCATTGCGCATCTCGGTGAAATCGCAATGCTTGCCGTCCATTTTTGGATGAGAATCTCACGTGGGACCCGATTGTGTTACAGATCGGGCGGGCAGAAGAAAAAAAATAAAAAAAATAAACAGAACACAAACATGAACCTCGCGATGCAAGCAGCCGCACTCGCCACCAAGGGTTTAGCGTGACCCTTAATGTTTTCCGTTACGGTTTGCAGCATCTGAACTGTTTGTGACTGTATTGCTCGACCTGGCTTCTTTGTAGCTGTGCTGCTTCAAGTATGCCAGAAGCTTCACCACAGGGTGCTCGAATCAATGGACGCTGGAGGTCCTAGCGTTCTGCAACTTACCTTGGGTTCTGCTGAAGCCGAGCAAAGGGGCGTGAAAGTCGACGTAGTTGATCGATTTCGAGGTTAACGTGGGGCGATTGTCAAACCAAGGCGGCGATGCGAATACCTCGCTAGAGATGTGGCAGAGCAAACTATCTCCTCTGAGGCCAACAAGCTTGGGATGAACGGTTGCAAGTGCGACCCGAGCTGAATTGAGCCAAGCTGCACTATATGCAACAACTTGATAACGTTGAAAGTGTTGATTGCCGTCTTGGATGTGAGACCTTTGTGGTGTGCAAAGAATAGTTTGCTATGCGTTACCAAGAGTTCGAGTGAACGTCGACAACGCCGAGGCTTGCGCAAGGGCTAAGGAGGAGGATCCAGAGACGGATGAATGAGGTGGCGGGTGCCAGACTCGACGATCGTCGTCTATTTATTCATATTCTAAAATAGAGGCCTTCTCTCGAGTTTGTCCCGGTCTAACTAATTAAACTAATTAACACGTGATGGGCATGCTCTCTGGCATATGTTTAAGCAGTTCTGAACGTAGTTTCCGAACAGAACGACTACTAATTGCTGAAAGTAACGATCCAGTGATGACGCTAACAAGTGACACTAGGGCGACGAGATCGGAGATTGGGGACAATTGAGTGTGTTGAGGATCAGGTACAACCAAGTCTCACTCATTGTCAGGCTAGATCATTAAGTAGGAGCAGTCCCACCTTTGGCTTGTGCTGCTCACATGTATATATATCTCACAGAGAGCACTAGGCTCTCACCACATTCCCTAAGGTCAATTTAGTATATGTTTCTGCTGTAACAAAGTAGTGACATTGTACTTAGACCATCCCCAATCACCAGTATTGGGACCTCATATGACCCCAACTTTCTCAGGTTATGAGCCCAACACAAAGCCCTACCTCATCCTTGAACTCACCCTCAATGATGACTGACATAAACTACTCCCTCTATGATGACTTCATTAGTCTGATGGAAGACCTCCTTCCATGACTACCAAAAATGCTTCAAAATCATTCAATCATATGATAGCTGGTGAAGTTTATGGCACACCCAACACTCCAAAGGAGGGGAGTCTTCTAAAATTTGCCATCACTGGTGACAACAAACAAGTCATCTCACCTCTCTCCATCATGATTGAGTGTGTCAGTGAACTGTATTATGGAATGCATGACCTAGGCCCATTCCCAAGCCAAATCAAACTAGGAAAAGCAATGCAAACCAGAGTAAATAACTTCCTCGCCAACAAAGAATGGAACACTGGTCACATTCTTGCCTTCAAGATTGAGGGCCCATTTGAGCAACAACATCATACTAAGACAGAGATGCCTGGCCCAATTAGAGTTGACATCAACAAGATGGATATGCTGTTTCGAGCTGACACTCCCATCTCTGATGTGAGCAGCACCACTTGCTGTCATTTGATCAGTTGTGATGCTACTCCAGGACCCACTCCTGAACTTAGCGCTATCACAAACCACCACCTCAAGACCCTCTCAAGCTTGAATGAAAGGATGCAGTGGGATGAACACAACCTTCTTGACCCGAGAGTGGTCTCTGTGCATGCATGGCGACATAATATCTTTGCAATGCTATCCATCATTCCTTTTGCATGAAACATACTCAATCAAAAATCAACAACATTTGAGGATGCTGATTCGATACTCAGCTCAATCCTCATGTGGAGCTTCTCTAATAAGCTACATATCGAATACTTCACTGAGCATGGAGACAAACCGATACCTATTGCTGTAGACCTCTTCGATTGGGCAGTGAATAAATGTAAAGTACATTCTACAGTCAAAGAGTTTGAGCTGTCTGCAGTGACCCTTGACCTATACTGGGACCAAGTAGGGAGCCACACATATGACTTTCTTGTCAAGTGGGAAGCTCACATATCAGGGCTGCACAAGTATTTACAGGACCCCTGGAAGCCAAATTACCACTACAGGATTCTTAAATGAGCACTCCCTTCAGATCGAAATGCCTTATTCAACTCTGTGTTTATCCTACACAAGAAGATCCATGGCAGGGAACAAACCACCAAAAGCATATCAGACATCCTACATCAGTGTTATGAACTTGCTGCTGAAGTCACTCCCACAGGACATTGCCATGTGACAGAGGAGTCTGAACTCACTGCACTGCAGGCTGCCACCCTTGTCAACTGTTGGGTGTGTGGCGAACTAGGTCATGCAGCCAACCACTGTCCCAATGATGTAGCCCATGTGTGCTGGAAAGAAAGCAGGAGTAAGGTATCACCCAAAAGCCATGCCAAAACATGTATTGTACTACCACTTGCAGGTTCTCAGGAAAAATAGGATGCAGTGCCAGTCTTGGCCTTCTTTACAGAGGTCGAGCTGGCACCAATTGATTTACCACCTCGGCTTGTGCTGTTTGTGTTTGACTCTGGCACTTCCTGTGTCATGGTCAATTGTGCTTGCTATGGGAAAGGTTGGCAAGAAATGAAACATAAAGTTAGTATTACTACTGCTGATGGTGGGCAACTCTTGGCATCTAAGATGGGAGGTACAGTTAGTCTACTAAGCTTTAGTCCCAAGATGCAGTGATGGGAGTGAATGACATACCAGGACTGCCTACTGGTTCCCAATCTGGTGACAAACCTTATTGGGACCAAATCTGTCACATGTGCCAAAGGGAAAGTGACCTTTGAGGATGAACTTGTCACAGTCCAAGACAAGCATGGCCATGCCATTCAAGTGCCAACGACTGGAGACAGTTACCCTGCTGCTGCCATGCTCATATGGAATGATACCATGCCTGAGCCAGCCATCTCCTTAGCTTTTGCTGTGACAAGAATGGCAACCAGCACAAAGCATTCCCTCAGGGCTGGCAGCAAAGCCAGCATCTGGCACCGAAGACTGGGGCATGCAGGTCATGATGCAATCTTACAGATGAGAGCAGCTACAAACCTCCATGACATACCCTCAACCCCAGTGATCCACCCTGACACTCTGTGTGATGTTTGCACATGAAGCAAGGCAATCACACAGACTACTGCTCACCCTTGGCAGATCAATAAGCCACTCAAACTGGTGTCAATGGACATCATGGGTCCACTACACAGTGCCACCCAATATTCATTTGTGCTCATCATTCATGATGCCCATTCTAGTATGATTTGGGTGCAAGGGCTAGCACACAAAGGGGCCGCATATCAGGAAGCAGCCTGGTGGCTATCCAAAATTCATGCCACCAAGAATCAAAGACTGTCTGAGGTCCGGGTGGACCAGGGTGAACTTTGGTCTGCTGCCTTCTGTGAGCTGTGCTCTTCAATGGGCATGAAGATCTCTGCTTCGCCCACCCAACAACAAACACCGCTGACAACCGGAATATGCGTGAGCGCTGGAACTACGACCATCTACTCACGAGAGGGTGAGCTAGCCTTCAATCGAAATGTTTCAATCCTGTACAGTGATTCATCAGGAGCACATGCCATTGCAAGTGACCCACAACACTTCAAGAGGACAAAGCACATTGATATTGCTCACTTCTTCTTGCAGGATGAAGTGGCTAGTCAGTGACTCATGATTGCCCCAGTCCAGAGTTGCGAGAATATTGCTGACATATTGACAAAGCCACTCATGATGTCAATGCTGGTGCACATATGGGAGCTGTTCAGTCTGATAGTGTCAAAGGAGCATACTGGATCAAGAGGGGGTGCTGAAAGTAATGATCCAGTGATGACACTAACAAGTGACACTAGGGCGATGAGATTGGAGATCAGGGACAATTGAGTGTGTTGAGGATTGGGTACAACCAAGTCTCACTCATTGTCAGGCTAGATCATTAAGTAGGAGCAGTCCCACCTTTGGCTTGTGCTGCTCACATGTATATATATCTCACAGAGAGCACTAGGCTCTCGCCACATTCCCTAAGGTCAATTTAGTATATGTTTCTGCTGTAACAAAGTAGTGACATTGTACTTAGACCATCCCCGATCACCAGTATCGGGACCTCATACGACCCCAACTTTCTCACTAATATAAAATTGCTGAAGATTACGATCCAGTGTGACGCTAAAGGACGACGCGAAGCCGATCCGATCGGAGATCAGGTAGGGCCGATCTGGTCAGAGGACCGATCTGATCAGAGATCGAGGATAACCGATCTCGCTAGAGATCGCGTACAACCAAGAGAGTGAGGAAAGAGATGAAGAAAAGGAAAAGGAAGAGAGAAAACGGAAGAGGAAGCGTCGAGGTCGAAGTCCAAAGGCAACGAAGACAGCGCCGCAACTTCCAGAAGGCTGACTTCCCACTGATTCTAGGAGAAAGATGACGACCACTAGCTGAAAGGAAGGTGAATGCAACGATGACGAGAAAGGGGAAACTGGAACGGAGGAAAAAAGGGAGGATGGAGAAGGAATTGGGAGGGGGCAAACAAAGACCTTCCACAAGGCCTGAGCCAAGGAAGCGTTGAGAGGACTCAGACCTCGACTCAGCGGCAAGCAGCAGCAGCAGTTGGCGACAGCGACAGTACGACACACGACATCCAGTGGCCATTTCCCACATTCACAAAGTCGGAAAGGCCTCGCCTCTGTCGTTCTGCCTTCACACGACCAAACGATGTCAGCTTCGGAAGTTGCCGGCAATGCTTACATTCAAGGCTTGTTGATACCACAGCTCATCCGGAAGCAAAAGGGAGTCAAGTCAAGAAAGAAAAAGAAAAAAGGTACAAAGCCGGCCCGGACAATCGTCGGTGTTTGGATGTGATTTTTTTTCTGATGTAGCCAAGAGGCGAATCGAATGCTGACAGAAACCCGTGGCAGAGTCTAGATGAGATTAATGAAGCCGACTAGCAGGTCGTTTCAGGCAAGGAGGACGATGATGGTCAGTGAGGGCTAACAGGAGACTTAGGCACTGCGCTTGACGATCTTTGCCATCCTCTTGAGGCCAGGAAGACGAACGGGCAAGCCGACAAAGTCGACCACATTCTTGGCATCTTCGATAGCCTCCTTGGCCTCGGGGCCCGAGCCGGGCAACAAGCTGTAGCTGGGCAAGTTCAATGCACGCTTGGTCTCGATTTGACCGTGTTCGCTGTACATGTTCTTGACGAAAGAACCGGCAGCGTTGTCAGCCTGGGTCTTGAGGTCAAGGATGTTGTCACGAACCACGTCGCTCGTGTCTAGGACAGTCGAGCTAAGAGGGTCCTGACCACGTTTGACGGGGACACCAGAGACGGAGGCACCGTTGTTGAGCAAACCGTTGGCACGAGCAACGGGCACAGGAACGGGCAACTCCTTGGTCACACCAGCGACGGCGCCCTGAATAGCTTGCTGGCAGCCGAACGAGGTGCAGAGGGCGTTGGCTGTCTTGATACCCTGCACAGCCGGGCTGGCGGCCTGTTTGACTGGCGAAAGTGCAAGGGGAACAGCACTTTGAGCACCCTTGGCAGCGAGTCCCTCTCCAAGACCCTTGACGCTGCTCAGGTCGACGTTCTCGGGTGAGATCGTGTCGCGCTTGATGGGCAGCAAACCACCGAGGAACGACTTGGCGCGGTCCATGTCTTGCTCGTTACCGGTCTTCAATCCAAGCTCAACGGGACTGTCATCACGCTTCTGAGAGGGGAGGGCAATGGCGTCGAGGGGAATCTCGTGGCCGAAAAGGTTGATGCCCGAGGCGTCGTCACGCTTTGTGGGCAGCTTAGGGAGCAGCTCGGTGGGTTTCTTGCCCAGGATGTTCAGGTTGAGAGGATCATCGGCACGGCGGTTGAGAGGGTGAGAAGTGCGCTGGCCAAGAGTCTGCTGGTTGGCAGGCATCACTCTGCCGCTGTCGGGAAGGTCAAGTGACTTGAGCACATCAAGCAGACGCTTCTGAGCCGCGGGCACTTCCACAGCAGGGACCTCGGCAGGAGGCTTTGCGTTGGTGTGGTCACCCTCGTTATCGAGCGCACCCAACAAAGGAAGCGATGGGATCCAACTGCTGCGAAGCTCACGAATCGAGATACCTTGACTGGTGAACTGCTTGACAAAGGGCTCGAGATGGTCGCTTGCAGATGGAACGAGACGCTTTTGCTTGATCATGGGTGGAGGAGTGGTGACCTTCTTGGCTGCATCCGAAAGCTCCTTGGAGGCGGGCTCGTGGTTGAGGTAGGTGAGAGGTGTGATGGGAGCTCCCTTGTCGTCTACTTGTGTCAAGCCAAGTGGAGTGGTGACCGTGTCGGCCTGCGCATTTCCAAGGCAGAGTGCGATGACGATGATGCTCGAGAGCGCCGCGAACGAGGAAGTAAGCTTCATGTTGGGCTAGTTGATATCGAGACTGAACGAAAGAGTGTGAGTGGGAACAAGATCTCGTCGTCGTCGTACGGTAGAGGGCAAGGGAAAGGGGGAAAGCACGGTGGAGAGGAGGGGAGAGATGATGGAGAGAGGAGGAAAGACGTAGAAGGGCAAGTTGGAAGCACGAGCACGAAGGGATCAAATATGCTTTGTGGCCCTGAAGAGGTCAACACACAAGCAGAGGGGGAGACATTGTGGCTTGACAGCCTGTACTTCAGCAGCGACAACACGAGGCTCTTGGCAAGGAGAGTGACAGAACCGAGCCAGCGGCTCACAGACAGACAGGCATCGAAGCTGCCTTGAACGCAGTCGATGCGAAGGCAATGTGGCAGGTTCAGGAGAAAGGTGCAAGTAAGACCAGTCCATCCTGGCTCGCGCATACGTACATGCGAGAGCATCTGTACGTACCGACGGTAGAACAGTGCATCAGCAATGTCCGGGCCGTTTCGATTTAATCGGGGTCAAACGCCGCTGCTGTGTGTCGTGGCTTCCATCCGAAGAGCATAGAAAAGCATCATGACCGTTCGTCGGAACCTTCTAGAGAGAGACGGAGTTGACCAAGCGGGAATGCGACGAGCGTTTCAACTACTGGCGTGTCACGCCCCTCAGTGGACAACCGGCAGGGTATGGACCGACTCATTTGAGAAGTGAAACTGTGCTGTGCTGTGCTGTGGGATGCGCTGAATCCTCAGGAATGATTCTGGCATCGCAATGGACGAGGTGTATCATACATTCCGACTCGCGTCCAACACTGCCAACTGATGTTGGTCTCTGCTTTTTGGAACCAAAAAAAAAAAAAAAAAAAAAAAAAAAAAAAAAAAAAAAAAGATCACAGGCTCCAACCAAAGTCTGCATCTTGAGGAATGCCACGCGCGCGCTTCGCTCCGACACTTGGCTACAGAAGTGACAGCCCGATCCTTCAGTCCCGATTTCAGATGTGAAGCCAGATCACGTGGTACTGGCCTGGTCTTACCCAATTTTTGGCGTGCAGACCTCTACCTCCCGCGGCAACTTTCGAGGTCAAAGTCTATACTCCATTCTTCTTGACCTGGGCTCACACAATCAATCATCATCGCTACCACACCGTACAGCACTTGATCGCCATGAAGGGGACGCATTCCCTTCACCGTGCCCTTGTCGGCGCCTTCTCCAAGGCAGCAACCGCCGGGCCATCAAGATCCATCGCACGAGCTCTACCGAGCACCACCGTTTCCCGACACTCATTCTCCAACTTGCCAAACTTCGCTGCCCCAGCAACAAGAGCACGAATCGCCCCACCAGCCCGCCTCTTCATCACCTCCTCTCGCTGCTCCCAAGGCCGCTACGAAGAATACACCGATGTACCCGAAGGCTACACCAAGCCCCAATCCTCCCGATCCCAAAGACCCTGGTACAAATCCCCTGCAACACTCATCCTCGGTTTTATCCCCATCTTCACCTTCGGTCTAGGATACTGGCAAATCAAACGACTCAAATGGAAAGTCTCACTCATCGAAGAGCTTGAAGACAAACTCTCTCGTGATCCACTCCGACTCCCACGCAATATCAATATGGATGTCCTACCCGAATTCGACTTCCGCTTGGTCTTGGTGAAGGGAACGTTCGACCACTCGCGGACGATGTTCGTTGGGCCTAGAGTTAGGGATGGCGTCATAGGATATCATGTTGTGGTACCGTTTAGGAGGAGTGAAGGTGGGGGGATGGTGCTGGTGAACAGAGGATTTGTGGATGAGAAGAAGATTCTAGGACAGGGCGAGGGGAGGAGGTTGAAAGATGAAGCGATTGTGGACGGACAGACGGAGTTCGTGACTTTGTTGCCGAGGATCTACCCTCCGAATGCGTTCACGCCGAAGAATGTGCCGGAGAAGGGGAGCTGGTTTCATGTCAATCCGGCACAGATGGCGGAGTGGGTGAGTGGCAAGGCGGGGGTGGAGGCACTGGGTTTGACGGATAAAGAGGATCACTACACACCTAGTGCAGGGGTTGCTGAGAGTGTGAAGGGTATGCTTAATGGAAAGGGCGGGAGGGAGAGCGAGCGGGTGCTGCCCGTGTATCTGGAAGAGGTGTTTGGTAAGTATCAAATCTCCAATTCTCGCAGTTGTTGCAAAAAGCGGTCAGGCTGACCTTGTGATTCTGCCCTTCTCTCATTGCGATCGACAGACGGCAACGTAGGCGAAGCAGCGACCAAAGTCGCCCAAGGTATCCCCGTCGGTCGAGCTGCAACCATCGAACTGCGCAACCAACACGCTGTCTATGCTGCTACCTGGTAAGCATCACCACCTCCCAACTCATGCTTCCTAAGCCATCGTCACTAACGCAAACATCTCTTACACGTCTCACCTCTGTCTCCTTCACCACAGGTTCTCACTCAGCGCATGCACAGCAGTAATGTTTGGCCTACTCGTTCGACGCGGTCGCGGCTGAAACACCCTTGTCACAATCAAACACTCACCTTTCGAAGCAATTCTACTAGTATTACAAGGATCCTCTGCTCTAAATGTGTCACGGGCTGTCTACTCCTTCTTTTTTCCCTGTCCTTCTTTCTCGTTGACGGTGACGGGCTTCGACATACTATACCCAACAGTGCCAGCCAAAACGCACCCCGCACCAATCCACAACGCCAGATTGCCTTTCCCACCTTGAACGAGCATTACACTGATCACCAGACTGACCGCTTTCCTAACCACCAATACCAGTGTCACTGATAATGAACTTACTTTACTCGTCAACCTATTCACTCCATTAATACACAATAGCTGAGTTGCTACGTTGAGTAAGAGTGGTGGCCAGAATGAGGGGATCCACACACCCCACCCTCCTTTTAGCCCGGTGAAGGGTAGTATCGTGGTTAGATCAAAGGTTCTTGCTGAAGTCGAGTCCAGTTTTTGTGTTAGGGAGGGCGGGGATATGAGAGCGAGCAGATTACCAAGCCGAGAAGGATGGTTGGAGGGTGTAGAGGTGGGTGGACCAAGACCGAACCACCAAGGAGTAGTACCATTCGCCATCTGTACATCCCGCACTAACTTCCCCGGCCTTAATAGGAACATGGGGAGGGAGAGTAGATGGGAGTAGAACAAACTCTCGCGCCAATTCTGGTTGCCGTAGAGTTTGAAAGTCCTCTCTTGCCAAAGACCCATAAATCCAGTCAAGACTAATGCTGAGAAGAGTAGTAAGACTCCTGTTGCATACTGGCCCACTCGCTCATCTCCTCCTTCGCTTTCTCTACTTGCGCTTGAACTAAGGGTACTGGACACGACTCCTAGAGTGACTAGCACCACCGCTCCGACTTGAACCGGAGGATATCTTCTACCTTGCACAAGATATCCTAGGATCATATTTACCACGAGTCCTCCAGATCGGAAAACTATGTGTACTGACATTGGGACGTCATACCCAAATGCTAGGTTGTTTAGGATGCTGGTTGAAAAGTAAAATCCTACTTGTACTATCCAGCGATATAGTGGCACCGCTCTCTCCCTCAACCCAAGAAAAGGGAAATGTGTGGAAAAGCGAAGGAAATAAGGTAGAGAGGAGAGAGTGGTGATGAGAAACTGAGCAAACGTGATTAAAGTGCCGGACGAGGGGAGTTGTTGAGTGGCGAGCTCGAGCGTGAATGCGTTAGAGCAGCAACCGCCGAAGATAAGGGTTAGGATGAAGAGCCATTCTGATGCAGTTGTTGCAATGATGGACGATGCAGTATTGCGGGTGGTGGTGGAGGAGGTCGTGGGAGTGGGTTTAGTTTTGTTTGGTGTTGAGGGGTTGCGTCGCCGTGGCGCAGGGGAGGATGGCATGATGGTCGTGCTCTACTCCAGTGATGGAGCCGGGGATGGTCGCACAGGGCGAGAAGTGTTGGAAAGGTAAAGGTGTGGGTGATGAGGAAGGATGAAAAGAAAAGCACAAGTCGGACAGCAGCAAGTTTCTTCTTTACACGCGCACGCGGAACAAACACCTTGACGCATAAACGACCTTCCCTTCTTCTCCCCCACCTCTAACCCCTCAAGCTCCTTCTCCCATCCCCACCATCTTCGCTGCGACAACAAGCAGCACCCTCACAGCTCAAGCCATGTCAATACGATAGCCTCCCCATGCCCGCTCGGAGTCGACTCTCGACGATGTCTATACCAGACCAAGCCCTAATCCTGCCCATCTCCGATCTCTCCCTTAACCGAGAAGAAAACACAAAACTTCGTCTAGCTGGCACCATTACCGGTATCAACCCTTCAAATTCCTCTCTCATCGTCCTATCCGATCCACACCCAGCGCCTACCTCCACCGCATCTTCTGTTCTGGTGGATCTCTCGCTGTGTATCAGCAACAACAGTTGGAGAAGGAGGAGTGATGCCAAGTTGCCTGAGTTGAAGTCTAAGTTGATGGTTATTGGTCATTTGACTAGACGAGCTGTTCGAGTTGACCTGGAATGGTTGACAAAGCCGAACAAGAGAGATCTGGGAGAAGTGCAGCGAAAGGATTCGGTTGGAGAAGGGAAGCAGTGCGTTCCCAACGGATATTTTGTGTTGGAGGCGATTCTGTGTAAGCCTCTGGACGAAAGCTTTCATTTGGCGCTGTGGAATCACGCCGCTCGGCTTCGAAGTCAGAACGAATGGTCTCACTACTATGATCAACACACTCGAAGTAAGGGCAAACGAAAAGCGGACACCTAAACTATGTATCATCAATCGCATTTGTATTCTATCCGCATGGGGATTAGGGCTTGTAACCAGACTCACTATAAATCCTAGCCACAAATCGTTTCCACAACTTCTTATCGACCACTAATCTTCGTGCCAGATCCATCATCTCTCCTACCGTGACCGATGGTAAGCTGTAGTCTGTGAGCTTTCTTAATGGCTTAGCTAGCTTCTTTCTCCCAGTTCCCTTCTTTTCCTCGTCCACTTCAGAGGTGATGAAAGGTTGCTTGAGACCAGCACGTTTCAGTTCCTTCTCTAACAGCGCTTTCGGTACCGGTACCGGCCCCCTTAACCCGCGTTGGGTAAAAGAAGGGTCGAATTCCTGCCAAAGCACTTCTGGAGGGTGCGTGGCGTACTCAAGTTTGTACGAAACTTGTTGTTTTTCTGCTTCTTTGCGACGTTTTTTCTTCTCTTCATCATCATTGTCTTTGTGTTTCTTCTTCTCTTCTCCGACACCAGCAGAGTTGAGCTTGTGAGGGTGGAGAATAGACTCGATGGTCTCGTTCTGGTCATCGATATCCATCACCCACTGCGAATAGCCGAGCATGCTGAGGTAGGTATTGGTACGGGAAGGTGAAGAGGGTGAGGTGTGGCGAGGGAGCTTGTGCTTATGGTGTTTCTTGCCTTTCTTTTTCTTTGGCGGTGTTGGGCGGTGGTGATGCCTTGAAAATGGCTCTAGCTCTTCGTCATCATCTTCTCCCAGGCCTGTGTTAGGCTCGATAGACGAGGTGATGTTGAAATTCGAGGTGAAGGGTTGGTTTCGAGCACTTTCGGAGACGTTATATGTCCATAACCGAATTGAAGGGTAGTAGGTTGGAATGATGCTAGGAGCGATGAAAAAGACCGAGTAAAAGTCTTTGTTCGTTCGACCTTTGCCTGGGAGTGTGGAGAAATCTCGCTTTAGGTCTCCTGGTAGACCCTCGTCCTTCGTCTCCACCTCATCTCTCTCCTCTGCTTCTTCCATCTCCTCCTCCATCTCCTCTGACTCTACTTCTGCTTCTGCTTCATCGCCCATCCCAGCCTCGGAAGAGATAGAACTGTAAACAGCCTCCATATCCTCCTGCACAAAAAACGCATCCGTATTCATATGACCGAAATGTTGACCTACCACCGTATCTTGAAACCTCAGTACTATATCCGTATACCTTCTATAGCATTTCCCGAAGTAGTTCCCTGCTGTCGGCGGCACATGACCCAACAGATGAACCTGCATCCCTCTCCTTCTAAACAGATCCAATTGCACTTCCAACCAGTCTAACTGCGCTGTACCTGGATCGGCCTTCTTGCCTTTCCTCTTCACACATCCTTCCACTGCCTTATTGTTATCGTAGAAATACAACGTATTCAGACTCATAGCAGCTAATCGATTAGGAAGAATTTCTTTAACGTAGTATCCACCTTGTTCGAACGTGTGAAATTCATACTCTGGAATGTGGTCTCTCCAAATCTGAACATACTCCTTTGTGACTGCGTTTGGTCCCGGGAAAAGGATGTTGTGCGGGAAAATATCGTTATTGCCCACGGTAGGAATCAAAGGTACACCCGGGAAAGCGGTCTCGAGTTGGGAAAGAGTCCATCGATTAAGCTCAAAGATCTCTTTGTTGCTACGTGGGAGTTTATTGTCGTTATCATGTCGGGCTGAGTCGCCGGTCCAGATGATAAAGTCCAGACCTTCGGAGGAGGAAACAAGATTGGAAGCAGCCCATTTGAGAGAAGACTCGACGAGATGCGGTGGAGAATCACAATCGCTAAGTGCGGTTCCCCACCATCCTGCACGTTGTTTTCCTTCGGATTTGTGTTTTTTAGGTTTCTTGTGATGGCAGGCTGCGTTGACGGCTGAGTTGTACTTGTAGTGCGGATCGGGATGGAGGTCGGTTACGTGAAGGAAGCGGCCAAAGGGTTTGCGGAGGGTGGCGATGGGGTGGGTCGGGGATGATGAGTTGTTAGTGCTGGATGATGGCGCAGATTCGGCAGAGAAGGCTGCTTGTGGTAGCGAAGCTGCTGTGGAGGGTAAGAGAGCTGCTTGAGTCAGTAGCAGAGCTGCTGTTGCTGCGGCGATGGATCGCATCTTGATCTAGTGTCTATTCCTCTAAAATGACGATTCCAGGTGGATGGCTGCACAACCCGGCTTTACGAGGTCGAGCTTAGTATCCTTCGAAGAGCGTCGAAGCGGTAAATCAGGATAACGTCGAGAATTTCGCTCCGCCTTCTATGTCTATGCAAGCATTGTGTCGGTTTTCGGTGATCGAGACTGGGGCTAAGGAAGGAGATACAGTAGGATGATGGATGAGAAGGTCGAAAGTAAAGCCATTTCTCCACACAAATACGTCAGACACACTCGATTTTCGAAGAAAGCGCTGCTGCTGTGTGCGATCACGTTCACATGTGCCGAATTAAACGAGGCGGCAAAATCCACACCGAACAGAACAGTCACACCCAACTGCCACGTCTGTCCGCCTCTCCTTCCTCTTGAGAACACACGAAGAACAACAGAAGACAGCAGCATCATCACAACCAACAAACCATCAGATCGGGTATCGCTTCAACATGCGATACACTCAAAGCTTCAACGTCGCACAATCGAGCGCAACGAAGTTTGATGCTGTTGTAGACATTTGCAAGGGTTACCGCAAACTATGAATACAAGGGTGTTTCAGGTGGAAACATATCCATCCAATCCATCTGGACCGTCTCCAAAGATCTCGTCAAACACTTCCCTGCCTGGCACTTGAAGATCGCCCAAGTCGCCGATGAAGGAGCCTTTCTCGTCTGTCTTGACATCGCTGCCAAATTCCGCTCGCAGCTTACGCCGTCTGTCACGTTCTGTCTCCCAAATCTCCTCGAAGCTCGCTGCCAAGTTCTTGAGACCGAAGAGGTAACCGCTATCCGGCCCGTCCGTAAGCTTCGGAGGGAATCTAGCCAGAGATAACCTCGGATTGCGACCAGAATCTTGCTCGTCCTCCTCCCTTCCATCGGCGGGAGGGAAGTAGTAATCGTTACCGGTGGTGCAGTGAGCAAAATCGATGATCCTGATATTGATCTCTCCTCTCCTCCTGCGTCGTCGTAGTGCAGGTTCGGTTGCAGTCCCAGTTCCGACAGGGCCAAGCAGCGGACTCGAACCGATACTGTAGCTGCTCGCTCCACCTTCCACCAGATCAGCCACATCGTTCCACTTGCCGTTGCCGCTCTCTTCAGCCTTGGTCAGAGAGCTCGACGCGGAGGGAGGCAACACACCGGCATCCAAGATCATCTGACTCGGGGCCACTGTGCCACCAACCCCTTGTTCGCACCTTTTGTCGAATTCCTCCTCCAACTTCCTCTGCGTCTCGCAATCGCCGTCGTAGATGAATAGCAGACTGCTCGCGTAGAATCGATACCCGCGAAGGCCCCATACGATCCTTGCTAGATGGTAAATCTTTTGCAAGATTAACGGGACGTGATACATAAGGATCTTGCTGCCATCGTAGAAGAATCGGGCGAGAGCGGAGGGAAATTCGGCAGGCAAAACCTTACGCCCGTAGTACTTGTCTTGGAAGATGAACGAGTCGTGAACGCAGTCGTACACTTGCATGCCGCAGATACGCACACCGTGACTGCGCGAAGTAGTCTTGTCGCACTTCTTTGTTTGGCTCTTCTTCTTGGCATCCGTTGCATCGAGACCGTACTGACGCGTTCCCATCTTGAGATCGAGAACACAAGGCGATTTGAGTCGTCCGGTGAGATCCTCCATGAGCAGGAACTGTTCTTGGCGACACGTGCCGTCAGAGGAAACACGGGCCTCAGCCTTTTCTGCATCCGCGATGGCAGCAGAGACTGGAGCTGTAGGCACGGAAACGCTCTTGTCTCCCTCCAGGACTGGCTCGCTAATTACAGGTGCGGTTCCCGTCTCTTCTGGCTCTTCAGTGAGGGCCAGTGTCTCCATCTCTTCACGGATCTCGGCTGTCGGATCGGAAGATGTTGTCGCCGTCTCGGTCTCCGGGACTGGCTGGGTAAGGGGTGGCTCAATCACAGTCTGGTACGCGAGGTTGCTGCGAGATGCCGCTGTCGAGCCTGGTGCCTTGGTCTTGAGGGCCAGCGAGACGTCGCTGAGCACACGTCGTCGATGTTGCGTCAGGGCATCTGTTTGAGCTGCTTCAGACAATGCAGCGCCTGGAGACCCATTCTCAGCAGTCGGAGGCAGCTTTAGGGATGTCGACGAGGAAGCCGTCATATTAGTTGGACCGAATGGCGGAGTCCTAGGAGGAGTCGATGGGTGGCGTGCTTGACCTCGGTAGTGAATCGGCGAAGACGATGCAGTCGGTGCAAATTCGCTAGCAACGCTCACACTGCCGCTGCTGATAGGATCAGGTGTGCGTAGATCGCCTCTCATCGCTACCGCTGCAGACAAAGTGTCCCTAGAGCCAGGAGTAGAACCGAGGTTGCGCGTGATGCGAAGTCGCTCGCCCTCTTCGCTCTCTTCCCATGCCTTTGCCAGTCTTCGTCGGTTCTTGCGAGCATTACGTTTGGCACTCGAGCCGTAACGAGGCTCAAGTCCATCTTTGAGCATAGGGCTGCTGAACACTTCACGCAACACTTGTTCCTGTAATCTACGATTGACAGTGGTGATGCCGCGTCCGTGGATGCCATTCAAGATCTGAGCGTTGTGTGCGGCGTTGTTGGTGCTGACTGGCTGCGATCTCTGGGAGATCTGCGAAGGTGTTCGGCTTGTCATGCTGAGAGCGCTCGTGGCGGGGCTTCGAGATCGGGCAAGAGGACCTAGGGTCGAACTTGAATGACCAAAGCTTGACGAGTGCAGTCTACCAGAGTCATGTTCTCGGGCGCGTCCGCCCCAGTCGGCGCCATGGCTCATCGAGCGAGTCGATCTCGGCGAGGCGTCTGGTGAGATGGCTGGAGTAAGTGGGCTTGAGCTCAAATCCTTGTCCGCAGTGTTGGATGCAGAAGTAGGTCGATCGGGCAAGAATCTCGCCGCCTTTTCGTAGGAAGCTAGAGGGTAGAAACCATCACGACTTGGACTGGTGCCTCGGCGCAGCTGTGCGTCTGGCGTGTGGAAGGTGGCTTTGACTCGCTCGAGCGAAGAGGCGGTGTGGCGTGGTTGTCTGGAGCCGGACTCGCGACTTTGTGATCGGCTTCTGCTGCGATCTCGCACCGCCTCGGCTTGCTCGACTGCCTTAGGCGCAAGCTTGCACCGCCGTAGCATCCATTCAGGAACAATGTGTCGGTTGAGGTCAAGCGAGACTTCTGGGATCTCTTTTCCCCAATCCTCCTGTCCTTCGAATACCTTGCGTCGGACTCGCCCGCCACGCGACTGGCTTCTCTCCCGTGGTCTGCGTTCTTCTACACCAGTGATGCATTCGGCAATGCGAGAGCAGGCATTGTCCGCGCTGGCTGGTCCAGCAAGATTGAGTACAGATTCTGACTGCGACGCGCGATTGGCGTCCTGGTTCTCGTTGACGGCTGATGGGGGCTGCGAGATGTTGTCCTGTTGGTCCTGTTCGACGTGTCGGTAGGTGACGTTGAGAACGCCCAGGTATTGCGGGATGAAACATAGCAAGACCGGGTGTTCCCTTTCTACCGCCTCGTAGAATTCGTTCTCCCTGCCAACGAGCGGTTTGCAAACAGCACGCTTTGAGAATTGGAAGATCGAGTTGTGGCCACCGACCTGATTGTGATAGGGCTGCAGCTGGACGACAGCAGATGGCTCCGTTGACGACGTCCTCCGAGAACGCTGTGACGGCCGAGCGTGCCGGGATACAGCATTAGCATGATGACCTGCCGCAACCTTGGCTTTGGTAGAAGTCGCCGGGGCTTTGCCGGCTTCCCATTCAGAGCCACTCATCTGAAGATCGTCTTCGTCCGCAAGATCGTGGTTGAACCCGTGCCCACCATCATCGTCTGAGCTGGTGAAGTCGACAATGACATCGGTCACCTCTTCGTCGAACAGGTCGTCATCCTCGTGCCTGTCGAACGAGTCGTCCATCTTGTCATTGCCAACCTCTTCATAGTCGGAAGAGCTGTGCGTCATCTCGTTCAGACTGCGTCTACGTGCCATTGCAAGCTTTGCTGGCCATGCAGCTCCTGCCCACTCTGTCTCTGGCACGGAAGAATGTCGCTGCAAGTTGGAGGGCACCGACACAGACTCGACGGGAATGTCGGGACCGTCGTGGCTGGGAGCATTGATGGAGGGTACTTCCTTGCGACTGACGGTGACTTTAGCTGGGCTGAGAGGGCCCCTTGCTGGCGTAGCTGTATGTTTGGGAGAGAGACGCGGACGAGAGATGGGTATGGGTCGCGCATCGAGTGGTTCCAATGATGAAGGGTCGAGCAGCTTGCGTGACGCGTCGTAGTCGGCAGCTATGTTGCCGAGTGAAGCGAGAGTCTGTGAGCGACGAGGCGGGCGGCCAGGCGTTGGCATGGTTGACAGCTCTGCAGCACGGACGGGTGCGCTAGCTGTGGAGACGGTCTCAACGTCCGCCTGCGAGAAGTAGTTGTTGGTGGAGTCATCGCCCTGTGCTAGCAGTAAGGAGGGCGTTGCCGGACGAAAAATCGCCGAGCCATCATCGCCAACGGTAAGTAGTGTTGAAGACTGTTGCTGCGCATGGGGTAGATGCGAGGTGCTTTTGGGTTGCCAGTTGGCTGAGGAGCCAGATGGTGCATTGCGCTGCAGGGCTGCAGGAAGCATGGTACTGGATCGAACAGGCTTGCGGCTGGTCAAGAGCTCGTGTGGATCATGCCGAGATCGAAGCGCAGGCTCGTAGCCGTCATCATCTTCTACAACAGGGCGCTCTCGACTGCTAGCAAGGGCAGCATGAGAAGGCTTGTTGGAGGAAGTCTCCTTGAAGAGGTGAAGACTGACACTGGCCTTTCGCCCAGAGCTCAACATGGCTGGCGGAAGGCTGAGCTCGAAGTCGTTCCGCGAGGCATCAGCAAATTCGCGTCGCAAAACATGGTCGGTTTGCATGTTCAACGAGCGACCTGGCGTGCTGCGTGCGCTTTTGGTGCCGGGACTGTCACGCTTGATGGGTCCACGTCCGTAGGTATAGGTCTCTGGCGGAGAAAAGGGAGCATTGGGGTTGAACGGAGCTGCTGAAGATAACGCTGTCGACGGTCTCGGAGATCGTGAGCTGGTCGGTTTGGTGGGTGAGTGTTCGGAGGAGAGCGCTCTGGCTGCCGACTTTGGTGATGAGGTCGGCGAGGAGGAAAAGGGATTGGCGTTCGTAATTGCACTGGCTGCGGATCTGCTGCTACTTGGCACGTTGGGACTAATATTGCTGCTAGCTTCTGGTGGAAGCGGAGGCGAAAGTAACTGTGATATGGAAGGGCTGGTGAATGGGTTGACAACTGTGGTGTTGGAAACATGCCTGCTCGCTGGAGGTGAGAAGGAAGTCTGGACCGGCTGCGGAAAGTTGGGTGGCAGCGAGACGTGAAGGGACGCTGCGCCAAGCTGAGCTTGTACCGAAGGGGAGAGTGGGGCTGAGCCGGACGAGGAACCAGCATTGTTGCTCTTGGAGGATGAAGGTATTGAAGCGACCTGGTCATTGGAAGCCCGCCGTGTGCCCATTGAGCCTGAACGTGAGGTGCGAGGTGAGGCATGACCGAGAGGAGCAGGCGCTGCGAACCCCATCTCTGGGTTATATTGGTCGGACATGGCTGATATCGCTTCTACTTGCTCACCCACGACTAGCCAGTTTCAAGGCGTCCAATCGCCCTGCGAGAGATTCGATGCTTGAACGCACGAAGCTATGCCAAGATCATGTTTAGTATCGAGGGCGACAGACGACAGCCTATTTCCGTTTGCGGCTATCGTGTCACAACCTTGCGCAGTCGGTATTTTGCTGCCTTTCAGGTCGGTGCCGTGAGGAGATTAGGGGGGGGGGGGGGGCGGACTTCAGATGGAGTCACAGCCAGTTGTGATGGCGGTAGCGGTGAGGCGATGAAGAAGTTGTGATGATGTTGAATCGTGCCGACACGTGAGAATGGTTGAAACAGAGTCGATAGCCGGTCAAGATGAAGGAAAATGTGGAGATGGAAATGGAAATGGAAATGGAGATGGTGGTAGTAGTGGAGGAGGAGAAGGCGCTGGCAGCGAGAGATAGCGCCACCCAAGTTGTGGGTTGAATTTCGCGGTAATTTGCGCTAACTACTGCGCTGTGACTTTGCGGTGCTGCCTTCACAGCCTTTTGTTTCAGAATGGCGACCCTGAACTGCGATATCTTTGCCCCTCGCAAAGCACCGAAAATCCCAAGTCTTGGCCATTGCCGACTCACTTCTGACTGCTGACGGCTGACGGCTGACGGCTGACGGCTGAGTTGCCTAATTTGACATACAAGAGAAGGGGAAATAAAAAGAAAAAAGAAAAAAGAAAAAAGAAAAAAGAAAAAAGAAAAAAGAAAAAAAGAAAGGCAACAGAGAGAATGCAAGGATCGGCAAGGAGATGTAAGCTTCTTCGTTGACGTCGATAGCAGACACCCTTTGATGGCAGCGGCAAGGCTATGAGCAGAAGCTTATTTGATCATATTGCTTCAACATGTGCGTTACGGTGCGATGAAAGTTGCTTCGATAGCTTTTCGAAAGCTTGCCGCACAAACTAAATCGCAGTGATTGATGAGGGAGGGCAACGGCCGCCGAAACCTTCATATCAGCGCACTTCTTCGACTCTGTGTCCAACTGAGATGGTAACAGAAGCGAAGCGAAACAAGCTTTGTCCTTCAATCCAGAGGCCATGCTGCGCAAAATGAAGCTGCGAATCTCATGCCCCTGCCGAGCCTTGCTAACACCTTTGTGATGTATGTCAGCCTGCTTGAGTGTGTCACGCAACAAGATCTGCCGTCGGATCTGATCAACATGCTCAGCGGCCACTCTGATGCTGTGTGCTCGCTTAGAAGAGCACATGAGCTGCAAAGTATACCAGACCAAAGGAAAGAGGAAGAAGTAAGCATACGGTATGTCGACCCCACGTTCCCTCCACCCAAAACACTCGGACTGCATTGGGATCGGGCATTGTTTCACCGTGGGCTGGACCCTGAGAGAGATTAACGTGCACACAAGGTAGGGAACGTGGACGCCTTCCATTCCGCCATTTCCGTGTCTGCCTCATCGTAGAGAGTTCGGTCCTGCATCGGCCAAAACACGAGCTTCGTTTCGCTGGTGCAAGTGCCTGTCTCTCCTATGACATGAGGCCTCTTCGCATTTGCACAGACAGCGGTCAACACGAACTTGGTCCGGCAACCGCACTCGGTCAGTGATCTGGAATGGTATAGATTACTACTTCTCTTCTACGATCATGCCCGATCTCATCAATGAGAGGATGCACGATCTCCTGTCTGCAGAACTTGTGTTCAGGTGTTAAGTGAGTCTACGACGTCAATCTGGTCTTACCAGAGCTTCGACCGCTCAACGAGCCGACGCTACGGTTGCCCTTTGGCATACTCTTCAGGCCAGACGCGCCCATCATCGGTGGCAGTGGAGCACTGAACCATGGACTGACCGTTGTCGCTGTCGTCACCGACCATTCACCTCTCTTGGTCGGTGCGACGATGGCAGGTGAACGAGGGCTGTACGCTGTCCTCAAACTACTGCCTGTCCGTGGACTCGCCGTGCTGGTGCCCGAACGAGAGTCAGAAGGCTCCGAGGATCGTCGAGAGGACGAAGCACTCGTCGATGCCTCACTTGTGAGTTGCGCCTGCGTGCCGGCCGTGTACATGGCAAAGTCACTCGACGCGGGTGCCGGTGCTGGACCAGAACTGCCTTTGGGACCGAACACCGCCTCAGCTGCTAACCGCTTGTACTCAGCTTTCCCGGCCTTCTTGCGCTCCTTCTCTGCCTTCTCCATGCGCTTGCGTTCCTCCTTCTCCAGCTTGGCAATCTCTTTAGGCGACAAGTGCGAGACGTCCTTCGAGATCGAGATCCCTGCGAGCGGTGTCGCAATGTGATGGCTGGCGCCCGAGTTGCTTCGCTGCAGACTGCTAGCACCGGTGGCGCTGGCGTCCGTCGCGAGATTGTGTTGCGAGGCGGACCGCGACACGTCCTGCTCCGAACGGGGTCCGTACGAGTTGACAGGGAACTGCTCGCTGGCAGGCGATGAAGCAGCTGACGATGATGCCGCCTGCAGGTGTCGTCGTTTAGGGTCCATGCTCAAGGCTGGAGAGTTGGGCGCTGATGAGACTGTACTGGCGATGGGTGCATCGCGAGACTGCGTTGCTATTGAGTGACGCGGCAACCTGAATCGGCTCGACCAGTCGTCACTCGTCGACAGCGGCGACGAGAGCTGGCTCGAGTTGGCTCCTACGTTGGCACTGGCATTAGCGCGGCGGTCCAGCAGCGATGATGACGATGAAGTCTGCTGCGGCTGCTCAGGGGCGTATACCTTGACAAAACCTTCGCCCATCAGGTTATCATCGAATCCTAGGGAGCTACCGGGACGGGTCGGTGCCTCAAGTGTCGACGCTTCAGGAATGACAGGCGTGTTGGACGTCGTGTTGCGGCCAAACAGGCTGAAGCGCTTGCGTGTGCTCGTCGAAGTGGGTGCTTCCATCGGGTCAAGCTCGCTGCCAACTGTCGTCGCTGGCACGACTGTTGTCGAAGGCGCTGCAGTGGTGCTTCGGCTGGCAGTCTCGTGCGATGACATAGCCATTGAGTACTTCTCCATTCGACTGCTCGAGAAATCCTGCACAGATGATGGCATCTTACGAAACTCGTAGCCGGGCTCGCCATATAGCGACTCGACCTCGTTGCTGAGGTAGGCGAGTGCACTGCCACTTGAAGGAGCGCAGGGAACATCGGTCGAGGACGAAAACGAATCTCCGCGACGGTCCAAGAAGCTTTGGTAGATCGAGTTGGGTGTCAGTGGCCCATGCGAACTCGCAGTGTCGGAACCGGCTCGCGACAAGGATGGAACCGGCGATGGCATTTGGAGCAACGGCCAAGTTGCCGTGCTCAGAATGCTTCCTAACGCTGCTCGGTAGTTGGAGCCGGAGCCGGCGCGCATTTGACCAGCTGACGAGTAAGCCGAACCTGCTCCATTGCTGCCACCAGCTCCACCGTAGTGAGAGGTCGAGCCGGATCGATCACGGGATGGGCCGTCGCCTCGACCCTGACCCTGCCTTTCGAGACCCGCGCCACTTCCACCGCCCGTGTTTGGACCAGCACCGTGCTTCTGCAGCCAACGTGCAATGGCCATGACGACTCGCAGTGCGCGGATCTGCAGTCCCTCGCAGCCACACAGCGAGGCAGCCTCGTATAGGCAGACGGCAAGGCGATGACGCTCTTCTGGATGCAGTCCGAGCGACTCGGCTGGACGGAACAGCTCAAGTCCGCTGTTCTCGGCGATGTCGATGTTGTGGGTGACGGAAGACGAGGGGGACAAGGCATCGCCGTGTCGGGAAGATGAAGAAGTCTTGGGGTTCAAGTCATCGGCCAAGGCCACGTGCGCGGCGTGGCGAGCCCAGGAAGCCAAGTCTTCCATGTTGTATGTCCTTGCCAACACCATGAGCGCGCACACCACAGCTGGGTGACGTTGCAATGCGGTGCAGATTCGTAACGTGTAGAAGAACTGCAGCAAGGCAAGCACGACCGGAGACGGCTCTGAGATTTGCAGGTGGCGCGGCTGGAAGCGGGGATCTCTCAGCTTCTGCTTTCCGCCCTGGGTTTCATCTTGATTGGCAGAGGGAACGACCAAAGGGTCGACAGACTCTTCATCTTCCTCCTCCTCCGCCAGGAACTCGGCAACGTCTTCTGGGATCATGCCCAGACCGAATTGCTCGGTCACGGCGGGGTAAGCAATGCGGAGAGTGCGCCTGGCTTTCCTGCGGAACTCGTCCATCTTGGATCTAAACCACGGCCAGCGAGCTTCAAGGACGGCACGGTCGCAGCCAATCCTGAGACCGTCGGAGCAGACGATCTCAAAGTCACCTCGTCCACCGAGGCAGAGCGCTTCCATCTCGCCTTCTAGACTGCCATCCGCTCCAGCAGTTGCTGGCGTTGAAGATGCATTGGCGTCTGCTGAAATCTGGTCCAGAGAACCAACTCCTCGAGCGAGTGCCTGTGCTGAAGCCATGGCGGAAGGTGCGGAAGCTGCGAGCTTGTCGAGTCCCATCTGCACTGCTGCTTCGGACAGAGTGGAGAAGGGAGGCTGGTAGATGCCCCATGCCTCGAGTTCGAGCACAATTACGTGATCCCAGTTGGTCTGACGATGGTTGTAGTCGCTGACGAGGTCCCTCTCCTTGTGTCCGACGACAATGAGTCGGTTCTTGCCTGGCCAAAGGAGAGCTCGGTTCCAGCTTCCTGTTGAAAGCGTCGAGCCAGACTCGATCCTGGACCAGACCATTGTGGGCAAATGCAGTGCCCAGATTGAGAAGCTTTGCGTAGCGTTGGCAAGATAGGTACCCGAGATGAGGAGGTACGGCCCAAGAAGCGCACCGGTTGGGAATCGAAGTCCTGGTGGAAGCGTCACTCCGCCCATCTGATTTGAACGGTCCTCGATGGAAACAGAAGGATCGGATGAAGATGGGGCAGCGGCTTGCGAGGAAGTAAGGGGACCTTCGACGTCGATCGCAGACTCTTGAGATGCATTGGAGCCACTGCGAGCGCGTTGCTGAGTCAGGCTAGCCTCGGAACTGGCGTTGAGACCGGTTTGGCCCCGCATGGTAAGCACTTGGAGCTCTCTTCGGACATCGGTAAAGTTGTAGTTCGAGTAGAGGTATACTGGGAGGGCCAGGTTTGGCTCGGGCTGGCAACTGATAGGCAGAGGGTTTTGCTCGACTTGCCCCGTCTTGCGAGCGACATGGCCGTTCGGAGTCGAAGAAACACCATTGTTGTGTGCTGCGCTTGCGCTAGAGCCTGGAGTGTCGAGCGTGTCCGGTGCAGCTGAGGCGAGAGCGTTGTTGAGCGGGTCCTTGGCACGAGGATAGCACTTGGCCTTCTCACCGTCCTTGTAAAGGCATTTGGCACCAACAGAGAGGGATCGGTAGCTGCCACACTGCTTGCGGAAGCGCTGAGCGCCGATCCAGCGGTTCTGAGAGAGACTGAAGAGGTTGATGGACTCGACGTACTGGTTGGCAAGGTTCTGTCCGCCTATGATTGAAAGCGTATCGCCCGAGAGAGAGGAGAGATGAGCGTATCGAGGTGCTGGTCGTAGCGTGTCGGCTTGAGAGGTGGAAGCCGGGTCACTGTGCGGTGTCGACGGCGAGGGATGCGGGAGGAGGTCAAAGATGTAGTCCCACTGCTGAGTGGTGAGGTCAAAAGCAAGCAGCTCATCGAGCACGCAAAGCTCTTCAGCGACTGGCTCGCCTGTCTTTTCGTCTATTCGTTGGGAGTAGCCCATGCCACCAAAGAAGACGATCTTATCTTGCCATAGATCTGCCGAATGAAAGTAGCGTGGTTGCGGTTGTTCTGTTGCACCGATATCAGAGCCAGGCCGAGGCTTTGCGGTTGGATTAATTCGGGACCATTTCATCTCATCGAGATCGAGAAAGTAAAGATTGTTAACCATTCGACGACTGCTGACGAGACGACCGCCGAAGAGGTAGATACGAGCACCTCTGATGTTACCATTGGGCGTTGGCTCGACCAGCGTTGCCGATGCGCCCACGAGTGGTGGCGGCACATCACCTGAACAGAGGTGAAGGCGCGAGGAAAGGTTTGCGATTGAAGGATGCATTCTGGGCGATACCTGAGCCGAAGCAGCGCTGCTAAGACTGAAGTGTTGTCTGACGAAAGCTCAAGCGAAGATGAGCGTGCGCAGTCTAGCTGAGAGTGCCAAAGAGGAAGAACCGGTCAGCATCAGCTTGCTCGTTATTGTTCCGGTCGTGTGTTCCGTCGCCGTCGCCGTCGTTGGTGATTGCTGTGATTGATGTGATTGATGTGATTGATGTGATTGATGTGATTGATGTGATTGCTGTGATTCGAGCTGTTTCAGAGGCGCATTGCAATTCGACGAAACAGCTTGAGGTGGCGTGTGACTTTGATGAACTGTGCCGGATAAAGTAGTCGAGTGCAGTACATTGAGCGAAATGAGAGGATCAAATGGTGGATAGCGTGCTTTGCACCCTGAATATATCCTCGGAATGAAAGGCGGCAGATCCGAAGATGCGGCTTTATCGACTGTGTTATCGAAATAGCGTAAAGGGGTGGGCGTGAGAACGCGAGGAGAATGATGAGGTGATTGACAGCCAAGCCACGACGTCGATAAGGAAGCAAGTGTGGGTCAAGTGTGGGGATGATGATGATGGTTGGCACGCAGCGAATGAATGGGCCTATGAAAGAATTGAAGATAACAATTAATATACGGCGTTATCGGGGTCACAATCAGACTCCCTTTGCCACAGCCGTATGTTCTATGTAATGCTTAGTTTTCTTGGTGTGAGACTAAATGACAAACACATATATATACTCCATTCACTGCTCTGATCCCATCCGAGGCAGGGTGTGTTCCTTCATTTGTACCCCTGTGTTGCTATGATACCGGGTGCCACTGTGCTGTCACCATGACAACAATTGCGTACCTCATTGTGCTCCTCGCTTATGTGAGCCTCCCGTATCTCGATGTCTCGGCCGTAACACGTGCACCTTGCTTGAGATGCCGACGCATCTTCAACTCCCCCCTTCGGCGGGATCTCCAGTCCTATCATCCTAGCCAATCGTGAGGTGTTAAGACCCTGTAAGGGTTTTGTCAAGACATCTGCAACGTTGTTTGCCGTTCCGACATATTTGATCTCCACATCGCCCTCTTGTACGTGATCGCGTACGAAATGATACCGTGTGTCGATGTGCTTTAACTTCCAATGTTTGGCTGGGTCTTTACTCACCTGTATGCACCCCTGGCTGTCTGTGTATAGTACGGGCCGAACGCCCGTGGCCTCCAAATCCCGGAGCAAATATGAGAAGAATAAGGTTTCTCGTACCGCTTCGGAAGCGGCGACAAACTCTGCTTCGACTGCCGACAGTGCCACACACTTCTGAACGTGTGATTTCCAACTCACCGGACATCCATACACATATGTTATCGACCCCGAGGTACTTCTTCGTCCATTTGTGGGGTCGGATGCCCAGTTTGCGTCGGTATACGTCGTTACCGGCGTATCCGAGTGCTCGTTTGTCTCTCCTCCTAGGTGCAACTGATATTCGTTCGTTTGGTTCAGGTACTTTACCACGTGGACAGCTGCCTTCCATGCACTGTCGATCGGGATCGACATATATCGCGCCAATACGCCGACGGCAAAGGCAATATCTGGTCGGGCTGTGTTGGAGACCCATAATAGTTGGCCGACCAATTCTTGATACCTCTTTGCTCGCTTAGGTTCACATCGCTCGCCTCCGGCGGTGTTCGCTACACTCAGCATGGGTATCCAGGATTTCTCGTTTGCTCCTCCTAACCATTTGTTCACCATTTCCTTGATGTATGCCGTTAGACTCAGGGATATCCTCCTCCGTCTTCTATCACGTATAATCTTGATACCCAGAAATTCTTTGATCCTTCCATTGTTTTGCGTCTCCCATTTGTCCATGATCTCCCGCTTTGCGCGGTCTACTTCCTCACGACTGGGTGATGTTATCAGCATGTCGTCCACGTATGCTGTGATGATCGTGATCTTGTCGCCTGTCCCTCTTGAGTATAGGCATGGAGCGCTCTGCATGCAATGAAATCCGATCGTCCGGAGGTGTGAGTCTAACTCAATGTTCCATTCTCGGCCCGACTGTTTCAAACCGTACAGTCCTTTCACTACCTTCAACACTTTTCCGGGTGGTATTTCGATTCCTACTGGGGGCTTGAGGTATACATCATGGTGTATAGTGGAGTTCAGGTACGCTTGCTTTACGTCAATAGAATCCATTTCCCAATCTCGTACTGCTGCGACCGCGATCACCCCTCGAATGGATTGGATAGGTGCTACTGGTGCGAAGACCTCTGTATAGTCGATGCCCTCGCGTTGAGTGAAACCTCGTGCCACGAGCCGGGCTTTGAACTTTGTTGGCACGAGGTTTGCATCGGTTTTGATCTTGAGTACCCAACGTGTGTCGACGGTGTTTGCACCCTTTGGAAGGTCGACTATCTCCCATGTGCCCATCGCCTCTAATCCATCCAGCTCCTTTCGCATGGCCTCCTCCCAGTGCTTTCTGTCCTCTCCATTCATTGCTTCATGTATGGTTGGGTCCAGGTTCTTTCTCCGTTCCGGTCGCGTCGCTACGAGTCCATAGAATTCGCTGTCAATTTGAGTTTCGGCGATTGGTCCTTGTTCCATCACCTCTGCTATTCCTTCGCGTGATCTTTCTTCCGAGTCTGACTCCATATCCATGTATTCTCGTAGCGGCTCTTCATCTGTTTCGTCGAATATATTTTCTTTGTTATATCCTAGATCTTCGAGATTTTCTTCTGTCATCGTCATTGGGGGTGCCTTTGTATCAACCGGTCGCCACTCTGTTCTGTCTGACCAGCACTTTGATTCCATGAATTTTGCTGAATTGCTCCAGAAGATGTTCGGATTGTAGTCCGGGCTGTAGAAAAGCCAGCCCTTCCTTTCTAGACTGTACCCTAAGAAAATGGATGCGACGGCTCGCTGGTCCAGTTTCTTGTTGTCCCGTTTAACTTTGGGTATGTTTACCCATGCCAGACAACCAAACACTCGTAGGAGCTTTAAAGCTCGTTCCGGCGACTTGCCAAACATCGCTTGATAAGGGAATTCATTATCAACGCTCGGAGTGAGGTTTATTTTGAACGCCGCAGCTCTGATCGCGTATGGCCAGAACTTCTTCGGTAGTCTCCTCTGCATTAGCAACGTTCTCATCTTCTCTCCAAGGGTCCTGTTCATTCTTTCTACCCGTCCATTTTGTTTGCTGTTGTACCCTACGGTGGTTTGCCACTCTATGCCCTTTTCTAACGACCATTCTAATGCATCATTGCTTTTCCATTCCGTTCCTTGATCGGATCGGATCGCTTTTAGCTTCCGATCCGTCTGTGTCTCCAGGAACGAAACAATCCTTTTGAGTTGCATAAAGGCATGACTCTTTCGTGTCAATGGCTGTGCATACACATACTTGCTATGATCGTCAACCAGCACCAACGTGCATGTGTACTCCGTCACGTGGGACGAGTCTATTATTAGATCGACGTGGATAAGATCCAGGGGCCCTACGGCTCTTTCGCCGCTACCTTTCCCCATCCGAGCGCTTGTGCTCTTGGATCGTACGCACTGCTCACACGTCAGAGCGGTGTTTGGATCCAATTTCATGGTATGCTTATCCTTTAACTTGGTTGTGATCGCCTTAGCTTTATCTCTTCCTGGGTGCCCGAGACGCTCATGCCATAGTTGTTGTTTTGAAACTTTCGGCTCATTCTCAATATGCTCGAACTCCTCATCAACACCTTCAAACAATGGTGCTGATGTGGCCATCGCGCTTTCTTGCCATGTGTCGCCTCGGAACTCCAGAAGTCCTCGCTCGCGATTCTTTGCAATCTTAAGTGTCATGCCGTTTGTTAGAAAAATTTGGCCGCCGGTTGTGTCCAATATCACTCGTGCTCCTTCATCCATTAATGAATTTGTTGACAGAAGGTTAACATTAAGGTGCTTTACATACAATACATTTTGCAGAGAGATTTCCCCGTAATCTGTTGATATGCTTGCATCTCCTATAGCTGCCGCTTCCAAGACCTCGCTTCCGGCGGTAATTATCCGCTTTCGGCAAGTTCTCGGGTGGATGAGCATGCTGTAGTCGTTCACCATATGGTAACTCGCCCCCGAGTCCAAGATCCAATGAGCTGTTTCTTTTGTGTTCGAGGGGTCCTGCCATTTCATTGGGAGGGTGAGGGAGCACCACGCTTCCTATTTAGGTTCAGCGAGGGGGGAGTCCTTGGGAATGGTAACCAAGGCGTCGCATTGACTGATACCATGTCCCGGTCGCTTGCAGACCCAGCATCGGATTCGGCGTGACTTGCTTGCGTTCCTCGAGCTCGCGTGGCTGTTGTCGGCTTCGGCTTCGGTCTCTCCGGCCCGTTCGTTTTGATCGTCGTTGCCGGCGGTTCTAGCACTGGCTTGTCGAGGGTCGATCCTTTGTGCGGGGACGCTCTCGACAGCAGTCTGCCGGATGCTTAGTGCGGTGGCAAGGGCGTTGAAATCGATTTGATGGACAGTGGCAACCGTCTCCTTGTACACCGGATGCCGGATCGTGCATTTCTGCAGAGCCGAGAACAATGTATCATCGGCGAATGGTTTGCCGAGGAGGCTGCTTTCGGTTTGTATGGACCGGATCTCTTGAATTAGCTTTCTGGCGTCCGAGTTAAACATCTTTGTATCGTTGAGTTGCGAGATAAGCGCAAGTCTGTGGGACGTCTTGGTGGCTTCATTCGTGAGACCGTTTTCGATCTTTCTCCATACTTGGTTGAAAGTAAGGTACTCCTTGATTACATCTAGAACGAGGTAGTTTACATTGTGTTCTCCGGTAGTATCGATTGTTCCACGCAGGGCGTTAATTAAAGCATCGTCAAGGGAGCGGCTCCATTTCGGGTGTTTCTTGTCGTACGTTCCCTCGAGATGTTTCATCGCATGAGGCACGGATCGGAGGAAAGATTTCACGTGAGCGCTCCAGCTATGGTAGTTTCGTGACGTGAGCTTTGGCACAGGTTCAAGGAGCTTTGCTAGGGTGCGAAAGTTATATCGCTTGTCG